ATTTTTCACGGGAGCCTGTTGGGTTGAGATTTAAGGTATCAGGCTGTGAGTTCTAGTCCCACCTTAGCCAGTTGGGTGACCTTGGACCAGTCACCTTTTCTCAGCCCACGTCAGAAAACTTTGCCAAGAAAATGGAAGGGACTTGTTCCAACAGTTGCACTGACTTGAAGGCACCCAGTAAATCAATGAAAGTTCAACGTAGGCTGTCGTGCCAGATGTGTTCTCTCCACACATGCCTGTTCAGTGTTTCTGCTATTTCGATATCGTTACCCCAGTTCAAAACTGGAGCTTCCCTATCCGCCTTAAAAAGCTAAAATCTCATTTATTAACAGCTCGTTAAGAAAGAAAGGGCTCAGCCTCCTTGAATAATGTGGAGGAGAAGGAAGAGGAAATACACGTCCCAGTCCATTTCCATCTTTGTCTATGCCAGTGGACTTCAACTCCCAGAATCCCCCAGCCGGCACGCCAGCTGGGGGATTCTGGGAATTGGAGCCCACATATCTTCCAAGTTGCCAAGGTTGAAAAACGCCGACCTATGCATTCACAAAGTCCTTGGAGTCACGCTTTGGCACGCTAAATAAAGCTAGAAAGCATATTTTCCATCCAGTTCTTCTCCTGGGGTCTTGTGCTTTTTCCTTCCTTAATCATGATTCTTTAACTTTCTGTTTGAGCAACGTTATAGCTGGCAGATTTATGGAAGGCTCCTAAACTCTGTGTTTTGTTTTATTTTTATTTTTTTCCTAAGAAGACTCAAGACGGAAACACCCTATTAATTTGCGAACTGGGAACACATCTTTCATATTTCGCTGGCTAAATCTGTTATTTATCATCCCCTGCGGTTATTTCAAGCTAAAAAAAAACAGTGATCTTCAGCCAGGCCCTGTTGTCCTGTTAGGCGGAAAGAAGACTCAAAAAGCAGATGCTGGGGTCTGGGAAGTGAGATGGGGAAGACCATTCAAGTCCCCTACTAGGCTCAGAATAACAGACTTGGATGGGACCTTGGAGGTCTTCTAGTCCAACCCCTTACCCAGGCAGGAAACCCTAGACCAGTGGTTCTCAACCTGTGGGTGGGGACCCCATTTGGGGTCGAACGACCATTTCACGGGGGTCGCCAAACAACGCAGTCTGCCATTTTTTTCCCCCTTTTCCTTAGCTGTGCTCCTCCCTTTTATTCTATTGGCTTTTGAAAGCCAATAGAATAGACTCTCTTGAATAGAGTCTAATTCCATTGGCTTTCCAAAGCCAATAGGAATTGTCCAGGCTGTCTCTGCCCTGCTGAGCCCGCCAAAAGTCCCATTCTGCAAACGGTGCTGCACCAGTTGAGTAGTCCTCGACTTATGACCGCTTGGAGGTTCGCGGCATTAAAAAGGTTGAGAACCACTGCCCTATACCATTTCAGACAAAGGGTTGTCCAGTCTCTTCTCAAAAACTTCCAGTGTTGGAGCATTCACAACTTTTGTTCCACTGATTAATTGTTCTCACTGTCAGGAAGTTTCTCCTTAGTTCTAGGTTGCTTCTCTCCTTGATTAGTTTCCCTCCGTTGCTTCTTCTCCTGCCTTCAGGCGCTTTGGAGAAGAGCTTGACTCCCTCTTCTTTGGGGCAGCCCCTGAGATATTGGAATACTGCTACCATGTCCCCCCTGGTCCTTCTCTTCATTAAGCTAGAGAGACCCAATTCCAGCAACCGTTCTTTATAGGTTTGAGCCTCCAGTCCCTTGATCCTCTTTGTCGCTCTTCTCTGCCCTCTTTGTAGAGTCCCAACGTCTTTTTTGACATTGTGGCGACCAAAACTGGATGCGGCATTGCAGGTGTGGTCTTACTCAGTGGCAGCAACGACGTGCCTCCATCAATAGAGTTGAAGTGGAGGAGCTTCTGCTCCTGATTCTCCCCTGCCTTCTGCAGATATCAGCCCAAATGGCCCATCAGCTAAACAATCAAAATACTTGTGGCCCACATTCCCATCTTCTTTCTCAAATGTCACACAAATCCCCTTGGGTTTTGGGGGGAAGGAAGCTGAGACTGAAGCTGTCGTTCCTGATCCTGATTCATGGCTGTATTTTTCCAGAAACCAGATGCTATATTCTCCTCCTCCTCCTCCTCCTCCTCCTCCTCCTCCTCCTCCTCCTCCTCCTCCTCCTCCTCCTCCTCCTCCTCTTCTTCTTCTTCTTCTTCTTCTCCTCCTCCTCCTTTCTCCTCCTCCTCCTTTCTCTTCTTCTTCTTCTTCTTCTTCTACTTCTCCTCCTCCTCCTTTCTCCTCCTCCTCTTCTTCTCCTCCTCCTCCTCCTTCTCCTTTCTCTTCTTCTTCTTCTTCTTCTTCTTCTTCTTCTTCTTCTTCTTCTTCTTCTTCTTCTTCTTCTTCTTCTTCTCCTCCTCCTTTCTCCTCCTCCTCCTCTTCTTCTTCTCCTCCTCCTTTCTCCTCCTCCTCTTCTTCTTCTCCTCCTCCTCCTCCTTCTCCTTTCTCTTCTTCTTCTTCTTCTTCTTCTTCTTCTTCTTCTTCTTCTTCTTCTTCTTCTTCTTCTTCTCCTCCTCCTTTCTCCTCCTCCTCCTCTTCTTCTTCTCCTCCTCCTCCTTTCTCCTCCTCCTCTTCTTCTTCTCCTCCTCCTCCTCCTTTCTCCTCCTCCTCTTCTTCTTCTTCTTCTTCTTCTTCTTCTTCTTCTTCTTCTTCTTCTTCTTCTCCTCCTTTCTCTTCTTCCTCCTCCTCCTCAAATAGATTAGTTCATGGATCTTTATTAATTGGATTTATTTAATCAATGCAATTGATTGACTGATTGATTGATGAAGAATGATAGCACTTAGAATACTGCATCCAGTTTTGCTCACCGAGTTATGAAAAAGATGTTGAGACTCTGGAAAGAGTGCAGAGAAGAGCAACAAAGATGATCAGGGGGCTGGAGGCTAAAACACACAAAGAATGGTTGTCCAGTTTAATGAAAAGAAGGATTAGGGGGGACATGATAGCAGTCTTCTAATATTTGAAGGGCTGCCCCAAAGAAGAGGGAGTCAAGCTATTCTCCAAAGCACTAGAAGACAAGAAACTAAGCAAGGAGAGAAGCAACCTAGAACTAAGGAGAAACATCCTAACAATGAGAACAATTAATCAGTGGAACCACTTGCTTCCAGAAGCGGTAAATGCTCCAATACTGGAGGTTTTTAAGAAGAGGTTGGACAGCCACTTGTCTGGAATGGTATAGGGTTTCCTGCCTGAGCAGGGGGTTGGACTAGAAGACCTCCAATGTCCCTTCCAATTTTATTATTCTGTTAAGCTTCTTCTTCTTCTTCTTCTTCTTCTTCTTCTTCTTCTTCTTCTTCTTCTTCTTCTTCTTCTTCTTCTTCTTCTTCTTCTTCTTCTTCTTCTTCTTCTTCTTCTTCTTCTTCTTCTTCTTCTTCTTTCTTCTTCTTCTTCTTCTTCTTCTTCTTCTTCTTCTTCTTCTTCTTCTTCTTCTTCTTCTTCTTCTTCTTCTTCTTCTTCTTCTCCTTCTCCTTCTCCTTCTCCTTCTCCTTCTCCTTCTCCTTCTCCTTCTCCTTCTCCTTCTCCTGCCGTATCCGTTATCGGACGTTGGCGATCCTGTTGGCGATCCTGTTTTTATCAGCAGCCACGCGAAAAAGTGCTGCTGAGTTTTGTCCGAACCAGTCCCTTAGATTTTGAAGCCATGATGTTCTTCTTCTGCCTGGACTTCGTTTGCCTTCGATCTTTCCCTGGAGGATTAAATGGAGCAGGCCATATTTTTCTGGGTGTCACATCCCATGTCCGAAATATTCTAATTTTCGTTTTTTAATTGTTTTGATGATTTCCCTGGGCTTTCCCAGGTGGCTTATCACCTCCTCATTTCTGATCTTGTCAGCCCAGCTTCTACGTAACAGCCGCTTGTAAATCCCCATTTCAAATGCTCCTAGTCTCTTCAGGTGGCCTTCTGTCAGAGACCAACTCTCTACTCCATAGAGCAGGATAGGAAAAATAGAGCATCTGACAAGCCTGATTTTCAGACTTAGGCTTCTGTCGTGACTGCAGAAGAACTTTTTCATTTTGAAGAATGCCGTTCGAGCTTTTTTCTATCCTTCTCTTTACTTCAGCGGTCATGTCCCAGCTTTCGTGTAAATCTGTGAAGCCTAATTACCATTTTTGTAAACAAGCTCCATTTTAACATAATAGTAGTAAAGTTGGAAGGGACCTTGGAGGTCATCTAGTCCAACCCCCAGCTCAGGCAGTAAACCCTACACCATTTCGGACAAATGGCTGTCCAGTCTCTTCTTAAAAACTTCCAGTGTTGGAGCATTTACTGCTTCTGGAGGCAGGCTGTTCCACTGATTAATTGTTCTCTGTCAGGAAGTTTCTCCTTAGTTCTAGGTTTCTTCTCTCCTTGCTTAGTTTCCACCCGTTGCGTCTTGTCCTGCCTTCAGGGGCTTTGGAGAATAGGTTGACTCCCTCTTCTTTGGGGCAGCCCCTGAGATACTGGAATACTGCTATCATGTCCCCCCTGGTCCTTCTCTTCATTAAACTAGACATCCCCAATTCTAGCAACCGTTCCTTATATGTTTTAGCCTCCAGTCCCCTAATCATCTTTGTTGCTCTTCTCTGTATTCTTTCTAGAGTCTCAACATCTTTTTTACATCGTGGTGACTAAAACCTTTTGCTTTGGACTGTCAAGTTCTTCCTGCTTTCTTGAAAGAAAGGGGGGGGGGAATCTCCAGTCTCTATCAAGAGGACTCAATATTTTGAGAGCTAAGCTTAGTTACCTTCACTGAATATTTGCAGATGTGCTCGCTCTTAGCTTGGTGCTCACTGAGTCTCAAACTATCTATTAAAGTTTAAATATAGAAAGAACACTCTGTTCTCTTGCCTATTCCCAAACAACATCCTCCAGGATGCTTTGTTTTTTTCTTTTTCTTTTTTCTCGAGAGCAAGATTTCTAGGGCACTTAGAACGAGCTACGGAAAACACACCAGTGAATTAATTGACATTTAAACAGAGCTAAGTGTACTTCTCTGCTTTTCTTTTTTCAGATTCCTCCGAAGGATCTTTAAAAGCCTGTACATATCAAGGGGAGATAGATGCCTATGTTCTGCGTCAAACTGGAGCGGTAAACCTGGTTTCCCAGGAAGGTAGGTTAGTTAGTCATTTTAAAGACCGGTTTGAGGATTTCCTGACAGTGAGAATAATACTCCAGTGGAACAACCTGCCTCCAGAAGCAGTGAATGCTCCAACACTGGACGTTTTTAAGAAGAGACTGGACAGCCATTTGTCTAAAATGGTGTAAGGTTTCCTGCCTGAGCAGGGGGTTGGACTAGATGACCTCCAAGGTCCCTTCCAAGCCTGTTATTCTATTCTACAGTTGGAAGCAAACTGTCAACCGGTGCAACTTACAGAGCGGAGGTGTTAATATGTGCGGTTGTAGAAGCACAAAAAAAAAAACCCTGCCCACACTCTTGCATTTTGCACCAGCTTGAAGCTTCCGCTTATACTACACGTTCGGCCGCATGTAGAGCAGATGGAAAGGGTGTTCCCTTCTGTCACCAGGGGGCTGTCTTGGATTTTGGCCTCGTTTGCACAAATAGAAGAGAGTTTGTCCAAATTGCAGAAGCCGAGTCGGGATCCAGAACTGTAATGTATTTTTATCTCCGGTTCCAGACCCTGCCTGCTGCAGTCCCTCCAGCCACCGAACTGAGTTATGTAAAATAATCAGTAGGAATAAGGCTGGTCCCATTAGTCACGGAAAGATGTCCTCGCCAAAAGAAAGCGCTCACATGTTGCAACAATAAATGCCATTTTGGAATAGAATAGAATAGAACAGAACAAAACAAAACAGAACAGAAAAGAATAGAATTACGAAAGAATGGAATGGAATGGCATGGAATAGAAATTAGAAGAGAATAGAAATTAGAATAGAAGAGAATAGAAATATAGAATAGAAATTAGAATAGAATCTTTATATAGAATAGAAGAATAGAATAGAATAGAATAGAATGGAATGGAATGGAATAGAATAGAATAGAATAGAATAGAATAGAATAGAATAGAATAGAATAGAATAGAATAGGAATATAATAGAATAGAACAGAACAGAACAGAACAGAATAGAATCCCTGGTTTAATGCAAATCCTTTTCCCGCTCTGCATAACAGGCTCCATTGTTGTCAAGGTACCTGGAACTCTTCAAGCTTCCCTGAAATTATCCGGAACGAAGGTGGAAATCAGTCCAGAAATCCAATTGCAGGGGATCCAGACTGTGTTGAGGGAAGACTGTGTCACAGTGACTGGTGAGATTCTGTTCTATTCTATTCCATTCCATTCTCCATTCCATTCTATTATATACCTATTATTTCTCTTCTCTTCTATTCTACTCTATTCTATTCTATATTCCAATATCTATTCTATTCTATTCTATTCTATTCTATTCTATTCTATTCTATTCTATTCTATTCTATTCCATATTCTATATTCTATTCTACTCTGTATTTCTATTCTATTCTACTCTACTGTACTCTATTCTATTCTACATTCCAATATATATTCTATTCTATTCTATTCTATTCTATTCTATTCTATTCTATTCTATTCTATTCTACTCTACTCTACTCTACTCCACTCCACTCCACTCCATTCCAGAGAGAGGGGGGGGAGGGAGGGAGTGGGAGAGAGAGAGATGACCTCCAAGGTCCCTTCCAACTTTATTATTATTATTATTATTATTATGGATCATCGCACAGTCAGCCAGATGTTCAGACTGGATTTGGCATTTTGTCTACCTATCGAGTCCTTACCCAGGACCTGGGATAGGCAGATGTGGATGTTTGATGGTATTATTATTATTATTATTATTATTATTATTATTATTATTATTATCTTTTATTCATTACACATGAACCTCAGTCAACTGAACATTCAAGTTGGCACTGATGGTTGACCCGGGTTGCTATCAGCATCCTAGGTTGTTGTTATTGCTGTTGTTATTATATTATTATTATTATTATTATTATTATTATTATTATTATTATATATGCAGCATTTCTTGCGTTCTTTGCTTCTTTGCTATGAAACCTTCAGTTTTTCTAATATCCTTGCTCCGATATTGAAATATTTTCAATTTTCGTAAGGTTTTTTTTTTTTTTGGTTAGATATTCACTTAGGCTTTGGGGTATGTTTCGGTAGGAAGATTTCGAGCACATAAAACAAATTAATTGCAACCAGAAAACAGCTGTTTACAGCTGGAGAGCCACTGGGCCCAAACTGAAAAACAAAAAACAAAGAGCTTTGCTTTAGCTCTTACTGTAAGCTCCTATTCAACGCTACCAAATTAATCATCATCCCGTTTCAGGGTTTAATACTTGCATACTGCTACCACAGATAACTGTTTTAACTCTGTTGAGAAAAACGCTGTTTACATAGAGGGCCATAACTGCTACGGCTACCTTCATTTTCATGGGTCAAAGTCTACTTGCCTTTTGACCGAACCCAAGGGGTTCTCGACTTAACAACCATTCGTTTAGTGACCGTTCAGAGTTAACTGAGACACCGACTTATGAACGTTTTTCACACTTACGACTGTTGCAGCATCCCCGTGGTCACGGGATTAGAAGGACTCTTGGCAACCGGCTCGTATTTATGATGCCCGCAGCGTCCCGGAGTTGTCCATTTTGTTTATTCCCAGCTTGGACTGGACCCTGTTGAAGATTTTTCTTTTCAACATAAGCATCTTCGGTGCTTTCTCTACAGCAGAGTAGATACTCAAGTAGGCGTTCCGTACTGGATGGACGGTGTATTAACAACATCCCTAGGCTCTCTTCGTCACCTAGAGCAGTCAACAAAACTAAAAGCAGTCAATACAAATTGACAGAATGCTGGATAGAACAACGGATCTGCAAGTTGGCAGGCCACCCCATCTCAAGATCTTGCCTGCTACAATAAAGATTAGACCTAAGGAAAAAATGGGAGACAGAAAAATCTATAATACAGAGAAAAGGACTAGGAGTGACATGATAGCAGTCTTCCAATATTTGAGGGGCTGTCATAGAGAGGAGGGGGGGGTCAAGTTTAATTAAGGATACATTCCTTCATTCCAATATTCATTCCTTTATTCCAATATTTGGGGGGCTGCCATCAAGAAGAGGGGAATCAACCTATTCTCCAAAGCGCCCGAAGGCAGGACAAAATGCAACGGGTGGAAACTCATTAAGGAGAGAAGCAACCTGGAACTAAGGAGGAATTTCCTGAGAGAGAGAAGAATCAATTAGTGGAACGGATAATTTGCCTTCAGAGGTTGTGGCTGCTCCATCATTGGAGGTTTTTAAGAAAAGATTCTATACAGAGAAGAGCAACAAAGATGATTAGGGGACTGGAGGCTAAAACACACAAGGAACGGTTGCTGGAATTGGGTGTGTCTAGTTTAACGAAGAGAAGGACGAGGGGGGACAGGATAGCAGCCTTCCAGTATCTCAGGGGCTGCCCCAAAGAAGAGGGAGTCAAGCTCTTCTCCAAAGCACCAGAAGGCAGGACAGGAAGCAACGGATGGAAACTCATCAAGGAGAGAAGCAACCTAGAACGAAGGAGAAACTTCCTGACAGTCAGAACAATTAACCAGTGGAACAACTTGCCTCCAGAGGTGTGAATACTCCAACACTGGAAGTTTTTAAGAAGAGACTGGACAGCCATTTGTCTGAAATGGTGTAGGGTTTCCTGCCTGAGCAGGGGGTTGGACTCAATGACCTCCAAGGTCCCTTCCAACTACTACTACTACTACTACTTCCTCCTCCTCCTCCTCCTCCTCTTCTTCTTCTTCTTCTTCTTCTTCTTCTTCTTCTTCTTCTTCTTCTTCTTCTTCTTCTTCTTCTTCTTCTTCTTCTTCTTCTTCTTCTTCTTCTTCTTCTTCTTCTTCTTCTTCTTCTTCTTCTTCTTCTTCTTCTTCTTCTTCTTCTCCTTCTCCTTCTTATTACTACTACTACTACTACTACTACTACTATTATTATTACTATTACTATTACTATTATTATTAGCCATTTGTCCAGAATGAGATAGGGTCTCCTGCTTGAGCAGGGGGCTGGACTAGAAGACCTCCAAGGTCCCTTCTTGTTAGTCTGTATATACCAGCTAGCACTTCCAATTCTTCCTCTCTCTCTGCCGATGCTGACACACGCATCAAAAAATAAACATAGGATGTCCCTGGATGGAATGCAGTGTTCTTTGTGGTTTCCCCTTCAACAGTTGACACCGCAGGGAGTGTGCTTGCTTCATCCGGCTCAGTAAGCAGATGCATGCAGTCAAAGGCCTGATGTTGTGAGTAAGCTGTTTTGCATGAGTAGCAACCAAAAACATGTTTCTGCTTTCTCACCATCTACAGAGCCCAAGTGGTCTCTAATCTCAAATGCTGCTTGGCCTGGTGGTCTTCAGCCTCTTCTTCAATTTGCTGTCATAGAAAACAGAGATCTCAAATTAAAAAAAACCGTCAGTGTCGTGATTAAGACCTGGATAACACTTAAAAACAGACCTGGGTAATGCTCCAGACATTATCGAAGAATTATCCAAGAACTGCATTATCTAGCAACGCAAAGCCATGGCCTTCCCTAGACTCCTATTGCTCTTCCATCCAGGTCAACCTTAAGTCTGATGCGGTTTTGCTGGATATAAGGAATTTTCTTGTAAAAATTAGCACATTCTTTTTCACCGATCTCCCACGAATTAAAGTCTACAACTTCTTTTTTTTTTATCTTGCACCATAGATAATACGCTGATTCTCAGACTGAAACTGGGCTCCAGGGTCTTATTCTCTTCCGGATAATGTTTTTTTTTTTTTTAAATTTTAAAGTTTTGTTAGTTTATAATATATGATACAGTCAAAATACAAATAGCGGGAAAGATGGAGTAGAGAAGGGAGGGAAGGGAGGAAAAAAAAGTGGGGGGGAGGCATTGACTTCCCACTTCCTTTGGTGCCATAGACTAGAGCAGGGGTAGGCAACCTTGGCTCTTTTATGACTCATGGACTTCAACTCCCAGAATTCCTGAGCCAGCCACGCTGAGGGGAAAGGGAGAGGTTTCCAAGCTGAGCCAGGCTGGCTCAGGAATTCTGGGAGCTGAAGTCCACAAGTCATGAAGGGGCTGTAGTTCCCCCATGCTGGCTCAGGAATTCTGGGAGTTACAGGCCTAAGCAACCTTGGCTCTTTTATGACTCGTGGACTTCAACTCCCAGAATTCCTGAGCCAGCATGGAGGAACTATGGCCTCCTCATGGCTTGTGGACTTCAACTCCCAGAATTCCTGAGCCAGCCTGGCTCAGCTTGGAAACCTCTCCCTTTCCCCTCAGCGAGGCTGGCTCAGGAATTCTGGGAATTGAAGTCCACGAGTCATAAAACAACCAAGGTTGACTACCCCTGGATTAGAGCATCAACATCAAACCTCAACTGTTTACTTTCACAAAATAATATAAACTAGCTGTTTCGATAACATCCAATCTATCTGATTGGTAAAACCCATAATCAAAATGTCATTTTTCCCCCACCTCAAGCTCAGAAAACAAGCACAATGTCAGGCATCAAAAAACCAGGTTGTTGTTGTCGTTGTTAGTTGCGAAGTCGTGTCCGACCCATCGCAACCCCATGGACAACGTTCCTCCAGGCCTTCCTGTCCTCTACCATCTTCTGGAGTCCATTGAAGCTCACGCCTCCTGCTTCAGGGACTCCCTCCAGCCACCTCACTCTCTGTCGTCCCCTTCTTCTCTTGCCCTCCATCTTTCCCAGCATCAGGCTCTTCTCCAGGGAGTCCTTCCTTCTCATTAGGTGGCCAAAGGACTTGAGTTTCAACTTCAGGATCTGGCCTTCTAAGGAGCAGTCGGGGTTGATCTCCTCTAGGACTGACCAGTTGGATTGCCTTGCAGTCCAGGAGACTCGCAGGCATCTTCTCAATGGTTAGCACCTGCTTAGAGTTAAATAAGGCTGCACAGAATTCAAGGCAATTGGACTTACGTTCACTTGTGACTATGTAGGGATTCTAGGCTGGTTCCACTTTTTGACTCCGTCCCCAGGTTCTGCTCCTCCTTCCCCTACACATAAATGTGTTCTATATCTATGCTGATCTGCTCATCCATAGACAAATTAATTAACCTCTAAGCAATAAAGCCTATTACAAAACATCTCGTACTATTGACATAGAGACATAAGAGGAAATAATAAACTATACACAGACCCTTTTAAAAGACTTGAGTCTTCATTAGAGACAATAGTTCCCACACACAGAGATGTTAAACTCCTGGAATGACTCCAGAAAGATAGAGTGTTATTTTTCTGGGGTTCACCCTCTCCCCCAAAACACAGCATTCACGCCAGCATTAGCATCTGACAACTCAAGTGTTGGTACTCAAATGCTGTTATCAATATTGAATATACGAGTCCAATATTAGTATATGAGGCATCTTTGGATAGTTAATTTATTTTCATTTATACATTAGGCTAGGGGTCCCCGACCTTGGCAACTTTAAGACCTGGGGACTTCAACTCCCAGAATTCCCCAGCCAGCCATGGACCATGCTGGCTGGGGAATTCTGGGAGTTGAAGTCCACAGGTCTTAAAAATTGCCAAGGTCGGGGGCCATTGCATTAGGCTTTGATAGAGAGAGTCAGATCTAAAACATAGGAACTTTTAACTGAACCGTAAATAGACTAATCGTTCAAAGTAAAAAAAAAATACTAAGGAATTTCAAAAAATGTCATAAGTAAGATATGCACTTTGTTTCACGATAATGTAAATCTTGTCCCTAAACAAGACAAGTCACTATTATTTAAGTGAAACAATTCTGACACTGTTCCTTGTTATAAATCTTGTGGATTTAATCTATGGACTGGGTTTTTTTTTTCCAGTAATGTATGTTTTCCTTCTCTGGAATATGTCCATTATCTATAATACTGTACAGTCAGGGAATATGAGTAATTTCTGCTCAACATTCCAGAGAGAGGTGAAGTTGCTGAACTAAGTGCTTTTCCCGTAAATCACTTTCGTTAAAGTGTTTTTTTTTAATACACCGTCACTTAATGCCTTTCCAAGCTTTTACTCATTTGACAAAGCTTTGCTGGAGTCCAAGTGAACCCAGTTCCATTTGCTTAGCCCTTGTACTCCAGAAGTTGAAAATAGATTCTGGAAGAAAGGGGTGATAATAACCACAGAAAAAAAGAAAGAAAAAAAGTTATTTAAGCCCTTGGATTCCAGTTTGCATAGAGAGAGAGAGAGGCCTTCAATTTGTCATTTTGGGAAACAGCTGCTTAATCTGTCTTAAGGCTCTCTAGGATTATTAGAATGGTTTTGGAAAAAGGACTGTAAAAATGTTGCCGGGCAGCTTAGGAAAAAAAATTCATTTATGAAGAAGTTGTGGATTAGAGATGCTGGCCGATCTTCTGACTTTGCCGAAGCGGTGATTAGAAAATGAATGGATGTGTAAAGTGAGAATTTTACACATTCTGATTGTTGTTGTTTTTTTTTTCTTTTTTAATGTGCACATTCAAAACATAAGTCCTTCCGCTCAGGTGTATTTTCTTTCTCAATGGAAGTAGTTTTCTCTTCTTTTTTTTCCTTCAACCAGCAGACAGCCATTTGTCCGAAATGGTATAGGGTTTCCTGCCTGAGCAGGGGGTTGAACTAGATGACCTCTAAGGTCCCTTCCAACTTTGTTATTCTATTCTATTCTATTCTATTCTATTCTATTCTATTCTATTCTATTCTATTCTATTCCATTCCATTCCATTCCATTCCATTCCATTCTATTTTCTATTCTGCTCTGTTCTGTTATATTCTGCATTCAATTCTATTTTCTATTCTGTTCTGTTCTATTCTATTCTGTTTTCTATTTTATTCTGTTCTGTTCTATTCTATTCTGTTCTATTCTGTTCTATTTCTTATTCTATTCTATTCTATTCTATTCTATTCCATTCTATTTTCTATTCTGTTCTGTTCTGTTCTGTTATATTCTGCATTCAATTCTATTTTCTATTCTATTCTATTCTATTCCATTCCATTCCATTACATTACATTACATTACATTACATTATGTTTTCTATTCTATTCTGTTCTGTTCTGTTATATTCTGCATTCAATTCTATTTTCTATTCTATTCTGTTCTATTCTATTCTGTTTTCTATTCTATTCTATTTCTTATTCTATTCTATTCTATTCTACTCTATTCTATTCTTATCTGAAATAGCATAGGGTTTCCTGCCTGAGCAGGGGGTTGGACTAGATGACCTCCAAAGTCCCTTCCAACTCTGTTATTCTATTCTATTCTATTCTATTCTATTTTATTCTATTCTATTCTATTCTATTCTATTCTATTCTATTCTTATCTGAAATAGCATAGGGTTTCCTGCCTGAGCAGGGGGGTTGGACTAGATGACCTCCAAGGTCCCTTCCAACTTTATTATTATTATTATCTGCTCTGAGCCACTGCTGCGTTCCTGACTGTAGTTCAGTGACCTCCATCATTTTCAAAACACTTTGACTGTTGATCGTTCACTGCAAACAAGAACCCAACCGATGTAATCCGGTCCCCCCACCAGATCTAAGCATTTAAATATTTTCTGGAGAGAAATTCAGCTGTTCGCCCTTTGAAAAGCGACGATTTTGTGATGTTTACTTCGAGGGCAGCTGGAAATTCTTAAATACTTTTAAAACCGCTTCCAGTTTAATTACTAATTGGGAGCAATGAATACAGTGCAAACTTAGGTATGTTGACTTGGTGGTATGTGTCAGATTAAAAGACGGGAAATATATATATCCCAACTCAATTTACATTACATGTCTTTTTGCTCCATAACATGCTGGAAGATTTTTCTGGATTCATTACCTGGGAGATTTCTATTACCTTATTAGTTAGTACCAAAATATTAATAATTCTCTTAAGCGTACAGAGGGAGTCATCTCTATATAAAGTTACAATCCAAATTTCTAGGCACACAAGTTGTTTGATTCCCTACGTGTGTGAGATAGGTGAGGGCTTACCTACATATTCTGGGTTAAATGACCTATATTCTGTGTTTTGTACGTCTAATCCAGTGTTTCTCAACCTTGACCATTTTAAGGCATGTGGACATCAACTCCCAGAATTCCACAGCCAGCAACGCTGGCTGTGGAATTCTGGGAGTTGAAGTCCACATGCCTTAAAATGGTCAAGGTTGAGAAACACTGGACTCTAATCCAATATATTTTAGGGGGAAAAAAAGCCACTGATAGGAATAGGAAGCAGACGGTGGATCATTCTTCCATTTTGGAGAGGAAAATGACGCGTAAGGGTTTCTGTTTTACCTTTTGTCAAAGATGCTTGTAATTTTACTGTTTTGGAAAACAGTTGGAGAACATTGTAGACTTCTGAGCTTGGCGCAGAATTGCTGACACAGTGAATTACTCTCTACAATACCCCAGTTCTTGTCCGACCACTATCAACAATAACATTCAGCAATAGAAAATATGACTCTAAAACTGGAAATAGTCGCTATCTACACCAAAGGAATCTAGATTTACCTACAGAGGGTTTTCATTAAGGAAGATCCAGGCATCTTCAACTATTTGTAGCCATGATTAAAAATTAAATTTAACTGTCATTGTTCTACAATATATTACTGCGAGTACATGCTCAAGATTGATCGGCGATTATTTTAAAAAACCTGCAAAGCTGGCCTTACTATTACAATATAACGATTTCACTTGGTCAAGCTGATTTCTGGAACATTTAAACCATAGAAGACCCTTAATAATGTGTGAACATAACTAATTATTGTTTTTTTTTTTCCAGGCCACCTGGATCAAAAGGATGAGAAAGGGAAATGCATTAAAGCGGAGACACAGCGAGGCACAATAACTCTCAAAATGCAAAGCTGGTTCCAGTCTTTGAAGCTGAATATTCCTTGATAATACTTCCTTTTTTAAATATAGACAGAACAATGAAAGGGGATTGCTTGTATTTCTTGATAAAGAAAGTATGAATATTACTTCTCTGAATTGGAGATATGTTTATCTTTTTGATGAGCTCGTTTAAAGAGAGATTCAACCTGGAGCTAAGGAGGAATTTCCTGACAATCATGAAAACAATTAATCAATGGAACAACTTGCCTCCTGGACTGACGGATGCTCCATCACTGGAGGTAGTAATAATAATGAAGTTGGAAGGGACCTTGGAGGTCATCTAGTCCAACCCCCTGCTCAGGCAGGAAACCCTATCCCATTTCACACAAATGGCTGTCCAGTCTCTTCTTAAAAACCTCCAGTGTTGGAGCATTCACCGCTTCTGGAGGCAGGTTGTTGCGCTGGTTAATTGTTCTCACTGTCAGGAAAATTCTCCTTAGTCTTCAACGTGTGGTCTTCAAGGATGTAATAAGTAATAAGGTCTCCTGCCTCATTCAGGGGGTTGGACTAGAAGACCTCCAAGGTCCCTTCAATCCTATGTTTTTAGGAATCGCAGAATGAGTGTATATGACATATCAATTATTTGTTTGCAAAAGCATTTTGCCCCCTTGTGGCTTAACATCTCTGGATAGAGGTAAGAAATACTGACCACAATAAAATATTACGATTTTTTTTTCCCCCGTCACTAAAAACAACCAACTTCACAGGCTTCAGCTAAGGCTGCAGACAAACAACAGACATCTTTGAAAATAACTAAAATAATCCTTTCAGAAAGACTGGAGCCAGGAAGCTTGGAGCTGATGGGGTTAGAAAGACGAAGACCCCTGGAACCAACAACCCCTCATCCCCAAAAAACCCAACACAGGACATAGCCCATCAGCCACAGCCCCGGGGAAGGAGGACATGATTCTTTAGGACAGTGTTTCCCAAACTTGACAATTTTAAGGCATGAGGACTTCAACTCCCAGAATTCCACAGCCAGCAACGCTGGCTGTGGAATTCTGGGAGTTGAAGTCCACATGCCTTAAAATTGTCAAGTTTGGGAAACACTGCTTTAGGACATAATAGGATTAATCCACCGCTCCCAAACTTTTTCTCCGAAGAAGAAACAAAACAAAGTCATAACTTTTCCTCTACAGTTTTAAAGAACAACAAAAAAAAGGAACATTGTTTGACAGGGACTTGGTTACCAATAAATGAAAAGGCATTTCTTTTCTTTTTTAAAAAAAAGTACCTTCCCCCCCCCCCCCACTAACAAAAAGGATTGTCGGCTTTTAGGGAGTTTTAAACATCTGGCACCTTTTTTTTTAGGGATCTTCTGCCAGGCTTCCCGGCGAGATCAAACTTTCTTCCACGGCTTGTTCGGTTACGGTTTCAATCAGCGGAAGCTTGGCGTGTTCCAGGTCTTTCTGTCCCGAAATCCCCACGATGCTGGGTCTCGGCACCATCGTGCTGTACCGGCGCTTTTTCAGTTTCTTCGGCATCATCAATTCATCGCCGCTGACGCCATAATCAAACCACAGAGGCGGTTCGTCGTCGTTGTATTCGTATTTCTGGAGCCGTGGGGCGTAATTTAAAACAGCCGGGCTAAAAGAGAAATGGCGTAACGTGAGAAGACATAATTAGCCACTTCCATTATTAGCAACCACAAAGAAGAGGGAGTGGAGCTATTCTCCAAAGCGTCTGAAGGCAGGACAAGAAGCAACGGATGGAAACTCATCAAGGAGAGAAGCAACCTGGAACAAAGGAGAAACTTCCTGGCGGTGAGGACAATTAACCAGTGGAACCACCTGCCTCCAGAAGCGGTGAATGCTCCAACACTGGAAGTTTTTAAGAAGAGACTGGACAGCCATTTGTCTGAGATGGTATAGGGCAGTGACGGCGAACCTTTCAGAGACCGAGTGCCCAAATTGTGACCCAAAACCCACTTATTTATCGCTGGGTGCCAGGTGGGCGTGGCCCACTGGGTGGGCATGGCTGTGGTGCTCATGGCAGGCCGGGTGGGTGAGTGTGGCCAAGGTGGGCGTGGTCACCTTGGTGTTGCTCGTGGGGAGGGATGCCTGTGGGGGCTGGGCAGAGTTGGGGAACATCCAGGGGGTCTCTGGCAGGTGGGGCCGTGGGCAGGAGGCTCGTCCTGCGGGGTGAGGTGAGGCGAGGTGAGGCAGGGCGGGACGGGGATGCCATTGTCGCAGGGCAAGGCATCATTGGCCCCAGCACACAGAGGCCAGCGAGCACATGGGGGCCAACAGTGTCCGTCAGCAGCCACAGCCCCTTGACCAGCGCACTCTGGAGTTCCATAGCCTGCAGCCAGCAGTTCAGAGAAGCTGCCTCTGAGCTGGATGGATGGCCGACAGATGAGGAGGTGATTCAGCGGGTCATGCCCGGGAAAAGGAGAGCATCGGAGGCCAGGAGGGATGGGAGGGTAGGAGAGAAACCAGCCATGCTGGGATGCATCCGGCCACGTGGGACCTCGGTGAGTTAGCAGGTGGCTGATTGAAGAGAGACAGTTGCCATCTCCGGGGCATGGCGCGCGTGTCCACAGACAGGGCTCCGAGTGCCGCCTCTGGCACGCGTGCCATAGGTTCGCCACCACTGGTATAGGGGGTACCTTGCTCAATAGTAGTAACTGTGAGAGGGATCTCGGAGTCCTAGTGGACAATCCCTTAAATAGGAGCCAGCCGTGTACTGCAGCTGCCAAAAAGGCCAACACAGTGCTGGGCTGCGTTAACAGCGGGAGAGAATCAAGGCCACATGAAGTGTTAATACCACTTTACGACGCCTTGGTGAGGCCACACTTGGAATACTAAACGAATGGCTGTTAAGTTGAGAACTATCTGTATATTATTTAGAAGGATTGTTTCGTTTAGGGCAACGGTTCTCCACCTGTGGGTCGGGACCCCATTTGGGGTCGAACGACCATTTCATTGGGGTCGCCAAACAACGCAGTCCGCCATTTTTCCCCCCTTTTCCTTAGCTGGGCTACTCCCTTTTATTCTATTGGCTTTTGAAAGCCAATAGAATAGACTCTCTTGAATAGAGTCTAATTCTATTGGCTTTCAAAAGCCAATAGGAATTGTCCAGGCTGTCTCTGCCCTGCTGAGCCCGCCAAAAGTCCCATTCTGCAAACGGTGCTGCACCAGTTGAGTAGTCCTTGACTTACGACCGGTTGAGTAGTCCTTGACTTACGACCGGTTGGGGGTAGCGGCATTAAAAAGGTTGAGAACTACTGGTTTAGGGAATCTGTACATTCGTCTTGGAGAACATCTTACCGGGTAATGCCTGCGCAGTACAACATTTTAAGTATTCGGAGTTGCAGGCAGCCTTTGGCCAGGTTTTTTAGTGTTTTGTCGGTAACATTTTTGCAACCCGAAATATCCAGATAATGCAGGAAACTGCACCCCGAAGCTATTAACTGGATCCCCGAATCGTTGATCTGTCAATCAAGCAAAAACGTGACACAGAGTGGAAAGCCGTTCGTAAATGATAACGTCAACACTGCAGAATAGGAAACCTTGACTTGGGAGCTCTTTAATCTATGCTGGGATAAACGTGTCCTTTAATATAATATTTTTTTAAAAAAATAAGTAATAGAATTACTCTGAACGCCTTAAAATTGGACGTAACAATATGCCAGGGAACCCTCAGATAATTTGGGGGCACCACCTCATTCCTAGTGGTTGTGACGCAGGCCACAATGTGTCGGCTTGCACAGTATTCTTTAGATCAGCGGTCCGCCAACTTTTTGGACACCATGGACCGGGGGGTGGAGACCTGGTTTCACGCGCTACCTAGATCACACACATGCGCAGATGAAGTACTGGTCCATGGTTCCTATCGGGCCGTGGACCAGGACTGGTCTGCGGGCTGGGGGTTGTGGACCTTTGCTTTAGATGAGAAATCCTAGCCCAGTGGTGGCGAACCTATGGCACGAGTGCCAGAAACAGCACTCAGAGTCCTCTCTGTGGGCACGTGCGCCGTCACCCCAGTCCTAGGCCTTCAGCTGGGTTTTATAAAACCTTTTCGCTTTAGGCCTCCGCCGCCGTGTGCAAAAAAAAAAAAAATAGGTTCAATCAGTCAATTTCAACATCTTGTGAGAAAAAAAATTTTTTGCAAAGTTGGAATTGATTGAGTGAACTTTTTAGTCTCACCCAGTCTGCCATTACCACCGAAGCCACGCCCAGCCAATGGGCCACACCCACCCGGCACCCGACGATGCATAAGTGGTTTGGGGTTGCAGTTTGGGCACTCAGTCTCTAAAAGGTTCGCCATCACTGTCCTAGCCTACTAGAATAACATGAGTATGCTTGGAGTAAAATTGGTCTTTGGTAGCCTGGAGTCCTAGTACCCTTTATATGCCCAAAATGACTCGTATTGTATTTCTGCTACTAGCCTACGTCTTGGTAAGAGAGACCAATGTGGGACAGACTGTACTATCACCAGTACACGAAGCAAGAATGGTTACAAAACTAGAGAGGTATGGAGAGGAATAATATGGAAACTAGTTTGTTAAGTGTCTGTGAGTGGGGAGGGTGTGCGCACTCGCCAGCCATTCCCGCAGCCCCGTGACCAACAGGCCACGGACCGGTACCGGCCCACGGCCCACAGGTTGGGGACCCCGGGGTTAAGGTATCCCACCTTGGAACTTTAAGATCTGTGGACTTCAACTCCCAGAATTCCCTAGCCAGAGAGAGACAGAGACAGAGACAGAGTCTTAAAATTGCCAAGATGGGATACTCCTTGCTTTTACAAAGAAGAGCCAAACAACAAGTGTCTCCCATCCTCATGATCTAGAACAGTGATGGTGAACCTTTTAGAGACTTGAGTGCCCAAACTGCAACCCAAAACCCACTTATGCATCGTCGGGTGCCGGGTGGGTGTGGCCCATTGGCTGGGTGTGGCCCATTGGCTGGGCGTGGCTGCAATGATAACGGCAGACTGGGTGGGACTAAAAAGTTCAATCAATCCATTCCAACTTTGCAAGATCTTTTTTTCCCGCGAGAAGTTGAAATTGACTGATTGATTGAACCTTTTTTTTTTTTTTTTTTTGCACATGGCGGCGGAGGCCTAAAGCGAAAAGGTTTTATAAAACCCAGCTGAAGGCCTAGGACTGGGGCGACGGCGCGCGTGCCCACAGAGAGGGCTCTGAGTGCCGCCTCTGGCACCCGTGCCATAGGTTCGCCACCACTGCTCTAGAACAGTGTTTCTCAACCTTGACCATTTTAAGGCATGTGGACTTCAACTCTCAGAATTCCACAGCCAGCAATGCTGGCTGTGGAATTCTGGGAGTTGAAGTCCACATGCCTTAAAATGGTCAAGGTTGAGAAACACTGCTCTAGAATCTACATCTAGCCACAAGTGCTGGCTAAATATATAGAACCAAGGATGGGGAGCTGGGCTTAAGAATTAAATTATGACGGAGGACTTGGCCTTTAACTCTCCGTCTGAAATAAAGGGGATGTACAGGAATCTCCATGTGCCAAAATTATTAGTAACAAAAACAGCCACTTTGGATGGGGCAGACTTGACAGAATCTTGTAAGTTTTTTTATTGCTTGTGCCATACTCAAAATGAAGGGGGGGGAGGCGTTAAGTATCGTGCTTTTCATACGTACCTTGACACAACCCACCATAATGAGACAGGTGAGTTTGCGGCAATTTAACGACAAATTTTTTAATGTAGCATTTGATATGTGCCGGCAGAAGGACAAATCGACGTAGTCTAGTTTTTTCAATTCAGTACACAATACCTGGAACGTAAGTTACACAGATGTAGGGTTTCGATGTGTTTGTGTGTATTAACCAGAGAGAGCTTCTCAATCATATTCATTAATGTATTTCTCCTTGAAATAACCAGCTTTCTCCTCATTCTATTCTGTTCTGTTCTGTTCTACTCTACTCTACTCTACTCTACTCCACTATACTCCACTCCAATCTATTCTACTCTACTCTACTCCACTCCATTCCATATTCTATATTCTATTCTATTCTATTCTATTCTATTCTATTCTATTCTATTCTATTCTATTCTATTCTATTCTATTAAAATAGGGATGAATTTGAGTCCCACAGATAGCAAGCATAACACTTCTATAAGAATGACAATTAATTTTATATTGAAATTTATATTAAATCTCAAAATATTAACACACAAAATCCAACAGAGTCACACATGTGACACCTGTCTGTTATTTTACCTTCATTCCTGTGTCAGAAATCAGCCTACACTCCGACAGAATAATCTCCTTAATTTTCAAATGTCTGCCAAGGCTCTCCAAACCCTGTTGACATTTGAAACCACCGTTAATGCACTAGCTATCTAATATAATAATAATTATTATTCTACAAAATAGAATAGAATAGAATAGAAAATGTAGAGTAGAGTAGAGTAGAGTAGAGTAGAATAGAATAGAATAGAATAGAATAGAATAGAATAGAATAGAATAGAAATAGAAATAGAAATAGAAATAGAAATATAGAATAGAAAATATGGAATGGAATGGAACAGAACAGAATAGAATAGAATAGAATAGAAATATAGAATAGAAAATATGGAATGGAATGGAACAGAACAGAATAGAATAGAATTACAATGGAATGGAATGGAACAGAACGGAATAGAATTACAATAGAATTACAATGGAATGGAATAGAATAGAATAGAATAGAATAGAATTAGAAATATAGAATAGAAAATATGGAACGGAACAGAACAGAATAGAATAGAATTACAATAGAATTACAATGGAATGGAATGGAATAGAATAGAATAGAATAGAATAGAATAGAATAGAATAGAATAGAATAGAATAGAATTAGAAATATAGAATAAAAAATATGGAATGGAATGGAACAGAACAGAACAGAATAGAATTACAATAGAATTACAATGGAATGGAATGGAATGGAATGGAATAGAATAGAATTAGAATTAGAATTAGAAATATAGAATAGAAAATATGGAATGGAATGGAACAGAATAGAATAGAATCCAATAGAATTACAATGGAATGGAATAGAATAGAATAGAATTAGAATTAGAATTAGAAATATAGAATAGAAAATATGGAATGGAATGGAACGGAACAGAACAGAATAGAATAGAATTCTTTATTGGCCAAGTCTGACTGGACACACAAGAAACATGACAATGATCCACAAAGCCCCACAAACATGGGCATATTCAAGAAATCCTGTCTAGCAATCCACTTTCCAATTTTCTGGCTCCTCACCTGATCAGTGATGCCTATCCGTGAAATATTGAGATAGGCTAACGAAGCCATCGCTGTCATAGCCTGCATCCCCGTATCTGTCACAAGTTGGCAATTATGCAAATTCAGATAAATGAGATTCGGGCACCTAAAGAAAAGACAGGAGAACATTTTTCGAAATGTTTCTTACTTATGCTATAATTCGTCTTTGGCCCACGCAGGTAGTCCTCGCCTTACGAACACACTGGGGCCCAAAATTTCCATTGCTAACCGAGACATTTGTTAGTTTTGCCCCGTTTCGCGACCTTTGACACTGTTGCTAAGTGAATCACTGCCCTTGTTCAATCGTTAAGTGAATCCGGCTTCCCCATGGACGTTGCTTGTCGGAAAGTCACAAAAGGGGATCACATCGTCCCCGGGGCACTGCGACCGTCGTTAATATGAGTCGGTTGCCAAGTGTCTAAATTTTGATCACGTGATGATATGAGAGTTGCAACGTTCGTAAGTGGGAAAAGGGATCCTAACTCACTTTTTTATCAGTGCTGTTGTAACTTTGAACGGTCATTAAATAAACTTGTCGTAAGTTGAGGAATCCCTGCACAGCACATTCCAACGAAGAAAATAAAAGTGGAACTTTCAAGTCATAGAAGGGACATAAAGCATGCATGCCCACACACACACAAACACACACCTTTGGGATTTTGTAGCGCCTACGCATTCATCAATCTATTGGAAGACGTTCTGGAACCTTCCCTTTCTTGGAAAGGAGATCTATTTTATTTTATTTATTTATTTATTTATTTTGAAGGGTTTCGTTCCTTCCAAATGTTGGCATTGCCACACAGCCTCTTTTGATGAATTAAATGTTAACTCGGTTTTAAAATTCTGAGCGACGTCCTGGCTTCCGTGATGTGAGGCCTGTGCCATTTTCCAACACCAAAAGGGTTCTTTGTGTGCTGCCAGCGAAGCTTCACGGAATCGCGTTGGGTTGAATGTTTTGACAGCTAGAGAGAAAATTTTGTTTAATCCGGGCGATGGGTGTAAACGATGCCAGAGTGAATGAATGCCATCCATTCAGTCTGCTGCTTCCATCTTGGGACCGGCTCAAAACTAAATATCATATGGCTTTAAACCCCCAGCCAATTTTGTAGAATAATTATTATGAATTATTAGAAACTCTTAACACTTAGTGGGGTCCTGTGTTGACGTGTCTGCCAGGGGCTTCTGTAAATTATGTCTCCCTATATATATTATGGGAGAGACACTCTGTTTGCTTCCTCTGCTGAGACCTGTCAAATAGGGTCAGAACCCCTGGCATCGCCCTCAGCTCCCTGAGACCATCCAGCTGTACCAAGATAGTGCCTCAGCAGGGGATTCTCTCTTCCTCTATCTATCTATCTATCTATCTATCTATCTATCTATCTATCTATCTATCTTTCTTTCTTTCTTTCTTTCTTTCTTTCTTTCTATCTTTCTATCATCTCTATCCTATCATCTTTCTCGCTCTCTCTAGTTACCATCTATCTATATCTATATCATCTACCTATCATATCTGTCTGTCTATCTATCTATCATCTATCTATCTATCTATCTATCTATCATCTCTATCCTATCATCTTTCTCTCGTTCTCTCTAGCTACCATCTATCTATATCTATCTATCTATCTATCTATCTATCTATCTATCTATCTATCTATCTATCTATCATCTCTATCCTATCATCTTTCTCTCTCGTTCTCTCTAGCTACCATCTATCTATATCTATATCACTATCTATCTATCTATCTATCTATCTATCTATCTATCTATCTATCTATCTATCTATCTATCTATCTATCTATCATCTCTATCCTATCATTTTTCTCTCTCGTTCTCTAGCTACCATCTATCTATATCTATATCATCTGTCTGTCTGTCTGTCTGTCTATCTATCTATCTATGTAGGTGGGCGGTCAATAAAATTTAAAAATAAACAATGTTTGGTCTGGGACCCTTCCTGGTTTCAATGACTCTCAGTCCCAATTAACTATTGCTATATTATTTTAAAAGACATATCATATCATGGTTAAAATCAGCATTTTTTTCCAAACACGCTTCTTTAAAACTTCCTATGCTAAGGATTGGCAAATAAGAAACACCTTAGAACAGGGGTCTTCAAACTCGGCCCTTTTATGACTTGTGGACTTCAGCTCCCAGAATTCCTCAGCCAGCATGCACACTGGCTGAGGAATTCTGGGAGCTGAAGTTCACAAGTCATGAAAAAGGGCCAAGTTTGAAGACCCCTTGACTTAAAATGTGATACCTTTCAGATATTTTCACGAGGGAAATGTCAGAGACGTGGCAACAATTAGCCAAATTGAGTTCTTTTAATTTGGGAGCTGAACGACCGTCAACAAATGATTTTATTCCCGAATCACCGATTCTGAAACATAAAAAGAAAATACTTACTCTTATCTTAGTCACGAGTCTAAAATTAAAGTTTTTTTAATAATTTTAGTATTTGAATGCAATCTATCTATCTATCTATCTATCTATCTATCTATCTATCTATCTATCTATCTATAATTTATCTATCTATCTTGATGACCTCCAAGGTCCCTTCCAACATTATTATTATTATTATTATTATTATTATTATTATTATTATTCTATCTATCTATCTATCTATCTATCTATCTATCTATCTATCTATCTATCTATCTATCTATCGCATTCTATATGTTTAATGTTAAATTTATTTGATATTTGGGTCATTTTCCCCCCTTTTTTGTACACATTTTGGCTTTATGATAGCTCTTTTTTTCTTTCAAGTAATGCCATGACCTCAACACTTTAGAATGCATAGAAAAAATAACAATTCCATTCAAACGAGTTATTTCGTCAGGTAACGATAACAATACCTTGTGCATCCGGATAGATTGAGGATAACAATTTGGTCCAGCGGTACAATTAACTTGAGAGCTACATCTGTTATTCTCTGGCAATTGGCTACACAAATCTGATTCATTCGGGGCCAGAATTTGCTCATGATTTGGAACGTGAGATCTGTAACCCGATTGCTCCCTGTTGAGACAATCCACCATTAGGTCACTCTAAGCCAGCATGGGAAAAACTACTTCCGCCGCTAGATACCCGGCACAGGTGGTCCTCGACTTACCACCACAAGGAAGCCCCAAATTCCTGTTACTAGGCAAGGCATTCCTTAATCGAGTTTTTCCCCATTTTACGACCTTTCTCGCCATGGTCGTTAAACGAGTCAGTGCAGTTGTTCAGTTAGTAGCACGGCTGTTAAGTGAATCTGGCTTCCCCACTGACTTGTCAGAAGGTCGCGAAACAAGATCACATGACTCATGGGACACCGCGACCGTCATAGATACAAGTCAGTGGCCAAGCGTCTGAATTTTGATCACATGACCCTGGAGGGGATGCTGCGATTTGTCGTTAAGTGTAAAAAACTGGTCAGACGTCCCTTTTTTTCCAAACCCTTTGTAACTTCGAACGGACGCTGAAGGAATGGTTGTTAAGTCGAGGACTAATTATCGTAGCAACTCAAGAGTTCCTTTAAAGCAGGGGTCCGCAACCTATGGGCCGTGGCCCAGTACCGGCCCGTGGGACTGGCTGGCGAGTGTGCCCAAGTGTGCATGCACCCTCCCCGCTTGTGCTAGCGCCGCCATGCGGGTGCTAGCAGCCCTGTTTGTGCATAGCTAGCGCCACCGCCAGCGTTGTGTGGGTACTAGCGCCCCGTCTGCACATTTGTGGGGGCGCTAGCAGCCCATTTGCACATGCGCGCATGCCCTAGCGTCCCATTTGGTGCCAGCGCCGCCACCAGTGCCTCTGTGGGCACGTGCGCTCCGCTTGCACATGTGTGTGTATCTAGTGTCGCTGCTGGGCGTGCCCATGTTTTGCGCATGCATATGCCCGTACTTTTCCCTGCTCCTCCCTTTCCCTCCAGGCCACCAACCCGGAAAGGTTGAGGAGGTCTGATCTAAAGTCAGAGGCAACCGGATCGTTCTTCAAAAAAAAGGCCATGTGCCAGACATGTCTTCAACAGCGGAGGGACCCAGGGCAGAAAACCTGCAGCCTAGAAGGTTCCCCATCCATTTGCACCACTCAGGTGACCCTGAGGACACAGGTAAACCTCCAAGTGGCCTCAAGGACTCTTTAAAAGAAGGCGAAGGACCATTCTTTTAGAGAGTCGTTGAGGCCACTTGGAGGTTTATCTGTGTCCTCAGTTGTCCCAAAGGTGCTTTTTCAGGAGGCAACTGGACTTCTTTGTTTGTCTTTGAAGACGTTTCGCTTCTCATCCCAGAAGCTTCTTCAGCTTTGACTGGATGGTGGGAAGCGGAAGGACTTATACTCCTTGCAGAGAGCTGGTCATTTGCATTCTTTTAGAGAGTCCTTGAGGCCACTTGGAGGTTTACTCAGGAAGGTTGCATGAGGGGTGAAAACGGGTGTGGAGCCTTCTTGGAATTGTTGAAAGGACGCCCATTTCCACTACTCAGGTGACCCTGAAGACACAGATAAGCCTCCAAATGGCCTCAACGACTCACCAAAAGGATGCAAATGACCAGCTGTCTGCAAGGAGTATAAATCCTTTCATTCCCCACCATCCAGTCAGAGCTGAAGAAGCTTCTGGGATGAGAAGCGAAACGTCTTCAAAGAAAAAACAAGGAAGTCTAAGTTGCCTCGTGAAAAAAGCACCTTTGGGACAACCAGGACCTGGATTGATTGAGAATCTCCCTAGACATGTGTCAGAATCACTAACCTTGGATCTTCATTTTGACCAGTTTACACATTTCCAGAGCTTGGAGACCAACATCGGACACGTGTGGAGATTCATTGAATTCGACCGACTCAATCCTTGGGCACTTTGGCACCAAAGCCTTGAAGAGAGCAGGACACAATTCAACCAACCACATGGCATCCTTTCATAAAAACGCCTTTTGAGAAAACAACACAAGTTGATAAAATAAACTTCCTTTTCTGTGCCGTTTCATGCAAATTCGGAGTGCTTGGGTATGGTTAAGGAGGGCACTGACTTTTCTAGGCTGCCCTATCTATGTTTCCTGATAAAATACATGGGAAAATCCCATTGGAGGAATAGTCCATTTCAGACAAATGGCTGTCCAGTCTCTTCTTAAAAACTTCCAGTGTTGGAGCATTCACCGCTTGTGGAGGCAGATTGTTCCACTGGTTAATTGTTCTGACTGTCACGAAATTTCTCCTTAGTTCCAAGTTGCTTCTCTCCTTGATGAGTTTCCATCCATTGCTTCTTGTCCTGCCTTCAGGCGCTTTGGAGAATAGCTTGACTCCCTCTTTTGGGGGGCAGCCCCTGAGATACTGGAAGACTGCTATCCTGTCCCCCCTCGTCCTTCTCTTCATTAAACTTAATATACCCAATTCCAGCAACCGTTCCTTTTATGTTTTAGCCTCCAGTCCCCTGATCATCTCTGTTGCTCTTCTCTGCCCACTTTCTAAAGTCTCAACCTCTTTTTTACATCATGGTGACCAAAACTGGATGCAGTATTCCAAGTGTGGCCTTACCAAGGCCTTGTAAAGTGGTATTAATACTTCACATGATCTTGATTTTATCCCTCTGTTAATGCAGCCCAGCACTGTGTTGGCTTTTATGGTGAATTAGGAACCATTATCAAAGGAAAGGTTTCAAAGCCATGTTTCCTCTTAAGATAGGCTGACCAGTAGTAACCACACAACAGAACAACTAGACAAAAGGACAGTTTCCCCGCCCCCCCCCCCATGATGCCATCTCTCTGCTGAATGAATTCCTACAACGCTGTCAAAATACTTAGTAAAGCTTTATTACTATGATGCTCCTCATCTTTTCCTATTACCTATCCTTATCTTCTTATAACTACAACTTTGTGGCTTCTATCTTACCATTTATATTGGGATTTTTTTTTTTAGCATCCTAGTATGATTTATGTTGTTTGCTTAGCTAGTATTCTATAACTATCAACTCAGTGTTGCATCCGATGATTTATGACGAAGTGTCGTATTTCAAGATTTATGATGAATGCATTTTCAGGTTGTATATGACCATGATTATCCTTATTATTTGTGTATACGCTGAGAGCTCAGGCACCGGAGACAAAATCCTTGTGTGTCTAACCACGCTTGGCCAATGAAGAATATTCTATTCTGACAGAAAAAAAATTGCCTTTAAAAAAAGCAAAATACTCTTCCCAAAGTTTCCAATTAACCCCTCAGGCTTGTTTGGCAGCGTCTTTCAAAAATCTTCTAAGCGTGCCCTGGAACTGTGGAGCTCATGGTTTAAATAAAGCCGAGATACACAAGGGATTTCTCAATGTTGGACAAATCACTCACAGGAAATGATGGGGCCGGAGTCTTCACTGTTTCAACCTGAAAAACAAGCTGATCCGGCCGAGGATCTGTTTAATGTCCAATATTCAGTTTCTGCAGAGGTCAAGAAAAGCTCCATTGCTTTTGATTGCTGGCATTTGTCAACAATTGGTATTGAGAAGCATGACTTCTGCCTATCACGGCTTCATCTGCTATTAATTTGCCCAGTTCCTTTCCAAAAATCTTTCTTTCTTTCTTTTTAAATATGGGGGAGAGATTAACACAGAGGTCCCGAACTTTTGGGACACTAGGGACCAGTTCCATGGAAAAAAGTTTTTTCCGCGGACCGGAGGGTGTGTGGTTTTGTGTGCTGCCTGCATCCCACGGATGGGGCTTTCCTTGTTTGTGTGGACCGGTTGTTAGCGTGCTATGGCCCGGTACTGGTCCATGGATCGGGGGTTGGGGACCCCTGGACTAGCACATGCAAAATTCCTCCAGTGGGAATTTCCCATGTATTTTACCAGGAAACATAGATAGGGCAGCCTAGAAAAGTCAGTGCCCTCCTAACCATACCCAAGCACTCTGAGTTTGTTGGCGATGTCCATTTTGCTCTATGAGTTCATGGCGACCTAACCCTAACCCTAAGTGGAATTTTCCTCCAATGGGATTTTCCCATGTCTTTTACCAGGAAAGATAGATAGGGCAGCCTAGAAAAGTCAGTGCCCTCCTAACCATACCCAAGCACTTCGAGTTTGTTGGCGATGTCCATTTTGCTCTATGAGCTCATGGCGACCTAACCCTAACCCTAAGTGGAATTTTCCTCCAATGGGATTTTCCCATGTATTTTACCAGGAAACATAGACTGGACAGCCTAGAAACGTCACTGCCCTCCTAACCATACTCAAGCACTCCGAATTTGTTGGCGATGTCCATTTTGCTCTCCGAGTTCATGGTGACCTAACCCTAACCCTTTAGGGTTTCCTGCCTTCGGCTGCCACAAAGAAATTTGGGGGTCAATTGTGGTCTTACGTCGAGGACTTATCTGTATTTCCAAGTACTGCCAACTCACCCGTTCACCTGCCAATATTCTACGCGTTCAACTGTCATCGCTCTTAAGTCCCTAAGACTCTCAGGCCAAAAGCCAAATTCAAAATTGTAAAAAAAAAAAAAAGTCTCCTTTCTTACTTGAATGCATCTGTCGGTAAGAGTCAGCATTTCGTTAATTGTCAGGCACTGGATCCTGCTGCAGCTCTTCGCGATATTCCTGAAGCCTTCCACCGTTAACTGATATAGATATAGATATATTTTAAAAAGGAAATTAATTATAAGCAATTTGCTGCAATGTATTAAGCACGAATCTAAAAACAAAAATACAGGCAGTCCTTGAATGACATTCACAGTTGAGCCCAAAATTTCTCAGACAGTTGTTAAGTGAGTTTTGCCCCAGTTTGTGACCTTTCCCAGAACAATTGCTAAGTGAATCACTGCAGTTGTTAAGTTAGTAACCTGGCTGCTAAGTAAAATGGGGCAAAACTTACCGTCTCACTTAGCAACAGAAATTTTGGGCTCAACTGTAGTCGTAAGTGGAAGACTACCTAGAACGGACTTCCAGAAGTAGCATCCACACACTTCCGGTGAGCCATTCTATAGGCCTGGGAGACCTCATCCAGGCCTCCGAGGCCTAGAACGGAGTTCCGGAAGTGGCATCCACGCACTTCCAGTGGGCCGTTGTAGGCCTGGGAGGCATCCTCTAGGCCAGTGGTTCTCAACCTGTGGGTCGGGACCCCATTTGGGGTCAAACGACCATTTCACGGGGGTCGCCAAACAAGGCTGTCCGCCATTTTTTCCCCCTTTTCTTTGGCTACGCCCCTGGCACCCGGTGATGTATAAGTGGTTGGGGGTCACCACAACATGGGGAACTGTATTATGGGGTTGCGGCATTAGAAAGGTTGAGAACCACTGCTCTAGGCCTCTGAGGCCTAGACTGGACTTCCGGAAGCCAGCCAGTCCTCCAAATGCAGCAAAATTTAGCTACTGGTTCTTCCGAACCAGTGCAAACAGGCTGAATCCCACCACTTAACCCGGTTGCTAAATGAATCTGACTTTCCCACTGATGTCGCAAAAGGTGATCACGTGACCCCGGGACACTGCGACCGTTATAAATACATGTCAGTTGCCAAGCATTCTAATTTTGATCACATGACCATGGAGGAATGCTGATGCAACGGTCCTCACTGTGAAAAAGGGTCGTAGGTCACTTTTTTCCGTGCCGTTGTTTAACTTCCAACGGTCGTTAAGTGAATGTTTGTAGGACAAGGGCTATCTGTATTTATAATAACTTTTGTACGTGGCGAATCGGTTCAGCTCTTTCAGGTGTTCCACATCAGCAAAATCCAGCGCGTGCGCACACCCACACACCCACACACACCATAGGCCTCTAGAGCAGTGGTTCTCAACCTGTGGGTCGGGACCCCATTTGGGGTCGAACGACCATTTCACGGGGGTCGCCAAACAACGCAGTCCGCCATTTTTTCCCCCCTTTTCCTTAGCTGTGCTACTCCCTTTTATTCTATTGGCTTTTGAAAGCCAATATAATAGACTCTCTTGAATAAAGTCTAATTCTATTGGCTTTCAAAAGCCAATAGGAATTGTCCAGGCTGTCTCTGCCCTGCTGAGCCCGCCAAAAGTCCCCTTCTGCAAACGGTGCTGCACCAGTTGAGTAGTCCTCGACTTACGACCGGTTGAGTAGTCCTCGACTTAACGACCGGTTGGGGGTCGCGGCATTAAAAAGGTTGAGAACCACTGATCTAGAGAAGAGTGAACTGAAAGTGGAGAGAAATCTGCATTTATCTCTGCCTCCTCGTCCAGATCGGTGGCTACACGTGCGTTTCAAAAGATTTGCCACCTGCTGAAAGGATTAGGAGATGAATTCTGCAGCCCGAGAGCTTGAGCGATACCTTTCCTAAAGTCCAGGGAAGCTAACGCAAGCAATCCATGAGGCTTACGATGTCAAGAGTGAATGATTGCACGGGCCACATTTAATCCTCCTAATGTACACGACGGGACCGCAATGTTTTGAAAAAAGCGTGACAGGCCCGATGAAAAATAAGCCAAACGCATTTATAAACTCTGCTCTTTTTCCGAGAGACTGTTGGGTTTCGGAGGTGTCGGAAGAGCAGGGACTGAAATCTTTTGAGCAAACAGAGGCACAGAAGTCATCCAGAGATGTTAAGCCCTTCTGGAGTTTCCTTGCCAAATATGAAGTGCAGAGCAGGCCCAGTTGCTGACTCGGCATTATCGGCAGTCCCTGGCCATTTTCTTCCCTACGGCCATGATTTACGAGGGCTTAGAAAATCCCTCAGCCGTTGCTAGGACAAAGGCTTCATCGGGTGATTTATCGCTGGAGGATGTTTGGAGGAAACGCTTTGGATGCTAAATGGCCAGGGACAAAAAAAAAAAAAAACGCTTCCCATCTGTTCAGCAACCACTGAAGCCTGAATTACAGGGAATCCTCAACTTATGACTGTAACAGAGGATAAAATTTCCATCACTAAGAGGGTGACGTTCGTGAAGTGAGTTTTGCAACGATTTGACAAGCTTTTTTCTGCCCCCGTTATTAAGTGAATCGTGCGGTTGTTAAATGAATCTGACTTTCCCCACAGACCTTGCTTCTTGGACGCCAGCCGGGAAGGTCACCACAAGGGGATCACGTGACCCCATGACTGTGCAACTGTCAGCGATGCACACCAGTTGCCGAGCCTGTGGATTCTGCTCGTGTGACCTGGGGATGCGGCAACGGTCGTAGGTGTGAAAAAATGGTCACAAGTCCCTGTTTTCAAGGCTGTCGTGACTCGGTTGTAAGTCAAGGACAGCCTGTGCAGCAATCAATAGAATCCTTCTCTCCCTTTCCCACCTTGAAATGCTGTTTTGGTCCTAGTTAGTAAAAAACGTTGCTTCTCCAACCACCCCATCCAAATCCATTGCAACAAAATACTTAGAAACATCCGCTGAGTATTCTGCTTGAGCTAGCTGACTCAGTTCCCTGGAAATAATTTGTAATTATGATTTAACTGGACTTGGAGTTAGATGATAGCACTCTTGAGGAGAGGCTGCAGGCTGAGCTGCTTGTCCTTTAAATCACTATTCGGTGATTTAACGTTTCTGTTGACATTTCTTAAGAAAAAGCAATAAAAGGTTGAACAGTGAAAAAAATGGCTATAGCCTTTGTAGAAATCAACTCTCTGTTACTGCATAGATCTGCAACTGCCTAGTGTAAGAAGACAATATAGAATAGAATAGAAATAAAGAATAGAATAGAATAGAATAGAAATAAAAATAGAATGGAATGGAATAGAATAGAATAGAATAGAATAGAATAGAATAGAATAGAATAGAATAGAATAGAATGGAATAGAATAGAATAGAATAGAATAGAATAGAATAGAATAGAATAGAATAGAATAGAATAGAATAGAATAGAATAGAATTTAGACTAGACTAGACTAGTTGTTGGCGTGGACCAATTTCTGGAATGCCATGGACAAGCAAAGACTCCGGCACAGATAATTCTTGACTTACAACAGTTCATTTAGTAAACATTCACAGTTACGATGGCAGTGGAAAAATAGGGACTGAGGACCATTTTTCACATTTACGACCGTTGCACCGTCCCCATTGTCACATGATTTACAGTCAAAGGCTTGGCAACCGACTCATATTTATGACGGCCGTAATGTCCTGGGGGGGGGCAGTGGTGGGATTCAGCCGGTTCGCACTACTTCAGCAGAACCTGTGGCTAGTTTTTGGTTGCCCAGGCCCAGAACGGACTTCAGAGAACCGGTTGTTCACCTGTTTGAATCCCACCACTGTAGTAGGTAGGTAGGTAGGTAGATAGAATAGAATAGAATAGATAAGATATAGATAGATAGATAGATAGATAGATAGATAGATAGATAGATAGGATATAGTTAGAGATAGATAGAGAGATAGAGAGATAGATAGATAGATAGATAGATAGATAGATAGATAGATATAGATAGATAAGATATAGATAGATATAGATAAAGATATAGATAGATAGATAGATAGGTAGGTAGGTAGGTAGGTAGGTAGGTAGGTAGGTAGGTAGATGATGGATGGATGATAGATACAGTGGTGGAATTCAGCCAGTTTGCACCACTTCGGCAGAACCGATAGCTAATTTTTTGTTGCCAGGCCCAGAACGGACTTCGGAAGAGGCATCCACGCAGAGAACCAGTTGTTCACCTACTTGAATCCCACCGTTGTGTGTGTGTGGGGGGGGGTGATGTGACCCCCTTTTGCAACCTTCTAACAAGCCAAGTTAATGGGGGGTAGGGGGGGAGCCAAATTCCCTTAACAACCGTGTTCCTAACTGAACATCTGCAGTGATCCTCTTAACAACCGTGGGCGGGAAAGGTTGTAAAAAACAGAGCTGAACTCACTTAACCGGTGTCTCGCTTTGCAAAAAAAAAAAAAAAAAAACTACATTGAGCTGAAGCTTATCTGTATACTTTTTGAGCCGGAATTTCAAACTGCAGACATGGGGAAAGTCGCGCATGGAAAGAGAAAAGCACGCCCGTCTTTCAAGCCCGCTGCAGAAAATTAATCCATGCTTTCATTATGCAATGGGGGACTTGTTTATAGCCAAGACACCCGCTGGAGGAGAGCCAAAAGCCTATAGTGCGATCCCTCCGGGAAAAATTAAAGCAGCTGTGGAAGTGTAATTTAAAACCGCTGGAGTTTGCAGCGGGGGGGGGGGGGACTTGCTCTCCTCCAGTATACCATGAGTGTCGGATAACGTCAGTCCTCCAAAGGATGGCTTTGCTTACAGCATGAAGAGGGAAAGCAAAATGCAGACCTGGAGGCAGCCTGAAATATCCAGATACAGGAGCTTGTGACATCCTCTTCCACTGCCCAGGTAGTGTAACCCTTTGTCTGTGAATTTCCTGCAGTGCGCGAGGCTTAAAAACTGTAGATTGGGAAAGCATCTATGTTGGAAGGAAAGAAAGAGGGGAAAAAAAAAAGGAATTTTACTCTCTCTCTCTTTGCGGTCGGATTTCTGATGCAATCTGATAGATTCTTAACTTGGAAGGCTTTTTGCTCACCGGGGTGGATGCTAAGACTTTATTGGGCTTAAAATTCTTCATTTTTTTTTCCTTAATGCTTAAACTGCTTTTTTTTATTATTATTACTATTTTACAATCCTGCAATCCTACACACACTTTTCTGGGCTAGGTCCCGTTGCTCTGAGTTTCTGAGTGGATGCATATGCCTGAATTTGCTGGAAACCCTGATTGTAATGAAATCTGGGATGGCAAAGTTAGCTTTTAGGCTGGCTGCATGTCAAAAGGCGTCTTAAATTAGAAATGCATGAATCATTGGCAAATTTCAACTTGACCAAAGAGTTGTAACGTTAACTTGACAGGATGTATTGCAATGTGAAAAGCAGACCTAATTTGAAAGGACAATAAAGCATGCAGAAATTAAATTAAATTAAATTAAATTAAATAAGTCCAGCTGCCCTTTTCATCTAAGTGTACTGAGGCTGGCAGCAGCTGCTCTAGCTAAAGTAAACGCTAACAATAGATAGGCTCTTTTGTAAGATTAAATTGCATTAAAATTAAGATGAAGTTGAATTAAATAACAACAATAATGCTCTCCCATACGATGACGGACTAAATTAACAGGACTAAATGAAATGAAATGCCCTCAAATGTTTTATACAGCTATCTAGGAGTACGTCCCACTGCTCGTGGTGAGATTTATTGCTGAATAAACATATCTAACCGTTGCAGTTAGTGAGATCTAGCAACAAGAATCGTTGAAGTCCAATGAGAAACAATGTAGATAAAATTGAACAATATACAAGGGAAGACATTGAGTTGGAGGCTAAACCTTCTACAATTGGCTTCTATTTATTTTTGCAGGGCAGATCTAGGCACGATTATGTTGAAAACTGTGGATTTTATGCAATTATAGTGTAGCTGGGGGCTGGGGGGGGGATTGCAATCCCACAATAACCAAAAATGAAAGCCTGCAGAAAGGAAATCGTAATCTATTATTAAGCGTGGACAGATCATGTTCTTCAATAAATGCAGCTTAGGGCAACATTTCAAGGCAATTTCATCCAGTCAGCAAAAGCGAAGTCAAAATAAATCAAATGCAAAAAGAGACGGACAACCTTTTGTCTGCAATGGGAGAGGGTTTCCTGTTTGAGCAAGGGGTTGGACTAGAGGATCTCTAAGGTCCCTTTCAACTCTATTATTCTATACTTCAAAAGAGCAACAAAGATGATCAGGGAACTGGAGGCTAAAACACATAAGGAACGGCTGCTGGAATTGGGTAGGTCTAGTTTAACGAAGAGAAGGACCAGGATGTGACATGATAGCAGTATTCAGTATCTCAGGGGCTGCCCCAAAGAAGAGGGAGTCAAGCTATTCTCCAAAGCACCTGAAGGCAGGACAAGAAGCAACGGATGGAAACTAACCAAGGAGAGAAGCAACCTAGAACTAAGGAGAAACTTCCTGACAGTCAGAACAATTAACCAGTGGAACTCCTTGCCTCCAGAAGTTCTGGGTGCTCCATCACTGGAGGTTTTTTAAAAAAGTCTGGATGGCCATTTGTCCACAATGGTATAGGCTTTCCCGCTTGAGCACGGGGTTGGACTAGAAGACCTCCAAGGTCCCTTCCAACTCTATTATTCTGTAATAAAGTAAAATATTCTGTGGGTTGCACCATCGTAGGTGAGACAACACAGACGCTTCTAAATTTGGTCCAGCTCTTTTCCTCCCTCATCCTTTGGCTCTGCCTCTCAGGTGGCCTTGCAGCTCCAAAAAGTGAAGTTGGAAGGGACCTTGGAGGTCATCTAGTCCAACCCCCTGCTCAGGCAGGAAACCCTATACCATTTCAGACAAATGGTTGTCCAGTCTCTTCTTAAAAATCTCCAGTGTTGGAGCATTCACGGCTTCTGGAGGCAGGTTGCTCCACTGGTTAATTGTTCTCACTGTCAGGAAGTTTCTCCTTAGTTCTAGGTTGCTTCTCTCCTTGGTTAGTTTCCGTCTGTTGCTTCTTGTCCTGCCTTCAGGCGCTTTGGAGAATAGCTTGACTCCCTCTTCTTTGTAGCAGCCCCTGAGATATTGGAAGACTGCTGTCATGTCCCCCCTGGTCCTTCTCTCTATATAATTAAATACAAATCAAATACATGTGAATAACCGTGCATATTTACGACGGGTCCGCAGATCACTGGCCTCCACTCGGCTGCAGTTCTAAAAAATATTTATCTAAAAGGAAGTTCATTTGAAATCAGGGGTGCTGGGCTTTGGATATAAATATGGGAAGAGTACGCTGCAAGGTCTCAAGGCAAAGGCAAAATAAAATAAAGAGCAAAATAAATATTTGTCTCTACGGTACTTTTTTTTCTTAGGGACCCGTATTATTAATGAACTCCCTTTAATGAATATGTTGATGTAACTCCGCGGATGTCCTATAAGTCCATTACTGTCAGGCAACAATTCAGCCAGAGTTGTTCTTTATTTGCTTACACACAATAAACAAAAACTGGCCAGACTAAACCTAACAGCCTAACAGAGAGACAGTTTAGGCTAGTGGTTAAGGCACCAGGCTAGAAAACAGGGAGACGGTGAGTTCTAGTCCCGCCTTAGCCATGAAAGCTAATTGGGTGACCTTGAGCTGGTCACTCTCAGGGTTGTCGTTGTGGACCAAGTGGAGGAGTATTAGCTACAGTTCACTGCCTTGAGTGATTTGTAGAATTAATAAAGGTGGTATATAAAATGAATAACAGGTAGCCAGGTAGTCGTCGACTTACGAGCAGAATTGAGACCGACAATTTCTGTTGCTCAATGAAGCAATTTTCCCCCCTTTTCCTTAGCTGTGCTACTCCCTTTTATTCTATTGGCTTTTGAAAGCCAATAGCATAGACTCTCTTGAATAGAGTCTAATTCTATTGGCTTTCAAAAGCCAATAGGAATTGTCCAGGCTGTCTCTGGCCTGCTGAGCCGGCCAAAAGCCCCAGTCTGCAAACGGTGCTGCACCAGTTGAGTACTCCTCGACTTACAAGTAGACCTCGACTTATGACCGGTTGGGGGTCGCGGCATTAAAAAGGTTGAGAACCACTGTTCTGGAGTGTTGGCTACCCCTGCCAAGTTTGGTGCAGTCTGCAAATCTGATGAGTTTAGATTTCGCCCTTTTGAATTACTCAGAAATTAACCGGGTGGACTTGAAGAACTGAGTCTCAGCGCAGGTTCACACTGTGGAATGGAGAATTGTCATAGCGACATAACAAATAGAGGTGTTGAAATACTGTATTTGCTAGCTAGAATAGTATCTCCACTTTCCACCCAGCAGGGCTATAGAAGGCGATTCCTTCATTTTACCTCCACTAAGAGCAGCCACAGGAAGCAGGTTAAGCTAAGAGAGTTACAGGTAATCCTCGGCTTAACGACTACAATCGGGCCGCCAGTTTCCGTTGCTAAGCAAGGCAGTGCCTTGTTTCACAACCTTCCTTGCAACATTTGTGCAGCGAACTGCTGCACTTGTTAAGTAACAAGGTCGTTTTAAGTCAGTGGTTCTCAACCTTTTTAATGCCGCGACCCCCAACCGGTCATAAGTCGAGGACTACTCAACCGGTCGTAAGTCAAGGACTACTCAACTGGTGCAGCACCGTTTGCAGAATGGGACTTTTGGCGGGCTCAGCAGGGCAGAGACAGCCTGGACAATTCCTATTGGCTTTTGAAAGCCAATAGAATTAGACTCTATTCAAGAGAGTCTATTCTATTGGCTTTCAAAAGCCAATAGAATAAAAGGGAGTAGCACAGCTAAGGAAAAGGGGGAAAAAATGGCGGACTGCGTTGTTTGGCGACCCCCGTGAAATGGGGTCCCGACCCACAGGTTGAGAACCGCTGTTTTAAGTGAATCTGGCTTTATCCCCTCTTGACTTTGCTTGTCTAAGGGGGATCACGTGACACCCTCCCCCATCCTGGGACACTGCAACCGTCGTAAGGATGAACCAGTTGTCAAGCATCCGAATTTTGATCACGTGACCACGGGGATGCTTTTCCCAGCGCTGTTTGAATAGTCACTAAACAGTCAAGGACTCCCTGTAATACACCTCGGCCTGTCCATATTTCCATTTATTGTATTATCATTGGGGGGGGGGTATCACTAGCATACAATCTGCTTCCCAGCCTGTGGCAGTTGGGGGGGGGCGGTATCACAGGGATCAGACTGGATTTTTTTTGGAGAACAAAATAAAAGAATTGTAAAGGGTCTTGGAGGTCATCTAGTCCAACCCCTTGCTCAAGCAGGAGACCCTATGCCAGAGGTCACCAACCTTTCTCGGTTGGCGGACAGGGAAAAAAAGGGAGTGGGAAGCATTTTACATGTATGTGCGAGCGCGCACGGGGCTATGAGCACACGGGGCGGGGCTAGCACCCGCATGATACTCACTAGCCCTGCCCCGTTCTTGCATGGCGCCTTGATTCTGCACGCTGCGGTGTGGGCGGCGGCCATTTTTGTGTCTTGCAACGCAGCAGTGCCGCAACAGTCTGTTTTCGCACCCGACACAGCGGCGGCCCGATTTTACGCCCTGAGGCACAGCGGCAGCGGCCCGGTTTCACGCCCCAAGGTGCAGCGGTGTCCCATTTTTGCGCCCCAGAGTCCTGTTTTTATGCCCCGTGGTGTGGTGTCATTTTTGCGCCCGCAGCCGTGGCGCTAGCGCAAGTGAAGGAGTGTGCGCGCACACACGAGCACATTGGCCAGCCTATCCCGCAGCCCAGTGGCCACCAGGCCGTGGCCCACAACCAGGCTGCAGTCCATAGGTTGGGGACCCCTGCCTTATACCACTTCAGACAAACGGTTGTCCAATCTCTTTTGGAAAATCTCCAGCGATGGCGCACACCAGCCACAACGTCCGAAGGCAAGTGGGCTGCAATGTGGCTAAAGTTCAAAGAAACGGAGGTGAGGCTAAGACAGGTGATTTAAGGAAGACGGCATTGAAAGACTTAGACCTCTGGGTCAGATAGAGTCCCTACAGCCCGTTGCTCTTCCGCATAAATACGTATTTATCTCTAGATAATCACCTGGGCAGCAGCGCAAGCGTCCCGTTTGAAATGTCCGTGTGAGATAAATCTAAGTGAAGGAGAGCTGAACAACTTTCTGCTACGTGGCTGATTAATTGATCCTGTTTGGAAAGAAAAGCCAGACTTGGTTTTACTGTGCAAAGTGGGATACGGCAGGGGTCTTCAGACTTGGCCCTTTTATGACTGGTGGACTACAACTCCCAGAATTCCTCAGCCAGCGTGAGGGAACTATGACCCTTTTTATGACTTGTGGACTTCAACTCCCAGAATTCCTCAGCCAGCGTGAGGGAACTATGACCCTTTTTATGACTTGTGGACTTCAACTCCCAGAATTCCTCAGCCAGCGTGAGGGAACTATGATCCTTTTTGACTTGTGGACTTCAACTCCCAGAATTCCTCAGCCAGCGTGAGGGAACTATGACCCTTTTTATGACTTGTGGACTTCAACTCCCAGAATTCCTCAGCCAGCATGAGGGAAGCTATGACCCTTTTTATGACTTGTGGACTTCAACTCCCAGAATTCCTCAGCCAGCGTGAGGGAACTATGACCCTTTTATGACCTGTGGACTTCAACTCCCAGAATTCCTCAGCCAGCGTGAGGGAACTATAACCCTTTTATGACTTGTGGACTTCAACTCCCAGAATTCCTCAGCCAGCGTGAGGGAACTATGACCCTTTTTATGATTTGTGGACTTCAACTCCCAGAATTCCTCAGCCAGCGTGAGGGAACTATGACCCTTTTTATGATTTGTGGACTTCAACTCCCAGAATTCCTCAGCCAGCATGAGGGAACTATGATCCTTTTTATGACTTGTGGACTTCAACTCCCAGAATTCCTCAGCCAGCGTGAGGGAACTATAACCCTTTTATGACTTGTGGACTTCAACTCCCAGAATTCCTCAGCCAGCGTGAGGGAACTATGACCCTTTTATGACTTGTGGACTTCAACTCCCAGAATTCCTCAGCCAGCGTGAGGGAACTATGACCCTTTTATGACCTGTGGACTTCAACTCCCAGAATTCTTCAGCCAGGCGTGCAAAAATTCAAAATTTTTGTGGCTCACAAAGAGTTAAATGGGAGACTAGTATAGTTACTAACAAGAGTGAGGAGGAGCCTGTGGCCTAATGGTTAATACAACTGCCTAATATGCAAGGTGCCCAGGTTCAAATCCCAGGTTCGAATCCCAGGTTCGAATCCCAGAGGGGTAAGACTAGCTGATGAGAGCTAAAAGAGCTTGCAATAGTTATACTTGTCTCCCATTTAACTCTTTGTCAGCCACAAAATTTATATATATGTAAATTTAGATATATATCTATCGACTCTTTGTCAGCCACAAAATTTTGAATATACATACATACATACATACATACATACATACATACATACATATTCAAAATTTTGTGGCTGACAAAGAGTAGATAGATAGATGATAGATAGATAGATAGATAGATAGATAGATAGATAGATAGATAGATAGATAGATAGATAGATAGAGACAGAGGTAGATACACAGAGAGACAGTTTTTATACCTAAGGAGTATTTCATAGGATCTTTTCTGCAGAACTCAAAACGCTACAAATTTCTGCAGAAATCAAAATTAGAATGTCTTAACTTCATTTTACATTTGTAAGGGTAATACTTACATTTAGCCCTTGATACTGGGAAACATTTAACTGTTGTAAATTCATACACTGACCTAAAAAACAGAGAAACCGTATCATTTTAAACCAGTCTCCAACTGGCAAGGCCAGAGAAATAACAATATAAATTTTTGGTTCCTGAAAGTATGAGTCATCAAATTTGACCCAAGAAAAGGTTTATATTACATTATTTAGAGGAGGATCTATTTTAGGCACGAACAGTAGAAGCTATTTAGCATTAGTTATTTAAGGGCACTTACTATAAATTGGATCCAGGTTTAGCTTGGCTTAGCAAAGAGCAGCTGAACCCTTTGCTATGCATTTTTTTTTTTGTCCCATATGCATACGTACTCGCTTAATTAAATCAATTGGAAAGAAGAAACGCAACAGATTCCTCAACAAAAATGAGAAGATTTACATTAAGCGGGAAGAAGAATTAAAGCAATCTTTTAAACTAGCACGTAGCTGAATACATCAATGCACATTAGGAGAGAGGGGAAAAATGACTTTGTTTGTATACAACCTTGAGAATATGGTTCAGGATACACTTCTGCCCGTGTTGTTTTTGCAATGGCTTCTGAACATTTCTCTCCAGGCCATCAGAATAGAATAACAGCGTTGGAAGGGACCTTGGGGGTCATCTAGTCCAACCCCCTGCTCAGGCAGGGAACCCTATACCAGTGATGGCGAACCTTTTAGAGACCGAGTGCCCAAACTGCAACCCAAAACCGACTTATTTATCGCCGAGTGCCAGCTGGGCGTGGCCCACTGGGTGGGCGTGGCTGTGGTGGTCATGGCACATTGGGTGGGTGTCGCCAAGGTGGGCGTGATCACCTCGATGTTGCTCGTGGGGAGGGACGCCTGTGGGGGCCGGGCAGGGTTGGGGGAGATCCAGGGGGTCTCTGGCAGGTGGGGCGGTGAGCAGGAGGCTCGTCCTGAGGGGTGAGGCGAGGCAAGGCGAGGCAGGGCTGGGGTGCCATTGTCACAGGGAAAGGTGAGGCACGGGCCGGGGCGGCTGCTGTCTGATACCATAGGCACCCACACACAGAGGCCAGTGAACGCATGGGTGCTGGGATGCATCCGGCCATGTGAGACCTCGGCAAGTTAGCGGGCGGCTGGTTGAAGAGGGACAGTTGCCATCTCCGGGGTACGGCGCACGTGCCCACAGAGAGGGCTTTGAGTGGCGCCTCTGGCACGCGTGCCATAGATTTGCCACCACTGCCCTATACCATTTCAGACAAACGGCTGTCCAGTCTCTTCTTAAAAACTTCCAGTGTTGGAGCATTCACAGCTTCTGGAGGCAGGTTGTTCCACTGGCTAATTATTCTGTCAGGAAGTTTCTCCTAAGTTCTAGGTTGCTTCTCTCCTTGATAATTGTTCTCACTGTCTTGGTTCCAGTTTGGATCTGTCTTTGATGAGCTTCTACCCGCTACTTCTTCTCTGGCCTTCAAGCACTTTGGAGAATAAGTCAGCCCCCTCTTCTCTAGGACAGCCCCCCAAGTCCTGCAAGACTGCTGTCATATCACCCTTCGTCCTTCTCGTTGTTAGGCTAGGCATATCACCCTTCGTCCTTCTCGTTATTATTGCTGTCATATCATCCTTCGTCCTTCTCGTTGTTAGTTTCCTCAGCCGTTCATTCTACCATTTAGCCTCTAGACCCCTGATCCTCTTCCTTGCTCTTCTCTGCACGCTTTCTGAGCATCCGTTTTGTTTGCAATGGTGGCGAATATCTGTCGCTCGGGTGTCGCATGAGGGTGAAGGCTTTGTCCTCCGAGCTTGTGAATCGGTTTCCAAATGTTTCGTTAGCAGGCTGGATGACATCGTCAGAGGCGTTTAGGGCGGTGAAGATGTTACCCAGCCTGGTAACGAAACACTGGGGAACCAAGCCACAAGCTCGGAGGACGAATCTTCACCCTCGTCTGTTTTGTATCGTCGAGACCCCAAATTCCTCCTTAAAGTCACCGTCCTGTGTCCGTTACGCTGGAAAGAATAGCTTATCTTATTCCAGTGGTGGCGAACCTATGGCACACGTGCCAGAGGCGGCACTCAGAGCCCTCTCTGTGGGCACGCACGCCGTTTCCACAGCAGAGTTCGCCAGAGTAGCAAGCATTTGGAAGCAACAGGGCAGGAAATGAGCAAGCAAGCAGCGTTGGCCCCCCCGGGGATGCCCCAGAGATGGTGAGGGACTGGCCCCAGCCACACTCACCTAGTCTGCCATGACCACTGCAGCTACACCAACCCTGTGGGCCACCCGCCCCCCCCCCCGAGGGCACCACAATGCTGATGCAGCCCTGGCACTTTGCGATAAGTAAGTGGGTTTCGGGTTGCAGTTTGGGCACTCAGTCTCTAAAACAATGGTTCTCAACCTTTTTAATGCCGCGACCCCCAACCGGTCGTAAGTCGAGGACTACTCAACCGGTCGTAAGTCGAGGACTACTCAACTGGTGCAGCACCGTTTGCAGAATGGGACTTTTGGCGGGCTCAGCAGGGCAGAGACAGCCTGGACAATTCCTATTGGCTTTTGAAAGCCAATAGAATTAGACTCTATTCAAGAGAGTCTATTTTATTGGCTTTCAAAAGCCAATAGAATAAAAGGGAGTAGCACAGCTAAGGAAAAGGGGGAAAAAATGGCGGACTGCGTTGTTTGGCGACCCCCGTGAAATGGTCGTTCGACCCCAAATGGGGTCCCGACCCACAGGTTGAGAACCACTGATCTAAAAGGTTTGCCTTATACCTTTTGGTTTCCATTCCTTCTGTCAACCATCACCTCAACATCTTTATAATACTCTGCATTTTTTTCCCCTCCCCGAACAGGGAAATTTCACACACCCCAGCTTGTGCCTCCGTCTCGGCAGTCAGATTTCAAAGGAACACCCTTGCACGGTTCCAGCTGTCGCATAAAGCAGTGGGGGTCAGCTGGATGTCAGGATGCAAATGGTTACTATTATCATACTACTTTTCTTTAGTCAAGCGGCTGATCTGAGGAAAGGGCGAAATGGAAACTCCAGGAAGAAAGCAAACAACGGAAGGGGAAACGGCTTAGGAAAAGGAGCCGGCCTCGCGAAGCGCTTCACGCCGAATCCTCCCTGCGACGTCTACACATATCTCTTCGAGAAACACTTAGATTGTCAAGACAGAAAACTGACATTTGTCCTGCCCGAATGGCCGGAAGACTTAAAGCACATGCTGCTAGCCCAAAACGCAATCCGTAAGCTGAAGAACAACATGTTCTCCAGATTCCCAAAACTGAAAAGTCTCGATTTGCAACAAAACCAGATCTCCAAAATCGAGGACCAGGCTTTCTGGGGCCTGAACAAACTGACCACCCTTTTGTTACAGCACAACAAGTTGAAGGTTTTGTCGGAGGAGGTGTTCATTTACATGCCTTTCCTGAGTTACTTGCGCCTGTACGACAACCCCTGGCACTGCAGCTGTCCGTTGGAGTCGCTCGTAACGATGCTGCAGCTTCCAAGGAACCGGAACTTGGCGAATTACGCCAAATGTGCACAGCCAGAAGAGGCGAAGGGTCGAAAGCTTAAGGAGATACAAGCCGAACAGTTCTGCGGCGACAAAGCCGACTTACCGCCGGCGCCGAAACCTGAAATTGCCAGACCTGAATTTGACTCTTCGCTTTGTCACACCTACGTGTTTCCCGTAAAAACATTGGATTGCAGGAGGAAAGGTTTGTATATGTCGGGATAGGCAATCTTGGCTGTTTTATGACTCGTGGACTTCAACTCCCAGAATTCCTGAGGCAGCATGGCTCAGCTTGGAAACCCCTCCCTTTCCCCTCAGCGTGGCTGGCTCAGGAATTCTGGGAGTTGAAGTCCACGAGTCATAAAAGAGCCAAGATTCCCCACCCCTGCCCTATATCGGGGTCCTCAACCTTGGCAACTTTAAGACTTGTGGACTTCAACTCCCAGAATTACTCAGCCAGCCACGCTGAGGAGAAAGGGAGAGGTTTCCAAGCTGAGCTATGCTGGCACAGGAATTCTGGGAGTTGAAGTCCACCAGTCATAAAAGAGCCCAGGTTGCCTACCCCTGGCCTAGGCCTAGGCCGCTTTAAGACTTGTGGACTTCACCTCCCAGAATTCCTGAGCCAGCATGGGGGAACTATGGCCCCTTCATGACTCGTGGACTTCAACTCCCAGAATTCCTGAGGCAGCATGGCTCAGCTTGGAAACCTTCCCCTTTCCCCTCAGCATGGCTGGCTCAGGAATTCTGGGAATTGAAGTCCACGAGTCATAAAAGAGCCAAGGTTGCCTACCCCTGGTGTATGTCAATGGCAGAGTATCTGTTTATTTATTAGGGCTTCCATGCTACTCTCGTCATATCAGACTTTCAGTGGTCAATGCTTTGGAAAAAGGGACTTATGGATGTTTTTCCCGTTTACCACGGTTGCAGCATCCCCAGGTGATCAAAATTTGCAACCGACTCGTATTTATGATGGTGACCGTGTCCCAGGCTGATGTGACCCCCCTTTTCTGACCTTCTGACAAGCCATGTCCTAGAGAAGCAAGATCCATTTAACAACTTAACAGCTGCAGCCGATTCACTTAACAAACTGTGTCAAGACAGGTCATAAAATGGGAGAAAACTCACTTAACGACTGTCTGGTTTAGCCCCAGAAATGTTGGGCTCATACGTTGTGATCGTGTGTTGAGGACTACCTGTAACTAAGATCAGTAACTAACATCTGTTTTTTCCCATCCCGTAACCAAACTCAAAGCAATAAGCATGGAAGTAATAAATACATCAGAGCAAGATGACAGTTAACAGAGGATTTCAAAGCAAATTTTTGCTGTTGGGCTCATCAGTTAAATCAGGGGCCTTCCAACTTGGCCACTTTAAAGACTTGTGGACTTCAACTCCCAGAATTCCTCAGCCAGTATGGCTCAGCTTTGAAACCTTTCCCTTTCCCCTCAGTATGGCTGGCTCAGGAATTCTGGGAGAGGTCTTCAAACTTGGCTCTTTTATGACTTGTGGACTTCAACTCCCAGAATTCCTCGGCCAGCCCTCAGGGCTGGCTGAGGAATTCTGGGAGTTGAAGTCCACAAGTCTTAAAGTGACCACGTTTGAAGACCCCTGTGTTAAATGCTTTTTGTTTTTAAGAGTAGATCGATGGTTAGTCAAACTGCTTCGGTAAATAGAATTGGAGAAGCATAGACAGGCAGTCCTCTTAGCAACGATTGTGGTTCATAAGTCAAAGATTACCTGCATAGAGAAAGATTGCCTTGGGCTCATTTTCTCTTGATTTTTCCCAGCGACAAGATCCAGAACGTTCCCTGAAAGCTGCAGGAGATTGGCAGACCCTCTGTGCAAGAGATAAATTTCCTAAAATATCCTACAGCCAAAGAGATGTTAGTTGCTGATCTTAGCTAGGTAGTCCTCAGCATACGACCATAACCGAGCCCAAATTTTTCGTGGCTACGAGAGACCGTCGTTAAGTGAGTTTTGTCCCATTTTACGACCTTTCTTGCCACCGTTGATAAGTGAATCACTGCAGCTGATAAGTCAGTCACACCGTTGTGAACTGAATCTTGCTTCCCTATGACATTCCTTCTCAGGTCACAAAAGGGGGTCACATCATTCTGGGACACCATAACTGTCATAAATATGAGTCGGCGGCAAAATGGCTCAATTTTGACCCTGTGAGCGTGGGGGTGCTGCAACGGTCGTTAAGTGTGAAAAACATTCGCAAGTCCCTCTTTCCAGTGCTGTTGTAATTTCAAACGGTCACTAAATGTACTGTTGTAAGTCAAGGATTACCTCTGATTGGGTATCAGTTTTGAAAGGTAAAAAGACCCAACGGTGCCATTGAAAACTTTGGAAATTGTATGGAAAACTTTGCTAATAGAATGCAGAATATATAGAATATTCTTTATGGGCCAAGTGGGATTGGACGCAGAAGCAATTTTTCCCTGGTGCAGAAGCTCTCAGCGTAGATGCAAAGCAACAAAGTACCGTATTTTCCGGCGTATAAGGCGATTCGACATGTAAGACGACCCCCGACTTCAGCGCCGATTTCCATGCCTAGAAAGTCGTCTTATATGCCGGAAACTACCGTAATTTCCGGCGTATAAGATGACTTGGCGTATAAGACGACCCTCGACTTCGGCGCCATTTTCAACCCTTTAGAAAGTTGTCTTATACGCCGGAAAATACAGTACTAGAATCACGAGATACCAATAGGAGAAGGTAATAGGAAAGATGAGAAGGATAAAAGTAATACAGCGCTACTACATGAGTAAACATCCTTAGGCCTCAGATAGTGCTGTGGGGATTAGGTGTTCATCAGAGGGGGGGGGGGAACTAGATGCAGAACACGGAACATTAAGTTTATAATGTAAATATATATATTCCATTATATATTCAAGATGGACAATATTTAATATTTATTTGCTATGTATATGTAGGGATGTGGATCTATACATATGTTGTTCATAATATTTAGGTGTGTGTCATGTATGTGTTTCACTTTGAGAGCGGGCAACTAAATTTCATTTTTTGATGTGTGCCATTGTGCCCACAGTATAAAAATGACAATAAAGGTTATCTTATCTTATCTTATCTAAATATCTCCCTGTAATTGTGGTGTTTTTTTCCTCTCAAGATTTAAAAATAGTCCCAAGCAATATATCTCCAGACACAGTTAAGCTTGATCTTTCCAGTAACAAAATCACTTTACTACGACCCAAGGAGTTTGAAGAAATAGATGACCTGAAGGTGTTAAATCTCAGTAGCAACGGAGTAATTCACATAGACCCAGGTAAGCAAAGATAACCATAAATATTTAAAGCCATCATTGCCTTTCATCTGCAATTGTATGATGCAATGTTTCTTCATGAAATGCTTTTTTTCTAATTAAAAAAAGTACACTTGATAGTTTATTGGTTAGGATCCAAACAATATAGACAAGGTTTGGAATAAATCATTAAAATTAACTCTTTAGATCAGTGTTTTTTCCAACTGGGCTACTAAAACGGGTGGACTTCAAATCCCAGAATTCCTCAGTGAGGGGATGAGGTGAAGTCCGTGCATCTTAAAGCTACTTTAGGCAGAGATGTAAACGTAAACAAGTTTATATATTTATAAATATATTTATATTTATAAATATAATTTGGGTCATATTCCCTATCAGACTGTATCCCAGGGGTCTTCAAACTTGGCCCTTTTATGACTATGTGGACTTCAACTCCCAGAATTCCTCAGCCAGGCATGCTGGCTGAGGAATTCTGGGAGTTGAAGTCCACAAGTCATAAAAGGGCCAAGTTTGAAGACCCCTCCCAGAATTCCTCAGCCAGGCATGCTGGCTGAGGAATTCTGGGAGTTGAAGTCCACAAGTCATACAAGGGCCAAGTTTGAAGACCCCTGCTGTATCCGGTGTTCTTTCCGATTCGCACAACTTTGTGCTATGTGGAAGACTTACTTTTCAAAAGAAGGAGATAAGAAATGTTAGCTTCACTCCAAAAGAATTCTTTGGGTCTTTTCAGTCACTACAAGCTGGAGGGAATTAGTAAGAGGTATACCTGTACTGTGTTCTCCATCCAATTAGCCTAAAGAACAAATATAATTACATCCAGAGACATACGTAACCACCACGCTAATATCTTTCAAATTAGCAAAGTTACGCAAAACAGCAGAAAGGCATCAGAAAGAATAAGGAAGAGAGATGATGGCTTCAGAAAAGAAAGAAAAATATATTTTAATACAGTTTACATCAAGCCCAGTTCCTCTTATCTCCCTTTTTATTCTGGCAAACTATCCTTATACAGATAGTCCTCAACGGAACCCAAATTTTTCAGCTAAATTTGGTTTGTAGCCATTCTTCAGGGTTTCTTAGACAACATGGAGGTCAATCAGAAACATAATTCTGGACTGTGCTTGAATATCTCATGAGGGGTTTTATTCATAGCTCTTTTAACCGAAACCTTATAGTGACTGTCAATTGCTGTGGCGTGTAAATCCTAGATTGTTGATTAACCCCCAGATATTTTGGTTTGTGTCGTCTAAAACAATGTTTAAAATTCACGATGACTGGATGCACACAACATCCTAAGTCAAGTCCAAGAAAGTCCAGCACAATACAAACAATAAAATAATTTTACAAACTTACACCCACCCAGATTCTCTCTATGCCTCTGTCGGTCGCTTCATTTCTGCTTCCTTTGCCAAAATCAAAATATGAACCACCAATGTCTCATTCTAAAGACGTAAGGCGTAAACACTGCCCCGGTTTTTAATTCAAGCAAAGGGAGAAATTAAACAGTTATGATTTGCATTTTGGTTTATTACAGCAAAACGCCGACTATCCAGATAGCTCCCCAATAAATTTCCACCAGTGTACGAGCACTGCAAACATTGCTAAACAGAGACATCGTTCATTTGTCATTTCTAAATGTTATTCTTTTTATCTGATTTGATTTTTTTTTTCCGAATAGCTGCTTTTGCAGGACTCGTCAATCTATCCGAATAGGCCCCCAATTAATGTCCACCAGTGTACGAGTATTACAAATGTTTCTAAACAGAAATGTCATTTATTTGTCATTACTAAATGTTATTCTTTTTATCTGATTTGATTTTTTTAAATTTCTTTGAATAGCTGCTTTTGCAGGACTCATCAATCTGGAAGAACTAGACCTATCAAGCAATTCTCTACAAAATATTGAATACGGAGTCTTGGAACATTTGTACTTTTTGAAAATACTGCGGCTTAAAGAAAACCCTTGGCGATGCGACTACAACATCCATTATCTTTTCTACTGGCTGAAGCACCATTATAACGTTCACTATAATGGCTTAGAATGCCAAAAACCTGGAGAATATAAAGGATGGTCTGTTAGGAAGTATGTCAGGAGCTATTTTGAAGAGTGCCCCAAAGATAGGCTACCTATTTATCCAGATGTGTTTGAGGATAATGAAATAGAAGAAACCGCTCTAAAACACTCGGTAATTGTCAGAGTAATCGATTAATTTGTCCACCAGCATATCCAAACGTTTTGTATTTTTTTTTATAAGAAGAAGGATCGTTTATATATATTTTGATACTGTAATTGTGGCGTTTGTTCGCGATGGACTATCCCCTGAAATATTGTTCAGCAGGGACGGCATTAATTGTGTTGTTTTTTATAAACTTACTGTTTTTAATTGGTTTTGCGGAGTCGTTTTTGCACGTTTGGCCACTGTCAATAAAAAGGAAGATGTTTATGTGCAGCTAAACTGCTTCTTGCAAAAACATAAACCTCTGTAGAAGGAAGGAAGGGGGGAGGGAGGGAGGGGGGGGGGAGGGAGGAAGGGAGGGGGGGAGGGAGAGAAGATAAAATGAAATACTCACCTATACATTTAAAAGTAAGCCATTGTAATGTAGTACAACCATGAAGGTCCAACTGCACCACATTAGTGTGCCACTTCTGCAAAATGCGTTGTGCCACACGATCATTTATAAGGTCCTTCACTGCAGAAAAATCAATCTAAAAAAAAAAAAATATTTATTTATTTATTTATTTATATATTGCTCTGGAAATTACAAAAGACCTCCAACATTTCACCTACACACTCGGTAACTTTAGATTGGAGTTGTTTCTTAAATAACAGCCACTCCTCATTTAGCAACCGTTAGTGAATACAATGGTAGTAAACAGTAATTAAAAAAAAAAAAAACATTTTCAGACCAATTTCATAGGCCTGGACGACAGTGTGAAAAACAGTGATACGTCCCTTGTTTCAGCGCCGTTGTAAGTTTGAACAGTCACTAAATGAATTGGTGGAAGTGAAGGACTGCCTGTATAGTGAGAAAGGGGGAAAATGTTCCCTTTAATTGTATTTTAGGTGCTCTGCATATTTTTATAATGTCCCCTTTAATCTTTATTCCACGTTAAAACCCTCCAAACGTTGTGGTTTTCCTTTGTTGTGGAACTGCCATAACACTCTGATAACTTGTACAGCCCTTTTCAACAATATATATTGAATATATAATATATATTCAACAATATATATATATATAAAATATAATATAGTATAGTTAGTATAATATACAATACTATACAATACAATACTATACTATGCTATAATATGCTACAATATGCTATAATATACTATAATATGAGATATATGATATAATATATAATAATATGCTACAGTACATTACAATACATATATATAGTATAATAATATAGTATACTATGCCATACTATACTATACTATATTATAATATATACTATACTGTAATATACTATAATATGATATATATGAGATATAGGATATAATATAATAAGCTACACTACACTACAATATATAATACAATATAATACAGTACACTATATACTATACTATATATACTATACTATATATAGTATACTATACTATTATACTATACTATAATATGCTATACTATATTATAATATAGCATACTATAATTATGATATATATGATGAAATGTATGATATGATATAATACACACTACACTACAATATATAACATAACATAACATAACGTAACATATTGTTGAAAAGGGCATATATGTACATACATACATATATACATTGTTGTTGTTGTTGTTAATTGCAAAGTCGTGTCCGACCCATCGCGACCCCATGGACAACATTCCTCCAGGTCTTCCTGTCCTCTACCATCTTCTGGAGTCCATTTAAGTTCACACCTACTGCTTCAGGGACTCCATCCAGCCACCTCCTTCTCTGTTGTCCCCTTCTTCTCTTGCCCTCCATCTTTCCCAGCATCAGGCTCTTCTCCAGGGAGTCCTTCCTTCTCATTAGGTGGCCAAAGTATTTGAGTTTCAACTTCAGGATCTGGCCTTCTAAAGAGCAGTCGGGGTTGATCTCCTCTAGGACTGACCGGTTTGAACGCCTTGCAGTCCAAGGGACTCGCAGGAGTCTTCTCCAGCACCAGAGTTCAAACATACATACATACATACATACATACATACATAGTCCCCGTGATCGTTATGATTGCAACTGGGGCACTTGGCAATCAGCACATATCTATGATAGCTGCAGCCTCCTGAGGATCCCATGGCTGCCAATTGCGACCCTCCCAGTTTCCAACAAGCAGAGTGAGTTGCTAAACAGTCGGGGTGATTCACTTAACAACCCTGGCGGAAGAGAGCATCAAATTGGGAGCCAACTGCTTAACAGCCACCTCGTTCAGCAATGGACATTCCAATCCCAACTGCAACTAGACCAGGGGTAGGCAACCTTGGCTCTTTTATGACTCGTGGACTTCAACTCCCAGAATTCCTGAGCCAGCATGGCTCAGCTTGGAAACCTCTCCCTTTCCCCTCAGCGTGGCTGGCTCAGGAATTCTGGGAGTTGAAGTCCACCAGTCATGAAGGGGGCCATAGTTCCCCCATGCTGGCTCAGGAATTCTGGGAGTTGAAGTCCCCAAGTCATGAAGGGGCCATAGTTCCCCCATGCTGGCTCAGGAATTCTGGGAGTTGAAGTCCACGAGTCTTAAAGTTGCCAAGGTTGAGGACCCCTGATATAGGGCAGGGGTAGGCAACCTTGGCTCTTTTATGACTCGTGGACTTCAACTCCCAGAATTCCTGAGCCAGCTGTGCTGAGGGGAAAGGCAGAGGTTTCCAAGCTGAGCCATGCTGGCTCAGGAATTCTGGGAGTTGAAGTCCACGAGTCATAAAAGAGCCAAGGTTCCCCACCCCTGACCTAGAGGATCATCTGTACTACCTCTTTAGAATAATCTCTTAATTTAACAAAAATCGTTCATTTCTTCCGCTTTCCCCAGTGGATTTTTTTTTTAAAAAAAAACATATTATTAAAATTTGGTTTCAAGCAACTCTACTTACACTACTCCATACCATAACCATTTGTGTCATGGCCTTCCAGGTTTGGCAGACTTGGGCGCACCTGGCCAGGTCAACTAGGTTTAAATACCGGAACACCTAAATTCAAAACAAAGAAGAATATTAACCTGCAAAGGATGAAACAACAATATTTGTCTCTAAAACACTTGCTAGCTTCAAAGGTTATATATTTAACTGAAAGAGCAGTTTTCCATAGTAACTTTTTAAAAATATTTTTCCAAGTGGCTCTTAGTATGATTAGGGAATCGTATTAGGGTGCTATAAAAAGATTAGCTGGACTAATAAAAGAAAGTAGTCTGCTTTATTTTGTTTTAGCTACTGATTCTATACAGGTAATCCTAGATTTACAGCACCCACAACTTCTGGAGGCAAGTTGTTCCACTGATTAATTGTTCTCACTGTCAGGAAATGTCTCCTTAGTTCCAGGTTGCTTCTCTCCTTGATTAGTTTTCATCCATTGCTTCTTGTCCTGCCTTCAGGTGCTTTGGAGAATAGCTTGACTCCCTCTTCTTTGGGGCAGCCCCTGAGATACTGGAAGACTGCTATCCTGTCCTCCCTCGTCCTTCTCTTCTTTAAATTAGTCATCCCCAATTCCAGCAGCCATTCCTTATGTGTTTTAGCCTCCAGTCCCCTAATCATCTCTGTTGCTCTTCTCTGTACTCTTTCTAGAGCAGTGTTTCTCAACCTTGACAATTTTAAGGCATGTGGACTTCAACTCCCAGAATTCCACAGCCAGCAATGCTGACTGTGGAATTCTGGGAGTTGGTCCACATGCCTTAAAATTGTCAAAGTTGAGAAACACTGCTCTAGAGTCTCAACATCTTTTTTACATCGTGGTGACCAAAACTGGATGCCGTATTCCAGGTGTGGCCTTACCAAGGCCTTGTAAAGTGGTATTAACACTTCAGGTGAGCTTTATTATAATTAACAAGCAAATGACCTGGGCTAATGGTTGCATCGGCATCTTAGTGAAATATTCTCTGCCTGATTTCACATGGAACGCTGGCAAGTCTTCAAATTGATTCTTAGACAGGGCAGAGGAGCGACGTCTGTCCGAATGTCGCCGTTCGCGGGCTTCAGGTTGAACAAAAACAAATTCCTCGGCTTCCAATACAGGCTGCAAAATATAGAGATATAGAATAGGAGTCAAGTATTGATTTTTTTTCCCTATCTGTACTCCATTTAATCAATTAAACTGCTTAATCGGTAGCCGTTCCTTTGGGGGGGTTCAAGAGATCGAACATATTTTTAAAATGAATTTATATCAGTGCTTTTTTTGAGGGGTGGGGGGGAAGCACAGCACCAACTCAAATATGCTTACCTCAAAAGATTTTTTAGGCTTTTTGCTTACAATAAGACATTTTCGCCAGGCCTTAAACACCGCTTTCTTCAAAACTTTGTCGAAAATTTTTTCTAGACATTTCACTGCCCCTAGGGAAAAACCATTTGAAAAACACAGATAATTAAAAAAAAAAATTGACATTACCATTTAGTTCAGATAAAGAAGATGGTTTAATAAGTAAATTTACTGGTCTTTTAACTCCGTTTCTCCCTAAAAAAATAAAATAAAAAGGAAATGTTTTTCCTTCTCATCTGACTTGGTTCAATCAAAATGTAAAATCATCGTTCCGCCCAAGATTTTGTTAGCTCTGGCGAACCAGGAACTGCCAAAGAAGCTAACAGTAAACAGCTTAATCAAAAAAACCTCCGAGGCCATTTCTATCAACACATGCCACTAGAACAGTGGTTCTCAACCTTTTTAATGCCGCAACCCCCAACCGGTCGTAAGTCGAGGACTACTCAACCGGTCGTAAGTCGAGGACTACTCAACTGGTGCAGCACCGTTTGCAGAATGGGACTTTTGGCAGGCTCAGCAGGGCAGAGACAGCCTGGACCATTCCTATTGGCTTTTGAAAGCCAATAGAATTAGACTCTATTCAAGAGAGTCTATTCTATTGGCTTTCAAAAGCCAATAGAATAAAAGGGAGCAGCACAGCTAAGGAAAAGGGGGGAAAAAATGGCGGACTGCGTTGTTTGGAGACCCCCGTGAAATGGTCGTTCGACCCCAAATGGGGTCCCAACCCACAGGTTGAGAACCGTTGCACTAGAATATAAATTGAGAGCAAACCCCTTACTAGCACTGATGATGTTACCTAGTTGGGTCATGAAACGTCTGCATGAAAACCACCAAGCTCAGAGAGCACCAAAGACCCCCCATTTCAACCCTGAGCTACAAATATTTTCCTTTATCAGTTGGGAATACTAGGAGTTGAAGTCCACAAGTCTTAAAGCTGTCAAGGTTGGGCACTTCTGCTGTAGAAGTTCTTATCACCTCTTTTTAGCTAGTAAAAACCTCAGGGTCAACAAAACTGCGGAACAAACTTGAAAAGAGTTTAGTTCAAATTGCAGACACGTAAACTATGAACTGGGCAGCGTAGACTACATCAGCGGTTCAAAATCCAGCTTTAGGATGGGAGAAAATACGATTCTGTTCTTGAATTCGTAAACATTTCGTTGTTTAAATATTTAGGAAGAGCATTTTCTTAAACAACATCAGTAAGAACCATATTTAGTTAATTTAGTATATTGTGAACCCAGCCCTCCAACAGAATTGCGTATTTTTATTGAAGGCAGATTTATCAAGCAACAGAGCAGATACAAATGCATTTTTCACCAGCTAAAAAGAGCTTTCCCTCTGTTTTTAACTAGCTTTGCATTTTTTTCTGCTGTTAAGACCAAAAATAGTATTTTTATTATTTAACTGTAAATACAATCGTGCATTAGCCATATTGCATATCCTTGCAAGCCGTACTTTGGATTTACAGGTAATCCTTGACTTAGTGACTATTTGCTTAGTGACTGTTTGCTTAGTGAGTGTTCGAAGTTACAGGGGCACTGAAAAAAGTGACATGACAATTTTGCACACTTACAGCCAGTGGTGGGATTCAAATATGTGAACAATTAGTTCTCTGTATGGATGCCGCTTCCGGAAGTCCGTTCTGGGCCTGGGCAACAAAAAATTAGCTACCAGTTCTGCTGAAGTGGTGAGAACCAGCTGAATCCCACCACTGTATCTGTCTGTATGTCTGTCTGTCTATCTATCCATCCATCCATCCATCCATCCATCCAGTGGTGAGATTCAAATATGTAAACAACCGGTTCTCTGTATGGATGCCGCTTCCGGAAGTCCGTTCTGGGCCTGGGCAACAAAAAATTAGCTACCAGTTCTGCTGAAGTGGTGCGAACCAGCTGAATCCCACCACTGTATCTGTCTGTATGTCTGTCTGTCTGTCTGTCTATCTATCCATCCATCCATCCATCCATCCATCCAGTGGTGAGATTCAAATATGTAAACAACCGGTTCTCTGCATGGATGCCACTTCTGGAAGTCCATTCTGGGCCTGGGCAACAAAAAATTAGCTACCGGTTCTGTTGAAGTGGTGCCTGCCTGCCTGCCTGCCTGCCTGCCTGCCTGCCTGCCTGCCTGCCTGCCTGCCTGCCTGCCTATCTATCTATCTATCTATCTATCTATCTATCTATCTATCTATCTATCTATCTATCATTATCTATTTATCCATTCTACCTATCATCTATCTGTCTGCCTGTCTGTTTGTCTATCAATTTGCCCGCCCATCCATCCATCCATCCATCCATCCATCCATCCATCTATCTATCTATCTATCTATCTATCTATCTATCTATCTATCATCTATTTATCCATTCTACCTATCATCTATCTGTCTGCCTGTTTGTCTATCAATTTGCCCATCCATCCATCCATCCATCCATCCATCCATCCATCCATCCATCCATCCATCTATCTATCTATCTATCTATCTATCTATCTATCTATCTATCTATCTTCTATCTATTTGCCTATTATCTATCTCTTTTCTATTTGCCTATCTATCTATCTATCTATCTATCTATCTATCTATCTATCTATCTATCTATCTATCTACAGTGGAGGGATTCAAATAGGTGAACAACCAGTTCTCTGTGTGGATGCCGCTTCCGGACGTCCATTTCGGGCCTGGGCAACAAAAAATTAGCTACCAGTTCTGCCGAAGTGGTGAGAACCAGCTGAATCCCACCACTGCTTACAACCATTAAGGCATCCTCGCGGTCATGTGATCAAAATTAGGATGCTTGGCAACTGACTCATATTTATGACAGCGGCCATGTCCCAGAGTCATGTGATCTGGCAGGCAGAGAGTCAGTGGGGAAGCCAGATTCCGTTAACAACCGTGTTACTAACTTAAACAGCTGCACGGATCCACTTAACAACCGGGGCAAGGAAGGTCGTTAAAATGGGGCAAAGTTCAATTAGCCCACGTCTCGCTTAGCCACGGAAATTTTGGGCTCAGCTGTGACCGTAAATCGAGGACCCCCTGTGAGGAAATATCGGTGATACCCGTTGTCTACTGATGGTTATCGACGTAACATTCTTACGTTTGTGCACTTCCTTCTGGGAATTCATCCATTCGTGCCACTTCCTCATGGCTAATTTTAGGAGTCTGCAGTCGTAATAATGTCTTGCAGCCGCCAACTTTTTCTGCAGGAGTTCTTCTGCCGCTTTCTTCTCTCCGCAATAATGGATCCAGGCACTGCCATAGTGACAATAAACCCTGTGTTAAGTTTTTTTTGTCAACTGGTGTTTTCTTTGAAACATAAAGTTGCAACCCAATAAGCATTTCATTGAACCACATTAAAATAGTTTACATTATTATGGATCATCGCACACTCAGCCAGATGTTCAGACTGGATTTGGCATTTTGTCTACCTATCGAGTCCTTACCCAGGACCTGGGATAGGCAGATGTGGATGTTTGATGGTATTACAGATATCGTCGCAGGATGGAAGCAGTTCCTAGTAAGGCCGCCTTTTGCAATTGACTAATAGCGAATTTATCAATGCCAATGGTGTTCAAGTGGTGCTCCAGTGGTTTTGGGATTGCACCCAAGGCGCCTATGACTATTGGTATTATTATTATTATTATTATTATTGATCACTGCACAGTCAGCCAGATGTTCAGACTGGATTTGGCATTTTTGTCTACCTATCGAGTCCTTCCCAAGGACCTGGGATAGGCAGATGTGGATGTTTGATGGTATTACAGATCTCGTCGCAGGATGGAAGCGGTTCCTAGTAAGGCCGCCTTTTGCAATTGACTAATGGCGAGTTTGTCAACGCCAATGATGGTGTTCAAATGGTGTTCCAGTTGTTTTGGGATTGCACCCAAGACGCCTATTACTATTGGTACTACCCTTGCTTGCCTTTGCCATAGTCTTTCTATTTCCATGTCTTTGTATTTTGTTATCTTCTCCAGTTCTTTCTCGTCTATTCTGCTGTCTCCAAGCACTGCTACGTCCACTATCCAGACTTTTTTGTCTTTCTTATCGATAATTGTTAAGTCCGGGGTGTTATGTTGCAGGTGCTTGTCTGTTTGAATTCTGAAGTCCCAGAACAGTTTAATTTTATCATTTTCTATGACTTTCTCTATTTTATGATCCCACCAGTTCTTACTTACAGGCAAATGATATTTTTTGCAGATCTTCCAATGCACCATTGTTGCTACTTTGTCATGCCGCTGCTTGTAGTCAGTCTGTGCAATCTTCTTGCAACAGCTTACCAGGTGGTCCACTGTTTCTCCAGCTTCTTTGCATAGGCGGCACTTACTGTCTGTTGCTGTCTTCTCAAATTTGACTTTATATTATTATTATTATTATGGATCATCGCACAGTCAGCCAGATGTTCAGACTGGATTTGGCATTTTGTCTACCTATCGAGTCCTTACCCAGGACCTGGGATAGGCAGATGTGGATGTTTGATGGTATTACAGATATTGCCGCAGGATGGAAGTTGTTGTTGTTGTTGTTATTATTATTATTAAAATCAAAATACAGGTAGTCCTCGATGCTGCAAAGGCCGTAAGTATGAAAACGGCCGTAAGTCACTTTTTTCACTGCCATTGTAACTTTAAATGGTCACTAAATGATAAAATCGAGGACTAGCTATATTCTAAGAGGAAGTGATACTGCTGATTTGTGATTATTCAACTTTCATCAGCCTTGGGAGAAGAGAAGGCAGAGAGGTCCCCACCCATATTTGTTGGGAGAAAACTTTGCATCCTATGTTAGAAGGAAAGTTATCTGTAGGAAAAATCACAAAAAGTCAAGCTGGTGACCACAACCGCATTTTTGTTTGAACGGGTACTTTGCACAAAGAGTCAGAATTTTGGCAGAACTGTCACAGCGGCCATCAAGACTTTTTTTATCTCCACTGTGGATACTCTTGGTTGTATGTGTGAAAGAGGTCTGCCAAGTTTGTATTGTTTTAGTGGTCACTTCAATAAACTAATCTTTAAAGAATAGAGTCTGTGGTGATTTCTGCTAGAACGAAATCAAAAGGCTTTATTTTGCTTTATTTTGCTTTTTATTTTGCTCAACCTATAGCTACCGTGTCAGAACTGAACATTAATTCTGTTTACTGGAGCAGCCTGGCATGCAAAGCTGTAAATTTATTACCTATCCGAAGAAAGTATAAATGTTATTAAGAAATAATGAAGGCAATTCTACACTTACTCAAAGCACTTTCTCTTTAAATTAGTGCTATAACAGTCCCACGCTTTATCACATAACTCTGTGGTCATCTGAAAAGTAAATACAAACAGAAAACTTACATTAAAATTGGAAAGAGAGACAGGGATAGTCAGATACAGATGAATAAAACAGGCTGATATTCTTCGTGTTATTCATTGAAAAAATCATTGTAAAATAACTGTTCTCGCATTGATCATTCTAGAAAAGGGTTTCAACCGCCAAGAATAACAATTCCACTTCCAGTTAGTACAGTAATTTAATGGAATGAATCAAACAAATAACAGAGAGCGGATTTGATTGACTGAAACAGCCTGGAGTGGATTAAAAGGAAATATAATATAATTTTGTACGCCGCCCTGAGTCCCTAGGGATTGGGCAGCATATAAATTTTATTAATAAAATAAAATAAAATAAAATAAAATAAAAAAATATATCCATACTCTTAATTTTGCTCATTTAGGGGTGAAAAATAATTGCCCCAAGCTAAAAAAAAAAAAAAGTAGGAATGAAAATAAGTGTGTTATGGAAATTGAAATTCAGTCTTTACGGATAGTCCTCAACTTACAAGCGCCCATTTAGTGACTGTTTGAAATTACAACGGTACTGAAAAAAAGTGACTTGACTGTTTTTCACTCTTATTGCAGCACGCCCGCGGTCATGTGATCAAGATTCAGAGGCTTGGCAACTGACATGTACCTTTTTTTATTAAACTAGGCTAGACATCCCCAATTCCTGCAACCATTTTTTATATTTTAGCCTCTAGCCCCCTGATCCTCTTTGTTGCTCTTCTCTGCACTCTTTCTAGAGTATCAACATCTTTTTTTACATCGCGGTGACCAAAACTGGATGCCGTATTCCACGTGTGGCCTTAGCAAGGCGTTGTAAAGTGGCATTAACACTTCATACGACCTCTTTCCTTCATATATATATATATATATATATATTTCAAATGAATCCTAAAGAGCCCTCCGGGCCAAAAACACTACAATTTTAGATGCCACCGAATTAAAGGATTTCTCTTTCCTCGTTTCACTTATTTTTCTACATCATATTTCCCTAGAGTGGAATTTTACTTATTTATTTAAGCACATGTATACATATATAATGCAGAGCTCGAAGTAAGCCAGCCTGAGGCAGTTACATTTTTTTAATATCTGAGTTTGATGAAATTTAACTTAAGTGTGTTTAGGTTATAAAGGAATAAGGATTAAGGAATACTCTTTCCCATGACTCTTGGTTAAAAATGGATTATGAATAAATATAAAACAGAATTATTTCCAGGCTATCTTTGGAGAAAGATATTATTCTAAATATTTTTACAGAGATTTGTTAATAATTACCAGCTGGTCATCATCAAGGCCTAAAAGTGTGTGTAAATATGTCTCTGAAAGGACCCGTAGCTTCAGACTCAACTCTGGATCGATACACATGTTCCTAAGCAAAAAAAAAAAATACATATAATACATGTTAGTTTTTTTAAAACCAAATTATTACACCACAGCTTGAGCTAGTTTTTAAAACCATGTTTGAAATCATTATTTCTTGTTGCTATAGGTTAGTTTCCATCTGTTGCTTTGGAGAATAGCTTGACCCTTTCTTTTCTGAGACAGTCCCTCAAATATTGGAAGACTTCTTGACCACAACCCAAGAAACAACAGTTTATTATTCATATTAGTGTATGTCCAATGAATGCTAATATTATAAAGATGTATATCATTGCACTGAAAAGTTTAATGCCCCATAACAATAAAAAAAAGTTTGCATCTTTCAATTAACTCCTGAACCAGCTATTGTGATCTTTGCACCAGATAAAGTTAAAAACTTTTTTTTCTGCAAATGTGAATGCTTACTAAATTCAAAATAAGAAAACAGTAAGTATGACCGGTGCAGCATGAAAATTTGAAAATCCTTGTATTGTTTTTTTTTTTTTTTTGTACCACTGATTTTAGCATCTACATTTAGCAATTCACATTTGACTCTGGTTCCCAAGAACTGAAAACATTTTATTTAGATTTTCCTATTTCAGTTCTGAAGACCAATGACTAACATGAAATAATATTAATTCAGATTATTTAGACATCTTACTAATAGACATTCAGAATATTTATTGGCTGTTGTCATTTTCTATACTATTACTGAGCTAATAGCTCATTTATTAGTTTACATTGTTCCAGTCAAACTAGTTTATAAAAATTAATATTTCCCCATATTGATTTCAAATTTGTTACCAATATTTTTAAGCCATGCAAACCTCTTATACATACCATATAATACCATATAAACCTTTTTCCATAATTTCTTTGATTTTTTCTTCTAAAAATCTGAGGGGATCTTCTGGACACATAACTAATAAACCACCTAACAAGGCCTGCAAATAAAATCAAGAAATAGAGTGCTGATTAATAAAATACACATTTAACAAGAGAATAAAGTTCTTTTTAGATGCTAGTCCTTTTTTGTTAGAATATTTTATATTTTTGTCAAAACAATTCAATTTTTTATTTTACCTCAAGATTTATTCCCGTTCGTTGCTGAGTTTATATCACAACAGGGATTTTAGTTCATGACATTTTAAGCCATCATAATAAATTTGCAAATATATTAGAGGCTACCAGCATGCTGGATTGTTACAGTACTACTGAGACAATAAGCATTGTGTAATTGTCTTTTCTTAGAGTACTAACAAAGATTATAATTGTAAAGGCTAGGAAACTGGGGTATTATCTAATCGTACAAGTGTCAAAATATTTTACTGAGAATAGTTTTATTCTCTTTCTTAATCGTTTTTAATTGGTTTATTATAATACAGGCAGTCCTTGACTTATGACTGCAGTTGAGGCCAAGATTTCCGTTGTTAAGTGAGCTGTTTGTTAAGTGAATTTTGCTCCATTTTACGACCTTTTCGATTGTTAAGTGAATCACTGTGGTTGATAAGTCAGTAACTTGGTTGTTAAGTGAATCTGGCTTCCCCATTGACTTTGCTTGTCAGAAGGCTGCAAAAGGGGATCACGTGACCTTGGGACAGTGAAACCGTCAAAAGTACATGCCAGTTGCCAAGCATCTGAATTTTGATCACATGATCATGGGAAGGCTACAAAGGTCGTAACTGTGAAAAACAGTCATAAGCCACTTTTTTCAGTGCCGTCGTTAACTTTGAACGGTCACTAAATGAAATTTTGTAAGTCAAGGACTATCCAGGCCCAAAATGGCCTTGTTCTTCCCTTTATTTGCCCAATGAACTAAAATTGAAATAAATAAATAAATAAATAAATAAATAAATAAATAAATAAATAAATAAAATATAGGTCTTTGGTTATTCGGGTTTTCTCCCACGTAAAATTGGAAGTGTCTTGGCGATGTTTCGACGAAGTCTCATTCATCATCTTCAGGCTGGTGCTTTCGGCTTCGTGCTTCTAGGAGCACGAAGCCGAAAGCACCAGCCTGAAGATGACGAATGAGACTTCGTCGAAACGTCGCCAAGACACTTCCAATTTTACGTGGGAGAAAACCCGAAAAACCAAAGACCTACATACAAACACCCGCGAAAACCTCAGAAAACAAATATACAGGTGTTTGTATGTAGGTCTTTGGTTATTCGGGTTTTCTCCCACGTCAAATTGGAAGTGCCTTGGTGACGTTTCGACAAAGTCTCATTCGTCATTTTCAGGCTGGTGTTTTCGGCGTCTTGTAGATTTTCTGGAAAAAAGAGGAGCTTTTCATTTTTCACTTTAACTCTTAACAATATTACAACACCTAAAAGGCACAGTTGTTTAAACAAAAACCATCAATTTAATTACATTACTTGACAGGCACAATGACATGTCATTCCTATGTCAATTTCACTTATAAGTATAGCCAAGAAAAATTAATCATCCCGGTCAAATAAAACAGTAAAAACACCGTTCAAGAAAGAATCGTTTTTAAGTTCCCACTGATCTCAATCGCAACGAAGTGCATTTTCTGAGTGAAGTGAGGAAATCACAGGCAAGCAAGCTTAGAAGTACAAATACTTCTTAAATATTAATTTACACAGATAAGATGCTTTAAGATTGCCACCGGCGCCCTCTACTGGATCCAATCATTTTTTTTTGCTTTTTTTTGTAATCGAAATGCAGTTTCTCCAAATGTTCTCTTGACAACAAGATCCATTGCCTGATATAAATGTTTTCCCGTTCAGACTCTGTGGTGCTCATCTCCATTTCTTAGCCAAAAGAGCCATCCTTTGTCCAAAAACAACCCTGGTAGTCGTGCGGCTCGCGTGACGATATGCCGAGGCATATGGAAACGGGGTTACCTTCCCACCGGAGTGGTACCTATTTATCTACTCGCATTTGTGTGCTTTCGAACTGCTAGACGGGCAGGAGCTGAGGCAAGGAACGGGAGCTCACCCCGTCTTGCAGCGTTGGGGTCTCAAACCCGGGCTGTCAGCTCTCGGCGTCTTTAACCACTGAGACGTCGTGTGTCTCCCCCCTCCTTTTGCCTGACGTCTTAATGGCTTACTGGAAGTCTCCTTGAATAAAAGGGTGGGATAGCAAACAAACAAACAAATTCTCTTGTTTTAAGGTATTTTTGATTTTTTTTTTCATTAAATTCCACTCTGATTAGGAAACTGGGCCATAAATCTGCAATTGCCACTGACTGGCCAAATATCTTGCCTCATTCATCACTACTAATCATCATCTCGAGCCAGTTAGCAAATTAATAACAGCAGGGCGTGTTTCGTATTGTTTGTTTCCTTGCCGTACTTTCGCTGTGCGTTTTTCATCTTCTGATATGTCGTAGGAAAAGCTCTCCAAATTTTTATCGTGAGGTTCCCTGAAATGTTTTTCTGATACTTCAGCCCGAAATGCAGGTGGTTCTTTCGACTTACGGCCACGACTTGAACCCAAAATTTCTGTCGCTAAGTGAGACACATCTTAAGCAACTCTTGCCCTGTTTTACAACCGGTCTTGCCACAGTTGTTAAATGAAACACTACAGTTAAGTTAGCGAACTTGTTGTTAAGTGAATCTGGCTTCCCCGGTTGAGTTTTGATTGTCAGAAGTTCGCAAAAGGGGATCACGTCACTCCCAGAGACGCTGCGACCGTCATAAATACGATTCAGTTGCCAAGCGTGGGAATTTTGAGCATGTGACCATTGATCATGTGACCATGATTTTTATTATATTTTGGAAAATCCTAAGACAAATAGGAAAGACATAACTCTTCTTTTGAAAATGATAAATACTGTTGGCCGTTGTTCTTTTAGCGCTGAATAATTGTTTGTTTTTTCTTTATGATACAGATTACTGCTTTGATTTATATATATATATTGGCATGTCTAGGTAAGTTTAGATCCAAAGAGAATGATTTAGTGATTTAATTCATGAAGTTCAGGTTTATAAAGTAGAGTTCATTTCAAAGCCAACCACAGTCCAATTCTTGAGGAACACAGAGTACTGTCTTTTTCTGCTGGCTATTTTTATAGATGCCATCACTTAAGGGCAAAATCCAACTATGGCTTCACCCCAGAAGTAAAATTAGGTAGTTGTGATGTAAACAAAGCTTCGCACTCTTCATCATCATCAGTGGTGGGGACCTTGGAGGCCTTCTAGTCCAACCCCCTGCTCAGGTAGGAAACTGTAGACCATTTCAGACAAGTGGCTGTCCAGTCTCTTCTTAAAAACTTCCAGTGTTGGAGCATTCATCGCTTCTGGGGGCAGGTAGTTCCACTGGTTAATTGTTCTAACTGTCAGGAAGTTTCTCCATAGTTCTAGGTTGGTCCTCTCCTTGATTAGTGCTTGACTCCCTCTTCTTTGGGGCAGCCCCTGAGAAACTGGAAGACTGCTATCATGTCAGCCCCCTGGTCCTTCTCTTCATTAAACTAGACATACCCAATTCCCGCAGTTGTTTCTTGTATGTTATATATTATCTATTACCTTCCAGTATCTCAGGGGTTGATCCAAAGAAGAGGGAGTCAAGCTATTCTCCAAAGCGCCTGAGGGCAGGACAAGAAGCAACGGATGGAAACTAATCAAGGAGAGAAGCAACCTAGAACTAAGGAGAAACTTCCTGACAGTTAGAACAATTAACCAGTGGAACTACCTGCCTCCAGAAGTTGTGAATGCTCCAATACCGGAGGTTTTTAAGAAGAGACTGGACAGCCATTTGTCTGAAATGGTATACAGTTTCCTGCCTGAGCAGGGGGTTGGACTAGATGACCTCCAAGATCCCTTCCAACTATTATTATTATTATGGATCATCGCACAGTCAGCCAGATGTTCAGACCCGATTTGGCATTTTGTCTACCTATCGAGTCCTTCCCAAGGACCTAGGATAGGCAGATGTGGATGTTTGATGGTATTACAGGATGGAAGCAGTTCCTATTACTACTACTACTACTACTACTACTACTACTACTACTATTACTACTACTATTATGGATCATCGCACAGTCAGCCAGATGTTCAGACTGGATTTGGCATTTTCTCTACCTATCGAGTCCTTACCCAGGACCTGGGATATTATTATTATTATTATCATCATCATCATCATCATCATCATCATCATCATCATCATCATCATCATCATCATTATAGTGTGTGGGGGGGGTCCCTGAGCTTGCAGGCAACCCGGGTCAGCCTTCAAACCCCAACAGAGGCTTCCAGGTGGCTTCTTTACCTCGTAGATGTCCGGAATGGAGTACTTCTGGAAGTAGACCCGCAAGGTGGGGTCCCCATTCTGAAGAAGGGGCATGGCGACTCCGGGGGGCCCCCTGCCCACCCACCCACCGGCCGGAAGAACAGCTGGGAAGGCGGCCGACTACCGCCCCCGCTCCCAACCGACGCTCCGGCTCTAGTGCATCGCTCCCCCCCCGCCCACGCGCGCCAGGCACGCGTTGCTCTCCTCCGGCGCACGTGTGAACGCGACCAGCCACTCAAGGCGTCGGGATGGGAAGCGGGGAGGTTATTTTAGGCCAGCAGTGGGAACCCCGGTCGTTAGCCGGGTCTTCATCCCCGGGGAGGGGGTGTCCAAAGTCCCTTCCTCCGCGAATTGCAAAAACTCGGCTAGTCGAAGGGGGAGTGGGTGGTCGTCTGTCCGAGCCACCCGGGCGTCCCACGGGGATCCTCGGGCTCCATCCTCGGAGGTGGAGCCCGGCTGACCCGCCTGCAGCGGAAGGCGTCGCTTTCCCACGTGCTGCAAATCCCGTTTCCGGGAGAAACACGTGTCCTGCCTGCCATGCAGGAGGCGGGCGGTTGGAAGTGGCGGGGCGGCTTGGTGGGCTTGGCGGCGGCGGCGGGGGTCGCCTACGGCCTGTACCGGGCGACTTCCAGGCGGAGCGGCGGACGAGACTCCCCCGGGTCTGGGGGCTTGGAAGGGCGGCCGGACGACCCCGCTGGAGGGGGAGAAGCCTCGGGGGCTCCCGGGTTGCCCAGCCCCGACCTTTGGGGTCCTTCGGGGGGCGTCCCGCAAGGTCAGATCCCAGCCACCCCTTCCCTCCTTTCCCTTCTTTGTGATCCACGTGTTTTGCCCCCCTTTCACATGCCCAAAGGACACGTATTATGCCTTTTGCTGGCTTCCCCGTGGGAAGTCAGCTGTACGGATAAGTCCTCGATTTGCCAACGTTTCTGCTGCTAAGTGAGACGTTGCTCATCTGCCCTTGGGCCTGTTTTGCGACCTTTCTTGCCCACCGTTGTTAAGTGAATCGCTGCCGTGGTTAAGTTGGGACAAGGCCCTTTGATGACTGGTGGACTTCAACTCCCAGAATTCCTCAGCCAGGATGCTTGGCTGAGGAATTCTGGGAAGGGTCTTCAAACTTGACCCTTTTATGACTTGTGGACTTCAACTCCCAGAATTCCTCATCCAGGCACGCCTAGCTGAGGAATTCTGGGAGTTGAAGTCCACGAGACATAAAAAGGCCGAGTTTGAAGACCTTTGGTCTACTCTATCTATCTATCTATCTATCTATCTATCTATCTATCTATCTATCTATCTATCTATCTATCTCATCCATCTATCTATCTCTCTATATCTCTATCTAGCCTATTTATCATCTATCAGTCATCTATCACAAGGGTCTTCAAACTTGGCCCTTTTAGGACTTGTGGACTTCAACTCCCAGAATTCCTCAGCCAGCGTGCCTGGCTAAGGAATTCTGGGAGTTGAAGTCCATGAGTCATCAAAGGGCCAAATTTGAAGACACCTGAACTAAAGTATGGCTTGCAATTATATTACTAAATTACTGTTACTAAATTAACAAGTGCAGTGACTCCCTTAACAACTACGGCAGGAAAGGTCGTAGAATGGACAAAAAACTCACTTAACAACGGTCTCGCTTAGCAACAGAAATTTTGGACTCAATTGTGGTTGTACGTTAGGGATGACCTATATTTCTGCAGAAAAATGATATAGGTGTAATCTTTATTTTTTAATCTTAGGGGGCACCGAGCTTTCAAAAGCACCCCATGGTGTTCTTGAGCCACATCAGATTAAGAGTCTTCTTCGTCTACTGGAGTCTACAGAAGACATTTTGGTTCAAGAACAGATCTTGGTTACCCTGAGCAACAGCGCAGCCTTCTCTGTCAATCAAGTAAGTGTTGTTTTTGGTTTTCATTCCACAAGAGAAAAAGAAGTGAATGCTTGTGGACCAAGTCCCAGAATTCCTCAGTCGGCAGGGATCTCCAAACATAGCGACTTTGAAGACTTGTGGACTTCAACTCCCAGAATTCCTCAGCCGGCAGGGGTCTCCCAACATGGCGACTTTGAAGACTTGTGGACTTCAACTCCCAGAATTCCTCAGCCATCAGGGGTCTCCAAACATGGCAACTTTGAAGACTTGTGGACCAACTCCCAGAATTCCTCAGCCAGCAGGGGACTCCCAACATGGTGACTTTGAAGACTTGTGGACTTCAACTCCCAGAATTCCTCAGCCGGCAGGGATCTCCAAACATGGCGACTTTGAAGACTTGTGGACTTCAACTCCCAGAATTCCTCAGCCAGCAGGGGTCTCCAAACATGGCGACTTTGAAGACTTGTGGACTTCAGCTCCCAGAATTCCTCAGCCAGGCTGGCTTATTTCAAAATATTCATATGATCAAAATGAACAAATCATCAAAATGATCGTGTGATCAAATGATCATGTCATCATGTTTTCCCTCCTTTAAACTTTATTTTTCAAATAACCCAGCTTATATAAGAACAGTTACTTTTATAAATCACAGAGAAGGGTAGTTGTCGTGGGCCAGTTCCCATCTTTTAAACGAGTTTTTGGGGACTTTAGGGATTAAGATGGTTTTATATGATATTTTTCTATGTGTTTAATTTGTAGGATATCATTCGGAATTTAGGTGGCCTGCCTCTGATTGGAAAAATGCTTTCAGCTCCCACCACCAACGTTAAACAGAAAGCACTTAATGCACTCAATAATCTGAGTATGAATACTAAAAATCAGGAAGAACTAAAGGTAAGCTTAAAATAACACCGTATAAGGAAAATGCATAAGAACAAAGTTTCTAAAGTATTTAATGCAGTGGGATTACTGTGTGATATTGATCAGTTGAATATTATTTAGCATAGTCATTTTTTTAAAATAAATTATAAACTCCCTTTACGTTTACAACATTTAGGAGACTTATTATGGGAGTTAAAAGAGTTATCCTCAGGGCACATTGACCTTAAAAGGATGCGTGTGAATAAAGGCAAGACAAGAAACAATGGATGGACATTAATCAAGAAGAGAAGCAATCTGTAATTAAGGAGAGACTTCGTAACTGTGAGGACAATTAGCCAATGGAACAGCTTGCCACCAGAAGTTGTGGGTGCTCCAACACTGGAGGTTTTTAAGAAGAGACAACCATTTGTCTGAAATGGTATAGGGTCTCCTGCCTGAGCAGGGGGTTGGACTAGAAGACCTCCAAGGTCCCTTCCAGTTCTATTCTATTCATCATTTAAAAAAAGATCCTATTTGAAGGAGATGGAGGATGTCCCTTCCAAAACTCTGATATTCTGTATAAGGTTCTCACCTTGCACTTTTCCCGATAAATTTTATCTGGCTTTTAGCTTACTGAAATACTGATGAGGTTTTTATGGGTGATGATTAACTCCTATTTCTTTACCTTCCTTAAATACAGGGATGATTAAAGTGAAACCCCAGTCATTGGGTATGCAAGCTGATGGTTACTAATATAAAGTTAAGAATAAACATAACAAATACAAAATACGAAAACAATTTTAAAACCACCGGCGATAGCCAAAATGTCAGCAAGTTAAAAACCAGGTGTTTGTGCGGACCGGTTGCTGGCATGCCGTGGTCCACTACCGGATCCACAGACCAGGGGTTGGGGACCCCTGTTCTACGCTCTGGCCGGCGTCCGCTTTGATGGTGTCCGGCCGCCACGTTCTTTGGCGGCCTGTTTTCCTTTTGCCGCTAACTCTTCCCAATATAATTTGCTTTCTGCAGTGAATTCCCCCGCATTGACCCGGCCAAAGTAAATGAGACCTCTGTGGCTTTGTGGCAATACATTGGTAAACCTATTTATGTGTGTGTGTGTGTTCTATCCCTTAGGTCTACATTACCAAGGTGTGCGAGGAAGTGGACACCTCTCCTGTAAATTCTGAATTGCAGCTAGCCGCCCTTCGGTTCTTAACCAACATTTCCGTGACGAACGACTATCATTACAGGATGAGCAGCTTCATACCCAGTTTTCTGCACCTGCTGTTTGAAGGAAATGAAAGGACTCAGGTATAACGGTCAGCTGTTTTATTGTTAAAAAGAAGAAGGAAATTTTTCCGCATTTAGCCGTTCAGCTTAATGCTTGGTGTAAGTCGAAAATACTCTGGAAACTACCGTATTTTCCGGCGTATAAGACGACTCGGCGTATAAGATGACCCCCGACTTCGGAGAAGATTTGCCTGGTTTAGAAAGTCGTCTTATACGCCGGAAAATACGGTAAATACAGGTAGTCCTCGTCTTATGGCCACAATTCAGGCCCAGATTTCCGTCGCTAAGCGAGACGTGTGTTAAGTGAGCTTTGCCCCGTTTTACGAGTTTTCTTGCCGCGCTCGCAAAGTGAATTTGCTGCAGTTGTTTTAGTTAGTAACCTGGGTTGTTAAGTGAATCTGGCTTCCCCCATTGACTTTGCTTGTCGGAAGGTCACAAAAGTGGATCACGTGACACCCCACCCGGGATGCTGCGACCGTTGTAAATGTGAGTCGGTTGCCGAGCGGCTGATTTTTTTTTTTTTCTTTAAATTTATTGATTTTCCAGTTTTACATTTAAATATCTGAAAAGCAACCTGGTGGCTGGGTTGGTTGATAATTCAGTAACATACAAATTTCTTTAGTACCGATCACAAACTATTACATTGAATATTTCCTCTCTTTTCCCGTTGGGATGTACTGTCTCACATTTGAATCGATACAATTCTTATTATATCCATTTAATACAAATAGCTTTCTTACATTTATTGATAATTTTTTGGTTTATATACATATCTTAGTTATTTTAACATTCAATCTTTTTAGACAGTCAATGTCCTGGTAAGTTTTTTCCCCAATACTTTAATACTTCCAGGAAGTATTAAATGTTGAAATAAGAGAAATTTGGGTTATTAAATTTAAGATATTTGGAAATTACCGGAAAATAAGAATATTCTATTGTATTGTTAACCAGCTGATGTAAGATCCAGGGATGAATTGTGATAAAGGGAATTGGGGTTATTTAAAATTTGGAAACTTATTAAACGTTAAATTTAAGTATTTATGGGAAACTAAAAAATGGGAAAACGTACGAGCGGCTGAGTTGTGATCACATGACCACGGGAATGCTGCAGCGGTTGTCGGTGTGAAAAATGGCCGTAACTCGCTTTTTTTCCGTGCCGTTGTTACTTTGGATGGTTACTAAATGAACTGTTGTAAGTCAAGAACTACCTGTAGTAAGACTGCAAACGAAATCACATTGATCTACAGCCAAGATAGGGACATCAGATGTTTTCGATTATAATTCTTAATAGCCTTGGCAATCAAAGCTCACGATAAGGATTATGGGAATTGCACTATAATATTTCTGCTACGCCTGCACCACAGTAGAAAATGGTTTTGCCTGTTTGTTTCTTTTCCACCACATGGAGTAAGTGTTAACAGTGAGAACGGAGTGTAACTATTTGATCTTTCCGAACTTCAATACAATCTTAGTCCAATATAAATTCATTACGTTGTTTAAACATGAATACAGGAGATCCTTGACTTTAGTCTAAAAAAAAATTCTTGCTGAGCCAGGCAGCGGTTAAGGGAATTTTGCTCCGTTTTACAACTGTTTTGGCCGCCATTGTGACGCGAATCGCAGTCGGTCGCCAAACGGCTGAACTTTGATCAGGTGACCGCCAGGTTGTAAGTGTGAAAAACGGCTGTGTCGCTTTTTCTAGCCCTGTTGTAACTTTGACCGGTCGCTAAAATGGATCGTTGTTGAGGACTACCTGTGCCCATTCATTCAATGCGGCCCAGGCCAGCTGTGTTCTAAACTTATCTATTACCTTTAAATCTTAGCTGTCAATCAAAGGTGCTTGTGTCTCCTATTAATTTGATAGACAAATCAGAGAGTTCCCTTATCATTGTTGCAGGTTCAAGTCCTAAAAGTGCTCGTGAACTTATCGGCCAACCCAGCTATGGCAGACCCTCTGCTTAATTCACAGGTAAAGCTATTTTTATCCTTTGCCTCCTTCTTCTTTAACTTCCCCCCCCCATCGTTCATTTATTTTATTTCTTATGCTATGAATTCCTGCTGATTTTGAAGGAAAACATTTGCCCCTGCATGGCCAAGCCATTGAAACCTATATGCACCTATATCGTTGTAAGCTTTAGTTACAAGCGCTTGTCTGTTTTAAGGGCATTATAACTTTAGGAGTAACAACAGCAATAGCACTTAGACTTATATACCACTTCACAGTGCTTTGCAGAGTTTAAGCGGTTTACGGAGTCAGCATATTCTCCCCCAACGCTCATTTTACTGACCTTGGAAGGACAGAAGGCTGAGTCAACCTTGAGCTGGCCAGGATCAAACTCCTGGCAGTGGGCAGAGTCAGCCTGCAATACTGCATTAGCTGTATTCTATACTCTCCAATCCAGATAACTTTTTTTTTTTTTTGAGGCATAATGAATAAACTGATGCATTTCCAGGAATTATGCTCCCTGGTGTGACTCAACATATAATTGTCTACGACAGTGGTTCTCAACCTGTGGGTCGGGACCCCATTCTGGTGGCAGCCAGTGGAACTGCTTGCCACCAGAGGTTGTGGCTGCCCCATCGCTGGAAGATTTTAAGAAAAGACTGGATAACCCCTATCTGAAAGGGTATAGGGCAGTGGTTCTCAACCTGTGGGTCGGGACCCCATTTGGGGTTGAACGATCATTTCACAGGGGTCGCCAAACAACGCAGTCCGCCATTTTTTCCCCCTTTTCCTTAGCTGTGCTACTCCCTTTTATTCTATTGGCTTTGGAAAGCCAATAGAAGAGACTCTCTTGAATAGAGTCTACTTCTATTGGTTTTCAAAAGCCAATAGGAATTGTCCAGGCTGTCTCTGCCCTGCTGAGCCCGCCAAAAGTCCCATTCTGCAAACAGTGCTGCACCAGTTGAGTACTCCTCGACTTACGACCGGTTGAGTAGTCCTCAACTTATGACTGGTTGGGGGTCGCAGCATTAAAAAGGTTGAGAACCACTGGTCTACGAAGCCATTGGGATAATTCAAAGCAGTATATTACTCGTATGCACTCAGCGTGAACTTTGTTAAATCAATACCTTCGGGTGAATAAATAAATTCACAGTTTCTTTAAACTTAAAAGTTAAAATGAACGTGAATTCCATTTTTTCCCCCATGTCTTTCCAGGCGCCTCTTCTCTTATCTCTGTTTGACAGCTGCATAAACAAAGACATTTTGCTCAGGGTCCTTGCATTTGCCACCAATCTGACGAGGTCCATGAAAAATGACAAGGGCTGTGCTATCCAGAATCGGTACAATGAAGATTCCATTTTTTCTACTCTCTCCGGCAATTCTCTGTATACTCAAAAGCTGGCATCCCTGCTACATCATTACGATGCAGAAGTCAAAGAACAAGTTGCAAAGTTAATAATGCAGCAGCGCTGAGGTCAGCCTCAATAATTCCATCTCCAAAATCCTGAACGGCATAAAAGGTATATAGCTTCCCATAGCTATTTTATTGACCTGTGTAAAGTTTCCTCATTTTTAACTGGGGAACTGTATCCATCCTGGACATTTCCTTCAGCATCAAATGATACTGCCCTCATCTCTGGAAGTAGTAGTAGTAGTAGTAGTAGTAGTAGTAATAACAATTGTCAATAAGAAAGACAAAAAAGTCTGGATAGTGGACGTGGCAGTGCCTGGAGACAGCAGAATAGACGAGAAAGAACTGGAGAAGATAACAAAATACAAAGACCTACAAATAGAAATAGAAAGACTGTGGCAAAAGCAAGCAAGGGTAGTACCAATAGTCATAGGCTCCTTGGGTGCAATCCCAAAACAACTGGAGCACCACTTGAACGCCATTGGCATTGACAAATTCGCTATTAGTCAATTGCAAAAGGCGGCCTTATTAGGAACTGCTTCCATCCTGCGACGATATCCTGTAATACCATCAAACATCCACATCTGCCTATCCCAGGTCCTGGGTAAGGACTCGATAGGTAGACAAAATGCCAAATCCAGTCTGAACATCTGGCTGACTGTGCGATGATCAATAATAATAATAATAATAATAATAATAATAATAGTCTGTGAAGGATCAGCACATGGATCCTGAAATAATCTGGAATTTCAGGACAACATTTGTGATCTTGAGCTGCGAGTCTTATCCATCTAAGATAGGGGTCTCCAACCTTGGCGACTTGGAAGACTTGTGGACTTCGACTCCCAGAATTCCTCAGCCAGCCGTACTGATCTGGGAATTCTGGGAGTTGAAGTCCACAATTTGCCAAATCTGGAGAACTCTGATCTAAGCTGTCATAGTCACTTCTGGGGGGTCCCAGGGGTGGCACCTATAACACTACTGTTGCATGTGCTGCATTGGTCACCTCTTTGCTTCTGGATCCAATTCAGGGTCTTGAATTCAAGTCCTACAAGACACGGGTCCAAGCGCCCACAACCTGCCTTCAGAAGTTGTGGGTGCTTCATCACTGGAGGCTTTTAAAAAGAAACTGGACAGCCATTTGTCTTGAGATGGTATGAAGTCTCCTTGCTTGAGTAGGGGACTGGACTAGAGGACCTTCAAGGTCCCTTCCAGTTGTTATTCTGCGTTCTGCATCTGAGGAGCCAACTCACCCCAATTGGTGTAGCCCAGGGGTAGGCAACTGTGGCTCTTTTATGACTCGTGGACTTCGACTCCCAGAATTCCTGAGCCAGCATGGCTCAGCTGGAAACCTCTCCCTTTCCCCTCAGTGTGGTTGACTCAGGAATTCTGGGAGTTGAAGTCCACGAGTCATAAAAGAGCCAAGGTTGCCTAGTCTAGCCTGTCCAACTTGCTTCACCAGAAGGGGCTTCCTTCAGACCTCATCTCCTAAGGAATTCCGGCACGTTAGTTCAAGGAGAAGATCCCGGGATCCTGCGACCGTCATAAATAGGAGCCAGTTGCCAAACACAAATTTTGACCACATGACCCTGGGGGATGCTGCAAATGGTGTGAAATGTCAAAGTAATGATTTAATAGCTAACCAGCTTATGTAATGTAAAATGTAATGATGGGGATGACTCAGCAGGGTCTGTGTCCCTTTAACAGCCTTTTTATAAAAGGGAAGGCTCTGCTGATATGTTCTCTCTCTTCTGTTTTCTGCTGTAACTGCTGTGTGTTGGATCCTGCTGGATTAACGTGTATGTATATTGTTCTCGGTGTATGATATTGTAGATAGTGTAAGATAAACCGCCATTTAATATAGACCGCTGTTGACTGTGTTTACTGTTGGGTTATCTCAGCGCAATAAGACTGCATGCTCTGACATGAAATACTGTCAGAAGTTACCTTTTTTCAGCGCCGTTATAACTTCAAACCGTCACTAAACGAACTGCTGTGAAGTTGAGCTCTATCTGCAGCAGTTTCTGATTTAGATTTTCCCTACAGCAACGACACTCTTGGGATGGAAAAAAAAAAAAAAAACCAGGATTGGGATAAACTGGCACTGCCATTTTTTCATTCCCCAGTGGAGGATTCGAACTCGGAACTCCGTTTTTAATCCAACACCTTAAGTACTATCTCAAATAATCTTTTGGTTAATAATGACAACACGTTAAGAACATTCTGGGGGCAAGAATTTATTGTCAAAGTAGCAGGTTCACACACAAGCCCGTTGGCTCATATTTTTAACGCCGAACAAATTCATCCATCAGTGATTTCAGTTTGGCAAGGAACCCACACGTGTTATTTCTACGTTGTGTTGTTAAAATTACTGGTTTTTGGACATCACCGTTGCCGTAAGGAAAGAAGCACCAACAAAATGAGCTGGAATAAAGACTTTGGAGAAACCAAAAATGTTCTTGTCACATCTGCCAATCATATTCTCGAACAACGGAAGTCTTTGGGTGAGGATAACAAGCAATTAAGCAGTGGCAGCGCAATGCAATACAAACACACGTTTGGGCCAGCAGCACAAATAAATAACAGGCATTTTTCATGTTAGAACTCTCGAAAAGGCACGTTTCAGTGGATAATTTCAAAAAACAAAGCTTCCACGTTTGCAAGTAAAGGTGTATAAAGCATTCAGTAAAGATCTGGATTTCCTCTTAAAATGTGCTTTAACAGCAACTATGTTGGAAGACTCCTTGCAAAGCCTACAATTCAACCCCTCTGAAGGCAACAAGCACAACCTCTGGGTGAGAACTTTGCTCAACTGTATTTAGGGCGTACGTGAAACTTTAAAAATATTGTCATGTTAGTATTCATATTTTTTTAAAAAAAAAAAACAGCCACGCTATAGAAACTTGTGTTCCAAGAAACGAACATGGCTAAATTGGCAATCCTAAACACCCTCCAGCTTGCCTTTTTAATGTAGGCTTTCTGTCTGAATAAACAAGCGTACAAAACGATGGATTGGAGTGAAGTCTTTGAATCATCATCACAGCTAACCCCAAAATTCAGATTTCAGCAGGCTGGGAAATGTTTCCGATTCATGTATAAATCCAGCACCCAGTTCTAAATACAAAGGTGTTGTTTTGGGTAGCCTTAAATTTTTATCCCAATAGCTTCACACACTTCTCTTTTGTTCCTTTCTTGATTAGTTAATGAGTGGGAGATAACCTGCGCCAGGTTAAGTCTCATCAGCATTGATCTGCACACAGTCAGTTTGCATATTAATGGCCGGGTTAAAATTTACATTCCATCTTTTTGCATGCAACCAGGCCCTGCCAAGGATTGAACACATGCTCTTAAGAGTTTCTGGATAGGAATAAATTCTCAGCAGTTCTTTTGTACCTTTTCCATGGCAAATGATTACAGTTGTACAAAGGTTAACTTCCCTGTTTACTTAAAACTTATTTGTAGCTCAGTTAATGCTCTCCACAGTTAATTCGTTCATCAAAAATCATGTTACAAAGTCGGTGTGCAAGATTTTAAAGACTGTTAGAATTAAACACGCCGGAGATCATCAAAAGCCTATCTAATTTTTGTTTTACAAAAAATATTCACTCTTATTTTTTTTCCCGCCCCCAGTTATGGTTAATAAGAATTTTTTTTCCTGTTTCTATTCAAATCCGTGATCGTTAATATTTAAATCTCGCGATTCTCCATGGTTCAGAACAAAGAAATCTTCTGTTTGCAATCCGTATCTCTCAAGAGCTTCTTTCAGTTTAACAGGTGGCTCTAAGTAGTACTGCGAAGAAAAACAGGAAATGCCAGATTAGACATAAATTAAGTTCTCAACATTAAGAAAACCAAAATCATGGCATCCGACCCTCTCAATTCCTGGCAAATAGATGGGGAAGAAATGGAGGTAGTGACAGATTTTATCTTCCTGGGCTCCAAAATCACCACAGATGGGGACTGCAGCCAAGAAATTAGAAGACGCTTGCTCCTGGGGAGGAAAGCTATGGCAAATCTAGACAGCATACTAAAAAGCAGAGACATCACCCTGCCAACAAAAGTGCGTATAGTCAAGGCCATGGTTTTCCCCGTTGCAACGTATGGCTATGAAAGTTGGACCATAAGAAAGGCTGAGCGCCAAAGAATGGAGGCCTTTGAACTATGGTGCTGGAGAAGACTCCTGCGAGTCCCCTGGACTGCAAGGCGATCAAACCGGTCAATCCTAGAGGAGATCAACCCTGACTGCTCTTTAGAAGGCCAGATCCTGAAGTGGAAACTCAAGCCCTTTGGCCACCTAATGAGAAGGAAGGACTCACTGGAGAAGAGCCTGATGCTGGGAAAGATGGAGGGCAAGAGAAGAAGGGGACGACAGAGAATGAGGGGGCTGGATGGAGTCCCTGAAGCAGGAGGCGTGAGCTTAAATGGACTCTAGAAGATGGTAGAGGACAGGAAGGCCTGGAGGAACGTTCATGGGTTCGCGATGGGTCGGACATGACTTCACTACAACAACAACAACAACAGTTCTGTGTGGAATACAGTAACTATGGACTCAAAATCAAATTAAATGTCTATGGAGATTCTCAGTCATCCAGGTCAAGGTTTTCCCAAAGACGCCTTTTCAAAAGGCAACTGGACTTTCTTGTGTTTCTTTTGAAGGCATTTTGCTTCTCGTCCAAGAAGCTTCTTCAGTTCTGTCGTAAGGTCTGTCAGAAATCAGAACTGCACTAACCAAGTTCAACCTTGCTTAGCTGTATTGGTGATTTGGCAAGCACTGATACAGATAGAGAACACCTAAGAACATAGCAGATCATCAGAGCTGGAAGGGACCTTGGAGGTCTTCTAGTCTAACCCCTCAAACAGGAGACCCTATACCAGGGGTAGGCAACCTTGGCTCTTTTATGACTCGTGGACTTCAACTCCCAGAATTCCTGAGCCAGCCTGGCTCAGCTTGGCAACTCTCCCTTTGCCCTCAGCGTGGCTGGCTCAGGAATTCTGGGAGTTGAAGTCCATGAGTCATAAAAGAGCCAAAGTTCCCCACCTCTGCCCTATATCAGGGGTCCTCAACCGTGGCAACTTTAAGACTCGTGGACTTCAACTCCCAGAATTCCTGAGCCAGCATGGGGGAACTATGGCCCCTTCATGACTTGCGGACTTCAACTCCCAGAATTCCTGAGCAAGCATGAGGGAAACTTTGGCCCCTTCATGACTCGTGGACTTCAACTCCCAGAATTCCTTAGCCAGCATGGGGGAACTATGGACCCCTTCATGACTTGTGGACTTCAACTCCCAGAATTCCTGAGCCAGCATGAGGGAAACTTTGGCCCCTTCATGACTCGTGGACTTCAACTCCCAGAATTCCTGAGCCAGCATGGGGGAACTATGGACCCCTTCATGACTTGTGGACTTCAACTCCCAGAATTCCTGAGCCAGCATGAGGGAAACTTTGGCCCCTTCATGACTCGTGGACTTCAACTCCCAGAATTCCTGAGCCAGCATGGGTAAACTTTGGCCCCTTCATGACTTGTGGACTTCAACTCCCAGAATTCCTGAGCCAGCCTGGCTCAGATTGGAAACTTCTCCCTTTCCCCTCAGCGTGGCTGGCTTAGGAATTCTGGGAGTTGAAGTCCACGAGTCATAAAAGAACCAAGGTTGCCTACCCCTGCCCTATACTATTTCATACAAACGTGTTCTTGATACATCGCATGATATCAGTCAGAAAATGTCCATACTCTAGTAATCTAGAAAGTTAGCGCTGTAGATTATATTATTGCTGAATTTGTCACAACCTTGGTGGTCTAGAGCAGAGGTCCCCAATCCCTGGTCTGTGGACCGGTACCGGGCCGTGGCACGCCAGCAACCGGTCCACACAAACAAGCAAAGCCCCATCCGTGGGAAACAGGCAGCACACAAAACCACGTACTCTCCGGTCCACGGAAAAACTTTTCTCCACAGAACCGGTCCCTGGGGCCCAAAAGCTTGGGGCGCTCTGGCCTAGAGACTTAATTTTAGTACCTACTCATGTACCTAAAATGAATGATCAAACGAACTCAACAGAATTAAAAATGGCTTGCATCCATAAACCAATGAATGCAGTGACTCACTCTCAAAATGACGATGAGCATATCTCAAGACCTGTTGATCCGACAACTGTGTCAGCATCATTTCTTTTCTTTTTTTAAAAATATGTTTTTATTGGTTGTTGTTTCTTTACATATCACCATCAATATTTGGTAAACAGTGTGTTGTCTGGGTTTGTATTTACAAATAATAAGTTAGTTTCTATAGTTCTATATTCCACACAATAGCTTTCCTTAATTTTCGTTTCTCCCAATAATATTCTCTTTTATCAACTTTAAATTAGCACATTTCTTGATAGTTTTAGAAGATAACGATTAAATTTCTATCAATATCCTCCACCTCATCATTAAGTTTCTTTTCTGATTAATCATCTAGGTCAGCTTATCATACATCCTGTTTTTAGAGTTCTCATTTAAATTTATTCAAGTTTTACTTGTTAAAATTTTCTTAAAGTTAATTACACTTATGTATTGAAGTCTTTTTCCTCCTATGAACCATCCCAACACTTAACAATTTCTGTTTCATTTTACCCGAAATGGCTCATTTCCATTATATTTTTTGCCATGTTACAATTTTTTAAAATATTAAGGCCAGCCGACTTGCGTTCCAAATCTTTTTTTAAAAAAAAAATCTGGAAGCAGTTCAAAAAGAGGAAAGGGCGCAAACGTCCATAATGGGACAAACTAAGGAGATTATCTTTGCGAGTAATGTTCAAATTGGGGGGGGGGCACGATGGCTCAGTGGTTAAAGACGTTGAGCTTGTCAGCTGGAAAGCTAATAAGTTGAGGTTTGAGACCCCAGCGCTGCGGGATGGGGTGAGCTCCCATCCCCTGCTCCAGCTCCTGTCCACCCAGCCATTTGAAAGCATGCAAACGCGAGTAGATAAATAGGTACCACTTTGGAGGGAAGTAGATAAATAGGTACCACTTCCATGACCTCTTGACATATAGACATGCCGGCCACAGGACCACCAAAGTGTCTTCAGACAACCTGGGTTCCATTGGCTAAGAAACGGAGTTCTCTGGAGTCAAGACACGACTGAAATTTACAATTACCTTTTTTTAAATTTTCAAGCGTCCATTATTAGGTGCAGGAACTTCGTGCATATGGATTTAAGATAGCATCAAAACATTCCACAGGCGTGCCAGCTCAGGAATTCTGGGAGTTGAAGTCCACGGGTCATAAGAGGGCCACCGTTCCCCCTACCCCTGTCCTAATTGCTGAAGTGAAATGTGAAGTTGTGGTTCTACGTCCTTCCATTTTAAACCAAACATTTAATGAGTTCTACATACCTCATTTGCTAAAGCAAAGGTTCCCCAGTGAACGCCGATAGACTTCTTGGCTTGTACATCGATGTGGATCCGCACTGCTTCTTCGGGATCGACATGCTGATATTTCATAAACCACCTACCCCAAAAGAAAAAGAGAAAAAAAAAGTGTACGTAATTTCCTGGATGGTTACCTTGACAATTTTGGTTTCCTAATGGTGTTTGTACAAACTTGGTGCTTGAATTACAACTTTTTTTTTTTTTTCTGGCCAACGTAAAATCTCCCAGGGGTTTCCTTTCGTTTTGCATCGCTATAGATTTTCCTGGCTATTTTTCCCTGCTACTAAGAAGAATTGCCTATTCATTCGTGAAGCTGCCTCAAGGCGAAATGCAAATCCCAAGCCGTTTGCAAAACACCTCACAGATTACATCTACCGCAGTTCCTCTCTACTGTCTTGCTCTCAACCCCTCCCTTGTTCATCGTTTAAGTAGTCTCACCTCCCGCGTCTCTTTTTAATTCAGCCTTCCACAACTTGGCACCCTCAAAACGGGTTGGGACTGTTTGAACCCAGAATTTGGCAGTTTCGACCTATCTACAGGAGAAAAGTGCCCTGGATTGTGGGTTTTCATTGTAAGGACTTGGGAAGCTTCCTATATACTAGATAATTGGCTGTAGAAGAGCAGGCTAAGCTGGAAGGTGGAGGTAAACGGGTCATCAGTTTGAGGTCCTTGCGTTGTCAACAACAACCTCCCCCAATTTAGCTTTGACTGTTAGTTGACCAGATTCTTCTATATAGGTAGCTGAATAAACCTGTGTTTTGTATCCATAAAGGTCCTGGTTATTTGCGCCTGACGTTAATCTCCTGCTCTTCTACACTGGCACTGATAGAGAGTCCTCAATTACATCCATTCTTTAATAAAAGTCGGTGGAGATTCTCCAGGTAGATCCTGGTTGTCCCAAAGATGCTTTTTTCAGGAGGCAACTGGACTTGTTTTTCTTTGAAGATGTTTCGCTTCTCATCCCAGAAGCTTCTTCAGCTCTGACTGGATGGTGGGGAAATGGAAGGATTTATACTCCTTGCAGAAAAACTGGTCATTTGCATTCTTTCAGAGAGTCGTTGAGGCCACTTGGAGGCTCACCTGTGTCCTGAAGGTCACAAGGGTGGTGCAAATGGGTGTGGAGCCTTCTTAGAGGCAGGACACAGGGCAGAAAACATGTACGTAGCCAAGGTTTCAGAGCCTCAGGTGACTCTGAAGACACAGGCAAACCTCCAAGTGGCCTCAACAACCCTCTAAAAGAATGCAAACGACCAGCTGTCTGCAAGGAGTATAAATCCTTCCGTTCCCCACCATCCAGTCAGAGCTGAAGGAGCTTCTGGGATGAGAAGCAAAACATCTTCAAAGAAAAATAAGAATGCCCAGTTGCCCCCCGGGACATTCTTTAGCAAACATTCAAAGTTACAATGACACTGAAAAACAGTGCCTTATGACCGCTTTTTCACACTTAGGACCACAGCAGCGTCCCCATGATCATAATTTGAGTGCTTAGCAATTGGCGGCTATTTATAGCGACGGCAGCATCCCGGCGTCACGTGATGATCACGTTTGACTTTCCCAGCCAGTTTCCAACACGCAAAGTCAAATGGGAGGCAGGGGAAGCCAGATCCGCTGAACAACCACACAGCTGTGCAATTCACTTAACAACGGTGGCAAAAACGGTCCTAAAATGGGGCATGGCTCAGTGAACAACTGTCCGGGGTTAGCAAGGGAAATCTGTTGTGGGTCATTGAGGACCCCCTGCCTCTAAAAAAACATCAGTAGGCTTATAGTTTGCCCTCCGTGCCTCAGATCTCCCACCTTGGTTCGTAGGCGCCGATGGGAATCGCTGCCAAATCGAACGGCCCAAACCGCTTCCCAATTTCCTCGAAGGCAACGCAATAACCGGTGTCTCCGGCGAAGAAGAACCGGTTCCAGGGACCCAGAACAGACCAGCTGCCCCAGAGAACTTTGTTTTCATCTCTGGCACCCCTTCTGGACCAGTGTTGTGCAGGCGTGAAAACAAAGGTGACGGCGTCGCGGCCAGGAATGCAGTTTTCTCCCCACCAGTCTAGCTCGATGACGTTCTCACAGCCACACCTCTGCATCCAGTCCAACAGGCCCAGTGGCACGAACCATCTGAGTTCACTGCCAAAGCGCGCGTTTAAACCCAGGACGGTGGAGTAATCCAGGTGGTCGTAGTGGTTATGGCTGATCAAGACGGCGTCTATTTTGGGCAGTTCGTCGATGGTGCACGGAGGACCCCGGAAACGTTTAGAGCCCATAAACTGCACCGGGGAGGCCCGTTGGCTGAAGATGGGATCGGTAAGAAAGGTCACGTCATCCATTTCGACCATCACCGAGGCGTGTCCGAGCCACGTTACTCGCAAACCGTTTCCCGTCTTCTCGAAGCGTTCAGGGTTTTGGACAAAATAAGGGGTTAACACCGGAAGGTACATGTCAAGGACCTAGCCAGGGAAAAAAGAGAAAAGGCAAGGTCAGAAAACAGGTCCTATTTCCAAACGACCAATATTATACGTCTTCAATCAATCAGAATAAAACTGGAAGGGACCTTGGGGTCTTCTAGTCCAACCCCCTGCTCAGGCAGGAAACCCTATACCAGTGGTTCTCAACCTTTTTAATGCCGTGACCCCCAACCGGTCGTAAGTTGAGGACTACTCAACCGGTCGTAAGTCGAGGACTACTCAACTGGTGCAGCACCGTTTGCAGAATGGGACTTTTGGCGGGCTCAGCAGGGCAGAGACAGCCTGGACAATTCCTATTGGCTTTTGAAAGCCAATAGAATTAGACTCTATTCAAGAGAGTCTATTCTATTGGCTTTCAAAAGCCAATAGAATAAAAGGGAGTAGCACAGCTAAGGAAAAGGGGGAAAAAATGGCGGACTGCGTTGTTTGGCGACCCCCGTGAAATGGTCGTTCGACCCCAAATGGGGTCCCGACCCACAGGTTGAGAACCACTGCCCTATACCCTTTCAGATAGGGGGTTATCCAGTCTTTTCTTAAAATCTTCCAGCGATGGGGCAGCCACAACTTCTGGTGGCAAGCAGTTCCACTGGCTGATTGTCCTCACTGTTAGGAAGTTTCTCCTTAGTTCCAGGTTGCTTCTCTCCTTTATTAGTTTCCATCCATTGTTTCTTGTTTCTTGGAAAATAAATTGACCCCCCCTTCTTTGTAGCAGCCCCTCAAATACCGCAATACTCGTAATCCTTTAAGAGCTTTACTCTAACTTGGTACAGTATTAGCTCAGCTGCAGAAGTGTGTCAGTGTACACCTACAATTACCCAGCTTGAGTGTAAGGCCAGCAGCAGATGCTCCAAAGCTGGGAGCATTAACAAACTGATCACAAAAACAATCATTTGCAGGAAATGGGCAGATTGCCACATTTATGTGTACCAACAAAACTCCGTGGAAAAACATCTGATTTAATTTAGGACACAAGGAAACAAGACAAGCAGCGGGGGGGGGGGGGGGGGAGGGAAAGAAAAATAAAGTTATATACCGGCACTAGCAAATTAGCATCAGCCTGGGAGTTAAAACCATAGCATGTATTTCAATCAAATTGAACACGAATCTTGCTGACAGTGGTATCATCAATGCTGCTAACATCGGATGTTTTTGCATTGACAACAGATGGAGATGCAACCCTTTTCTTCTTTTATTTTACTCTTAGAGCTAGATGATGCTAGGGGGAGGAATGTGCATGAGAGTTTAGCTAGACATAACAGTACTGAACCTAGCGTGAGAACCAAGGTTATTGAAATAAGAGATGATAAGAATTGGTGGCTAGAGAACTGGGAGGGAAGCCTGCATTTCAAGCTAATTGGAGAATGTGATTTATGACTGTTAATTGGAAGAGGGAATTGTGCTTTGATACTATGTGCTCAGGAGAGGGGAATTCAGTTCGACCGTAGTAAATACGAGCCGGTGGCCAAGCATCCGAATTTGGGAATGGAAAAAAAATGGGAAAGCAGCGTCCTGCCACATGCGCTGCCCTCTTTTTTTTTTTATACACACAACCAAATGATAAAAGCAGGGGCACCTCCTTGTATTTGTCATTTGGGTGAAAGAAGTCAAATCCGGGTTTCCTTACAGCGGGCGATGGGCCAAAAAACGTGGAGATCAACACTGACCTACAAGCAGTCCTCGACTCACAGCCGCAATGGAGCCCAAGTTTTCTGTCGCTAAGCAAGACAGTGGCTACGTGAGTTTTCCCCATCATCTGATGACCTTTCTTGACACAGGGAATCAGGGAATCTCTGCAGGGTGTTAAGTTAGTAACATGGTTGTTAAGTGGATCCGGCTTCCTCCAGTCGCTGTCCTCCTCCTCCATCATTCCACAAACCCTACTCCCTTCTAGCTCTGATGATGTTCCCTAGTTTGAGTAATGAAACATCTACAGGAAAACAACCCAGCTCAGAGAGCACCAAGGACTCCATAGTCATTGTCATCCTTGTCCTCCTCCATCTCCACCTTCTCCTCCTCCCCCCCTTCCTCCAGTACAACCACCACCATAAACCCCCCACCCTTCTAGCTCTGATAATGTTTCCTAGTTTGAGTAATGAAACATCTACAGGAAAACAACCCAGCTCAGAGAGCACCAAGGACTCCATAGTCATTGTCATCCTTGTCCTCCTCCATCTCCACCTTCTCCTCCTGCCCCCCTTCCTCTAGTACAACCACCACCATAAACCCCCCACCCTTCTAGCTCTGATGATGTTCCCTAGTTTGAGTAATGAAACATCTACAGGAAAACAACCCAGCTCAGAGAGCACCAAGGACTCCATAGTCATTGTCATCCTTGTCCTCCTCCATCTCCACCTTCTCCTCCTCCCCCCCTTCCTCCAGTACAACCACCACCATAAACCCCCCACCCTTCTAGCTCTGATAATGTTTCCTAGTTTGGGTAATGAAACATCTACAGAAAAACAACCCAGCTCAGAGAGCACCAAGGACTCCATAGTCATTGTCATCCTTGTCTTCCTCATCCTCGTCCTCGTCCTCCCTCTTCTTCTTCTTCTTCTTCTTCTTCTTCTTCTTCTTCTTCTTCTTCTTCTTCTTCTTCTTCTTCTTCTTCTTCTTATTCTTCTTCTTCTTCTTCTTCTTCTTCTTCTTCTTCTTCTTCCTTCTTCTTCTTCTTCTTCTTCTTCTTCTTCTTCTTCTTCTTCTTCTTCTTCTTCTTCTTCTTCTTCTTCTTCTTCTTCTTCTTCTTCTTCTTCTTCTTCTTCTTCTTCTCCTCCTCCTCCTCCTCCTCCTCCTTCTTCTTGTCCTCCTCCTCTTCCCCCTCCTCCTCCACTACAACCACCACCATAAACCCCCCACCCTTCTAACTCTGATAATGGGCAATGAAACATCTACAAGAAAACAACCCAGCTCAGAGAGCACCAAGAACCCCTCATTTCCACCCTGGGCTGCAAATATTCTCCTTTATTGAAACTAAACTATTGTCTTTGACAAACCTGGCATCCCAAACTCTTTAAGAAGGACAAACGTGAACTTTTTCTTCACCTCTGCTTTGATATCTCCCCCCCCCCTTTCATAAACATGACAGCTGGTACGTTTGTGGAATCGGGATCAGAGGCTTTAGCTGTTCCTGAGCAATTCTTAAAGAGCTTTTTCACTTTAGGCAGGCCTGAACTAATCTGGATGCTTAAATATGCTTGCCAGGAAAATTCAACACATCAGCAAAATTCCTGCAGCTGCTTAAAGTCGAAGAACATCATGCCCTAATACCTATGTTAATCTTTCAGACGCCACAACCTTTCTTTGCCCTCCTGCAAAAGATTAAAAACTGCTCCACCTTTGCAATTTGGCTGAAACAACACGCAGAGGTGAATCCGGGCTGCCAGTCACTGCTCTTATAATTCTATTTTGAGCTTCAATTATAAAAGTCAATTATAAAAGGCAAGGGGCTGGCGTGAGTTGGTGCTGTCCCTGGTTGGCCGGGCAGTTGATTAGGATCCTGAGGCCGATTGTAGGTCAGTGTGTGTGTGTGTTGATGGAATTGTTTGTGGAGTTGTCAGGCTTCGATGCGCTCATGAGCGTGGCAGGTGGTAGCGTGGCAACGAATTATTTGGAAACCAAGCCACAAGCTTGGAGAACGAACCTCCACCCTCACCCCGAGCTGCAGATATTGGCCACTATTGAAAAAACAGCATTTCTTTCCAGTTTCCAGGAAAAAATTGGTCATAGTGGACAATGAATTCACTTAACAACCAAAGGGTTGGCTTTATGACTGTGGCATTTGCTTTACAATGGCTGCATTCCCTAAACGGGGGGGGGGCAACCTTGCCTCTTTCATGACTCGTGGACTTCAACTCCCAGAATTCCTGAGCCAGCATGGGGGAACTGTGGCCCTTTCATGACTCGTGGACTTCAACTCCCAGAATTCCTGAGCCAGACACGTGAGGGGAAAGGGAGAGGTTTCCAAGCTGAGCCATGGTGGCTCAGGAATTCGGGAGTTGAAGTCCACGAGTCTTAAAGCTGCCAAGGTTGAGGACCCCTGATATAGGGCAGGGGTGGGGAACCTTGGTTCTTTTATGACTTGTGGACTTCAACTCCCAGAATTCCTCAGCCAGCTATGCTGAGGGGAAAGGGAGAGGTTTCCAAGCTGAGCCATGCTGGCTCAGGAATTCTGGGAGTTGAAGTCCACGAGTCTTAAAGATGCCAAGGTTGAGGACCCCTGATATAGGGCAGGGGTGGGGAACCTTGGTTCTTTTATGACTTGTGGACTTCAACTCCCAGAATTCCTCAGCCAGCTATGCTGAGGGGAAAGGAGAGGTTTCCAAGCTGAGCCATGCTGGCTCAGGAATTCTGGGAGTTGAAGTCCATGAGTCATAAAAGAGCCAAGGTTGCCTACCCCTGCCCTAAACAAATACTGCATATATATATATATATATATATATATATATATATATATATATATATATATATATATATATATATATATATATAGATATATATATATATATATATATATATAAAATAAAATCAACTCGTGTGACAACTCAGGTTACAACCGTCAGGACTTTACGATCCTAAATCCTAGAATCCTAGATCGGAAGGGACCTCGGAGGTCTTCTAGTCTAACCCCCCCTGCTCAAGGCAGGAGTCCTTATACCATCCCAGCCAAATGGTCGTCCAGTCCCATTTTTGAAAACCTGCAGTGAGGGAGCATGCCCCTCTCAATGACAGTCATAAGTCACAGACTATGAATGCTTACATTTTAAAAAAATATATACAAAATTACAGACAATGCAGGATCATCTCTTGTTTCTACAGTGCTAGAAAGTATTGGCTATGCCAGGGGTCTTCAAACTTGGCCCTTTTATGACTGGTGAACTTCAACTCCCAGAATGGCTGGCTGGGGAATTCTGGGAGTTGAAGTCCACCAGTTATAAAAGGGCCAAGTTTGAAGACCCCTGGTCTGGATCCAAGCCCGCAGTTTCATCAAAATGTCCGACTGAGGAATTCTGGAAGTTGAAATCCACCAGTCCTAAAAGGGCCAAGTCTGAAGACCCCTGGTCTATGTGACATTGAGCAATATATTCTGATGAAGCCACTGCAAGTCAGAAAGCGGTTGGTAATATCTTTCATTAACTACATTAGATTTAAAGACCGATCAAAGAAATGCATTACTTATATCGTAACCTCAATCTGAAGAAATGTGTGCTTCCTATCGAAAGCAAGAACACAACTCAACAAAATGCCCATTTTTCTCTCTTACCAATGATAGGTTTCCTGGATTCTAAAGCCACAAAATAAGATTCTAGAATATCAAAGAGGAAAAAAATACATAAACCAAATACGTCTTGGACTGCATTATCAATTATTTAGGAAAAAGGATATTTGCTAAGTTTATTTACATACGGTGCTGGATTAGGAGTGTGTGTTGCATTTGCCCTTAAATCGCTGCGTCTGCTTCACATATTAAATCATTTTAGGGTGCAATTATAGTTGACCATTCAATTGTAAAGTTATCGTCTCCTTCTTTGCCAATTGCCTTTCCCAATAAATCAGTGGTTCTCAACCTGTGGGTCGGGACCCCATTTGGGGTCGAATGACCATTTCACGGGGGTCACCAAACAACGCAATCCGCCATTTTTCCCCCCCTTTTCCTTAGCTGTGCTACTCCCTTTTATTCTATGGGCTTTTGAAAGCCAATAGAATAGACTCTCTTGAATAGAGTCTAATGCTATTGGCTTTCCAAAGCCAATAGGAATTGTCCAGGCTGTCTCTGCCCTGCTGAGCCCGCCAAAAGTCCCATTCTGCAAACGGTGCTGCACCAGTTGAGTAGTCCTCGACTTATGACCGGTTGAGTAGTCCTCGACTTATGACCGGTTGGGGGTCACGGCATTCAAAAGATTGAGAACCACTGCAATAATTTGAAGCACGGTAACCGCGAATCGTTTACCTGTTTCGAACTTGGGACTTTACTGTGGTCCTTTTCTAAAAAATACCACCTCAAGATATTTGGGATGGTCAGTGGTCTCCACGTCGGCCAGGGGTTCATGAATCTTCCATCTTTGCTTTTCTTTGACTTGGTCACATCTTCCTCCAGCCGATAATCCAACCGGAAGCTTTTTCTAGACGTCCTGGACGAATCGCTCCCTCGGGAACCTTGATTTGAATTCTGACGTTTTCTTACTTCTCTTTTCAAGCTTGGATTGCAAGGCTGTTCTTCGTCCATGTCATTTGGTGACGAACTACGGGGGGGGGGGGGAGGGAGAGAAAAGAAAAGTTAATTCTGTTTCTTAATTGGAATATTAAAGGAACGGGGGTGGGGGGGAATCCCAGACGTACCCTAAAAACATCTCCCCTATATCTGCAAACTTTTCCTCCACCTTTCCACGCCTACAACGTTTTAAGAGCAGGCCTTGGCATGCAGACGTTTGAATTCCTTTAATAAACTGAGGACCAGGAGCTTGTTCTGGCTGGTAAACAGGGTCGGCTTTTTCTTATGGCTGGGTTACAGGAAGAGAAGCTTAAAGCTCTCACTGAATAACAAGCTCTTTGTGAAGTTCACCATTTTATAGGAAGCTAATTAAAATACCAATGTGCACTTACATAGCTTTGTCTCCTTCATGTGTTAAATTATTTTAGGGTGATGTTATATTTGATAATTAAACTATAAGTCATCCTCTACTTATCTGCAGGCTGCATTTTCCATAAATTTAAGCACAATAACCGCGAATCATCTACCTACTACTCAATATTACCTATTGAGGGACGTAGCACCCTATCTGGCAATCCAGTGCATTTTTTACTTGCAATAGTAAATGGAGAGTTATGGGGACACGAGGAAAGTCGAAGAGAGAAATTAAGCCTCAGAAGAAACATCCCATAAAATAAATTTCTCTCCTGCCTCCCCAGGAGAGAGACCAAATAGTGACCAAGTCCTCTCTGGTTTTTTATATATATTTTTTTGTCAGCAGCCCAGAGTCACTGAGAGCGAACGGGCAGCCATTTAAAATTTCTAAATAAAAATAAAATAAAATAACAAGAGATATTTATGGCTTGCCAAGGACCTTACACCCCCATACGCAGCGCGTTCACCCTTTTCATCTCGGAGAGGAGCGTTGATTCCAGAATTGTTGTTGTTTTTTAAAAAAAAAACCAACTCAGCAAATTTGGCTCGTTTTTTGGAATTAGTAAATGTTTTCCAGCAGTGGACTCTGTACGTCTGGGAGAAACCTTGTATTAAAATGAATTCGTGGTCCTCTGTCGACATCACAAAAAATGTTGCGCTGGTTGTTAATGCAGAAATGACAAAGGCGTCTCTGGTCACCACCAGCTTGTAAAGTTGGAGCAGGCTATGATTAGAACAAGAACGTGATAGACAAGCACAGAAAGGTATACAGGTAACCCCTGACTTACAAAAGTTCATTTAGTGACCGTTCCAAGTTGCAACGAGGCTGAAAAAAGCAATTTATGAAAGTCTTTCACATTTACGATCCCCACGGTCATGTGATCAAAATTCAAACCGTGGGCAAACTGACTCGTATTTATGACGGCTGCAGTGCCCCGGGGTCACGTGATCCCTTTTTGCGACGTTCTGACAAGCAAAGCCAATGGCAAAAACGGTGTCCAGAGAAGCCAGCTATAATTCACAACAGTTTTAAAAAAAACAAAAACCCTCATCAGTCTGAAAAGATGCTAAAAGGCTCATTATTAATCTGGCTCTCCACCTACAACATCAAGGTAAATAGTTAATCTCACTCAACTGGAAGTTGAGGAATGTTGTCGCTACTAGTAGTCAATTAAGATCTTGGCTTTATTTAGCAAAGTATGCATTTCCTATTATTACACAGCAATTTGTAGCAAAAAGAAGTAGTTCCTGTCACCTGGCTGAACTAAAAGGAAGATCGGGGTATTTCCATTGCTTTGATTATAGTTCGCTCATTTTTCCTTCTCTTTGCTTCTTCCCATGGCGTGTGCAGTCATGTTTGTTCACACTTTAAACCAGTGGTTCTCAACCTGTGGGTCAGGACCCCATTTAGGGTCGAACGACCATTCACGGGGGTCGCCAAACGAGGCTGTCCGCCATTTTTCCCCCCCTTTTCCTTGGCCACGCCCCTGGTACCGGTGATGTATAAGTGGTTGGGGGTCACCACAACATGGGGAACTGTATTATGGGGTCACGGCATTAGAAAGGTTGAGAACCACTGCTTTAAACCCTGCAGGCGGGAATCTCCCAAAGTTTTGGCAGCCTCTCCCAAAGTTTTGGCAGCCTCTACTCCAGTGGTTCTCAACCTTTTTAATGCCGCGACCCCCAACCGGTCGTAAGTCGAGGACTACTCAACTGGTGCAGCACCGTTTGCAGAATGGGACTTTTGGCGGGCTCAGCAGGGCAGAGACAGCCTGAACAATTCCTATTGGCTTTTGAAAGCCAATAGAATTAGACTCTATTCAAGAGAGTCTATTCTCTTGGCTTTCAAAGGCCAATAGAATAAAAGGGAGTAGCACAGCTAAGGAAAAGGGGGGAAAAAATGGCGGACTGTGTTGTTTGGCGACCCCCGTGAAATGGTCGTTCGACCCCAAATGGGGTCCCAACCCACAGATTGAGAACCACTGCTCTACTCAGAAGCAAAGGGCTTGTACACCTAGTTTAAGCATCCCCCAATTCTTTTTTTTAAAAAAGGAGCCATTTCCAAGGTCATGTAACAAAGCCAAATGCATTCAGGGTGAACTTTTATCAGCCTGAGAAATTTCACAGCCGTGGATAATACATCCATAAATATGACTATGAGCCAGCAGTGTGCTGCAGCTGCCGAAAAACCTAATACCATCCTGGGTTGTATAAACAAAGAGGCATAGAATCAAGATCACACAAAGTGGCAAGGTGACAAGCAACAGGGAGAAAGCAGAACTATTTAACTCCTTTTGGGCATCTATCTTTACACAAAGGGAAAAAAAAACCAGACCAACCTATCAAAAACAGTACCGTAAAAAAACAGATTAGAAACACAAGTTAAAATAGGCAAGAAAATGGTAAGTGAGCACCTGTCCAGCCTAGACCAAATGGATTACACCCCAAGATTCTCAAGGAACTGGCAGATGTGATCTCAGAACCACTGAACTATATTTTTCAAAGATCCTGGAGCACTGGGGAACGACCAGAGGACTGGAAAAAAGCTGATGCAGTTCCCATCTTCAAAAAATGGAAAAAAATAAATCCAGGAAACTACAGACCTAATAATAATTTTTAAACCTAGCGGTTTAAATTGTTGCAGTTTGCAAGGTGCCTTTATACCATATTAAGAGTCCACAAAGCTTTAATCAGGGGGCACAAAGACACATTAAGCAACAGGTTTTTTGTTGTTTTTTTTTGGATGAGAGCCCAGAGAACACAAACACACAAGCAAGCTTTTATAGTCGCCCAAAGAACTGCAGCGTGGCACAACCGCATTGTCTAATACATGAATTGTTCCATATTGGATCTTCTCTTCCTTAATCTGGAAGTTTACTGCTTGCAATTTATCTTACATATATGAAACAAAGCATCCATTATGCAATGCAAGCACACTACAGAGAGCGATGGAAATCTACAGCATTCATAATGAATTTTTTTTTTAAAAAAAGGGGAAGGTTTTTTTTTTTCTCCGAGATCTTTTCCAGAAAGAAAGAAAACTTGTGTTAGTAAGCGATTGGACGACCATCTGTCTGAAATGGTGTATATATAGGGTCTCCTGCGTGAGCTGAGGATTGGACTAGAAGATCCAAAATAAGGGTCTACATTTCGGCAAGAAAAACCAAATGCACAGATATAGTACCTTGCTCAATAGTAGTAACTGTGAGAGGGATCTCGGAGTCCTAGTGGACAATCCCTTAAATAGGAGCCAGCCGTGTGCTGCAGCTGCCAAAAAGGCCAACACAGTGCTGGGCTGCATTAACAGAGGGATAGAATCAAGATCATGTGAAGTGTTAATACCACTTTACAAGGCCTTGGTAAGGCCACACTTGGAATACGGCATCCAGTTTTGGTCACCATGATGTAAAAAAGATGCTGAGACTCTAGAAAGAGTACAGAGAAGAGTAACAAAGATGATCAGGGGACTGGAGGCTAAAGCATATAAGGAACGGTGGCTGGAATTGGGGATGTCTACTTTAACGAAGAGAAGGACGAGGGGGGACATGATAGCAGTCTTCCAGTAACTCAGGGGTTGCCCCAAAGAAGAGGGAGTCAAGCTATTTTCCAAAGCATATTTTTACTGGGTTTGAAAAAAAATAAAACACCCGTTTCTTGCCCAGAATACAAATTTGGCAGGAGGGGGATTATGTAACCCTCTTCTGAAAAACTAGCCCAGCACATTTCCATGTCAACAAAGGAGAATGCTCGAACTATAGCAACTGAATGGATCTGCCTGCTTTTCAATCCTATTCACCAGCTAAAAACGAGACAGGTCTTGGGATAAAGAGTAAAAAAGAAAGAAAGAAAGAAAGGAGGAGGGCTGGACACTATGCATGTTAATATCTCAATTAAAGCACCCTTTTTCTTCCAGCATCTGACATACCAAATGGCTGTCGTTCCCAAACAATTATTTAGCAATCTGGACTGTAATTTATTTTTCTTTTTTTTAGAAAGCCACTGCAAATCGTACGGTTATCCTCCCAAATTGCTGAGCTACAAAGAAGCGAACTGAGCTCAAATTTAATTTTTAGCTTTGTTTAAGGCACAAATTAAGCAATCCCTCTGGGACAACCTTAATAATAATAATAATAATAATAATAATAATAATAATAATAGGTAGACAAATGCCAAATCCAGTCTGAACATCTGGCTGACTGTGCGATGATCCGTAATAATAATAATAAAGTTGGAAGGGACCTTGGAGGTCATCTAGTCCAACCCCCTGCTCAAGCACCGGATTTCTGCTCCTACTTTCTCTTCTCCAAAATTCAATTCCACATGAGCGAAAGACTTCCCACTGATAATAAGGAATCTGCAATAATTCATCTTTTCCCCTGCAATGGAAAAAGATCGCTCTATTTCCTTAAAATAAAAGTTCCTAAAACTTTCTTTTAATTTTCTTAATTGTCGGGAGAGGAAAGTTGCTTTGATCCGTTATCCTTTCTGATCTTCTTCCTCACCATCTCCGACTGCAGGAATAAACGCAGCCACTGTTTTGACTGACAAGAGAGGTAACGCATCCTTGTTCCAGTCTTGCCATGCAGCTAGTCCTCAGCGTACAGGCATTTATTTAGCGACTGTTAATGGCACTGCAGTACTTGGCTTAACAATCACAGCAAAAAATAATAATAAAATAAAATGTAAATTTGGACTTGACTCATTTTAACCACGGCCTTGCTTGGTGACAGAATTTCTCGTCCCGATTATGGCCATTAAATTGAGGATTCCCAATATTCTGCAAATCCTAGTCAGTGCCCAGAGAGTTCTATTATGGGGGGTCCAGAGGGGAGTTTACTACTGCAAGCCCCCATCTGCAACTCAGTGAAGACAAAAAGATTGATGAAATTTAGCTCATTAGCACCAGGCAGAATGTTATGTACGGCAGCCGTTGAAATTCCAAAATAATTCTCCTTTTTCAAGAGGCCACTGGACTTTCTTGTTTTTCTTTGAAGACATTTCGCTTCTCATGCAAGAATCTTCTTCAGCTCTGACTGGATGATGGAGAATGGCAGGGTTTATACTCCTTGCAGACAGCTGGTCGTTTGCCTTCTTTTAGAGAGGCGTTGAGGCCACCTGGAGGCTCACCTGTGTCCTGAAGGTCACCTGAGTGGTGCAAATGGGCGTGGAGCCTTCTTGGCGGCAGGACGCAGGGCAGAAAGCATCCTGTAGCCAAGACGCTTTCAGCCTCAGGTGACCCCGAGGACACAGGCAAACCTCCAAGTGGCCTCAACAACTCTCTAAAACAGTGGTTCTCAACCTTTTTAATGCCGCAACCCCCAACCAGTCGTAAGTCGAGGACTACTCAACCGGTCATAAGTCGAGGACTACTCAACTGGTGCAGCACCGTTTGCAGAATGGGACTTTTGGCAGGCTCAGCAGAGCAGAGACAGCCTGGACAATTCCTATTGGCTTTTGAAAGCCAATAGAATTAGACTCTATTCAAGAGAGTCTATTCTATTGGCTTTCAAAAGCCAATAGAATAAAAGGGAGTAGCACAGCTAAGGAAAAGGGGGGAAAAAATGGCGGACTGCATTGTTTGGCGACCCCCGTGAAATGGTCGTTCGACCCCAACTGGGGTCCCGACCCACAGGTGGAGAACCACTGCTCTAAAAGGATGCAAATGACCAGCGATCTGCAAGGAGTATAAATCCTTCGGTTGTAACTACGAACTGTTGTAAGTCGAAGACTTCCTGTTTCTCCATTTCCAATTCACTCGCTCCTCCACTGCCCCCCTTTTTTCCAAGGCCACGTGAGCCCGGTTCCCGAGTGACTCCCTCCACACGGGACGGCAGGTGGTGAGGAAGATGTAAGATAGCCCCGCACATCTGGGGAAACCTCTGGTACCTGGGAGCCGAGTGCAAAACCGGTGTCGGATCCCGTTACATGAGTCCCCCCCCCGGCCACGGCCCCGTCCCACCCTACGGCCATGGCTTCCCACGACAGAAGGGGCTCCTCGGGGTTGGGGCTCCCAGCGAGAGTCCCCAGGAACCGACCAGCTCCACAGAATGGCAGATGGTGGGAACTGTGGAGTGCAGGAAAGGCCCAGGAGGGCGGTGGGATTCGGGGGGCTCAGTGATGGAGGGGGAGGGCAGGGAAGGGGGCTCGGCAGCCGAAGGAAGGGGTGGAAGCCCAGCCTTGGGCGCCCTCCGCGGCAAAGGAACCCGAAAGATGCAGCTCTGCAGAGATCCCCTTTGCAAGGCGTCCCTTGATGGGATCCGGAGCGATCTCTGAGGATTCCCCCTCCCTGTGTGATCTCCTCCTGATGCCTAGCGATCTCTCACCTCTCCCGGCCAGGCTCCTGCAGAGCTCGCCTTTGCAAGATTTCCATTGATGTGATCCAGAGGGATCTCCCCGGATCTCCCCAGTGATCCCCTCCTGCTGCCAGGAGATCTTTCCCCTCCCCGGCAGGGCTCCTGCAGAACTCACACTTCCCTTGATGGGATCCCCCCTCCCTGAGTGATCCCCTACTGGTGCCCAGCGATCTCTCCCCTTCCCCGGTCAGGCTCCTGCAGAGATCCCCTTTGCAAGGCTTCCCTTGCTGGGATCTGGAGGGATCCCTCAGGATCCCCCCTCCCTGAGTGATCCCCTCCTGGTGCCTAGCGATCTCTCCCCTCCCCGGGCCAGCCTCCTGCAGAGATCGCTTTACAAGGCTTCCCTTGTTGGGATCCGGAGAGATCTCTCAGGATCCCCCCTCCTTGAGTGATCCCCTCCTGGTGCCCGGCGATCTCTTACCTCTCCCGGCCAGGCTCCTGCAGAGATTGCTTTACAAGGCTTCCCTTGTTGGGATCCGGAGGGATCTCTCAGGATCCCCCCTCCGTGAGTGATCCCCTCCTGGTGCCCGGCGATCTCTTACCTCTCCCGGCCAGGCTTCTGCAGAGATCCCCCTTGCAAAGCTTCCCTTGCTGGGATCCGGAGGGATCTCTCTCAGCGATCCCTCCTGGTGCTCGGCGATCTCTCCCCTCCCCCGGCCGGGTTCCTGCAGAGATCCCCCTTGCAAGGCTTCCCTCTCCGGGTCTCCCTTCCCCGAGCGATCCCCTCCCGAGGTTGCTTCCCGGAGATCTCCCCCCCCTCCTCCGGCTGGGCTCCTGCGAGGCTGCAGGGATCCCCTTTGCCAGGCTTCCCTGGCTGGGATCCGGAGGGATCCTCTCCGCCTCTCCCCTCCCCGAGCGATCCCCTCCGGCGGGGGGTCCCCGCAGAAGGCTCACCTCTCCCGGCGGGGCTCCCGCGGGGCTCCGGCTTCCTCCTCCATCGGCGGCCTCGGACGCCTCTGCCCGGCCGGCCGCCGCCCCACGGTCCCCTCGCCCGCCGGCCCCAGCAGCGCCGCGGCCAGAGCCAGGCAGGGCCGCCGCCTCCCCCGGCAGCCCGCCAGCCCGGCCCGGAGCAGCTCGGCGGGGCCCCCGCAGCCGCCACCCCCGCCCCGGCCTCGCCCCTGCCCGCCTGCCTTGGCCCGGCCTCCCGCCCGGGAACTCCCCTGCTGGTTGAGCTCTGCGGGGCGGATGCACGTCTGCACTGCTTACACGTGTCACCGGTTACAAGGGTCGTGGGAAAAGGGGAAGGCCTTCCCCCCCCCCCGGAAGGACGCTCTTCCACTTGCCCCCCCCCAATTCAGCCCAAGGTTGCGGAGACCTCGGTTGAGTGGGCGGTTTTTTATTAAAAAGTTTTACAAAAATTAACAAAATATACCCCAAACCCACCCCCCCACCCCCCCCTTCCCAGAGCTGCATACAGGGTAACAAATATAATAATCATAATCTAACTAACATTAACCAACTATGTAGATAAACAAATACAATGCACTTTAACTCCCTTTTAACACAGAATAAACAATTTGCAAATAAACTTAATCACATAAAATTAAAATCCTAATTCATAAACAATACAATATAATAAAAATTCCACTATACTAAACTATTAATAATAATAATAACGACAATAATAATATTCTAAAATTTATTCATAAAATAAATAGAACTTTTTAGTCCCATATTTATTCTGAATATAATCTATCCATCTTCTCCAAACCGAAATGTATCTTTCTTGTGAGTGATCCTTCAAACAAGCAGAAATCTTAGCCATTTCTGCTAAATTTGACACTTTAAGTGTCCATTCTTCTATAGTAGGCAAACAATCCTTCTTCCAATATTGCCCTACCAACAGCCTTGCTGCTGTTATTAAATTCAACAGGTTGAGTGGGCTTTGACCCCCCCCATTTTACCCCCTTCCTTCCCGTCACTAAGCGAATCGCTGCGACGGATCGGTTAGCCACCCGGTTGTTAAGTGAAACCCAGCTTCTCCTTGGATTTTGTTAAACTACAAACACCGTTAAGTTTAACACCGGCTTCCCCCCCCCCTTGACTTTGCTGGTCAGAAGGGGGCAGAAACGGGATCACGTGACACTCCCTCCCCCCCCCGGGGATCCTGCGACCGTCATAAACATGAGCCCTTTGCCAAGCCCCTGAATTTGGATCACGTTACCCTACAAAGGTTGTAACTGTGAAAAAAACGGCCCTAAGTCCCTTTTTTTTCCCCCAGGGCCATTGTAACTTTGAACGGTCACTAAACGAAGCGTCGTAAGTCGAGGACTACCTGTAAGAAGCGATCTGCCGATAAGGGACCGTGTTCCCCTTGCATCGTGTAAGAGGCTGTTCGGTTGGGGCCCTTTGGATGTTGGCTTGGAATGGAGATTTCAACTAAGTTCTATGTTATTTCTGCGGCAACGGATTAAGCTGCGATTCCATCTCTGGCGCTCAGCCAGAAAAAAAAAATTTATAACAGTTATAACGATTTATAACAGTTCATTTAGTGACCGCTTGAAGTTACAACGGCCCTGGAAAAAAGGGACTTTAACGACCATTTTTTACTTAACACATGTGGCGAGAAAAGCCATAAAATGGGGCAAAACTCACTTAACAAACCTCACTTAACAACATCGGTACCTGGATGTTTCTTTCTTGAGCTTTTTCTGTTTTTTCTTTTTTTCTGCTTATCTTTTAATTTTCTATTTAAAAAAAAAAATCAATAAAATTATACCTATGTGTGTATATGTATATATGTAGAAATCTAACACTTGAAGTCAAAAGTCACTGCTACATTTGATACCAAGTTAGCATACTAGACTGATTGTAGCTTTTTAGATATTTCTGGTATTAAAACATTAAAAGTGGAGGGAACGATATATAACTATCTTGCCATATGCTGAAATTGGAGATGCATCTAACCCAGTGGTTCTCAACCTGTGGGTTAGGACCCCATTTGGGGTCGAACGACCATTTCACGGGGGTCGCCAAACAACGCAGTCCGCCATTTTTCCCCCCTTTTCCTTAGCTGTGCTACTCCCTTTTATTCTATTGGCTTTTGAAAGCCAATAGAATAGATTCTCTTGAATAGAGTCTAATTCTATTGGCTTTCAAAAGCCAATCGGAATTGTCCAGGCTGTCTCTGCCCTGCTGAGCCCGCCAAAAGTCCCATTCTGCAAAAGGTGCTGCACCAGTTGAGTAGTCCTCGACTTACGACCGGTTGAGTAGTCCTCGACTTACGACCGGTTGGGGGGGGTCGCGGCATTAAAAAGGTTGAGAACCGCTGATCTAACCCAAATCACCAATAACTTATTTTTATTTGTTAAGTAGGCACAGTGCCTCTCATTTAATGATTTTATGAAATTTGAACCAGCTCAGCTGGAGTTTTATATCAGAAAAGTTACACTTGGCATCTAAACCTCAATATTCAAAGCTGATTATCGAGAGACAGAATATATGATCTTTTTTTAGTTTTTGCTATTCTGTACCCACCAGCTATTATACGACATCTATTAATTACATATATTAATAATTTATTATTATGACAATATATTAGTACACGATTGCCTGGAGTTTGGAAATGAGCTGGAATAGCTGTAATTAAGCCTTTGGATATTTGTAGGCTATAAATAATTAGTAAAACCATAAACATTGTTATAGCTGGTTGTGTAATTGCCCAAAGGACATTTTTAATGGAAACAATTAGGTGTTACTTTGCAAAAACCCAACATAAAAGTCTTAATGGTTTTAAAAAGAATATGGAGAGATGATTAGAAGGAAAGATTAAAAAAAAACAAGTACTTATTGTACATGTAACCATGGGGCAAGATTATTCAGCTGCTGCCGGGAAGTTTTCAGGAAAACAGGAATGTAGGCAGATTTATTTTATGAATAACATCGTGTATTCTTTACTTGCACTTAGTAACTTCACAGAACTAATCCGAAATGTATTTGAAATTCAGGTTTTATGTACCTTCTACCTTTCTTGTATAATGAAATTATCTTTATTTCTTTAGAAGGATATACAGAGAACACAAAGAATACAGGTATGTGTTGAATTACAACCACAGCTGAGGTCAGAATTTCTGTTGCTAAGCGAGGCAGTTGTTAAATGAGTTTTGCCTCATTTCACTACCTTTTCTTTTTGCCTCAGTAGTCAAATCGCTGCAGTTGTTCAGTAAATCATGTGTTCATTAAGCAAATCGGATTTTCACTTGTTGGAAACCAGCTGTGATCACACAATGCCGGGATACCGCAATTGTCATAAATACATGCCAGTTTCAATAATAAATATATTTTGCTTAGTTTAAACTTCCTCTTTATTTGTTTTGTTATTCTTGTAAGCCCAAGGCTGCAATGGGCAGCAAATAAGTTTAATTTAGTAATAATTTATAATATTAATTGGGATCTTAGAAAGTAATGGAAGAAAACATCACAATCTCTGTTGTTTTGCAGAAAAAAGGAGCTAAAATAACGAATGTAGCATGTTTGTAACATGAAACATTTTGCTTCTTTGAAACAATTTAACATATTATATAATCACGCAGCAAGCAATAGATAGCAATCAATCCGAATAGAGCTGGAAGGGACCTTGGAGGTCTTCTAGTCCAGCCCCCTGCTCAAGCAGACGACCATATACCATTTCGGACAAATGGTTGTCCAGTCTCTCTTTAAAAACCTCCAGTGATGGAGCGCCCACGATTTCTGGAGGCAAGGAGTTCCACTGGTTAATTGTCCTCACTGTCAGGAAGTTTCTCCTTAATTCCAGGTTGCTTCTCTCTTTGGTCAGTTTCCAACCATTGTTTCTTGTCCTGCCCTCTGGTGCTTTGGAGAATAATTTGACCCCCCTCTTCTTTGTGACAGCCCCTCAAATACCGGAATACTGCTATCATGTCACCCCTATTTCTTCTTTTCTCTAGACTAGCCAAACCCAAGTCCCTTAGCCGTTCTTCGTATGTTTTGGTCTCCAGGCCTTTGATCATCTTAGCTGCTCTTCTCTGAACATTTTCTAAGGTCTAATTTGTACTACGGTGACAGAATTGGTTGCAGTATTCCAGGTGTGGTCTCACTAGGGTTTTATAAAGCGGTATATATGAGTATTTATAAATAAGTATTTACAAATATTTTGCATGATCTTGATTCTCTGCCTCTCTTTATACAGCCCAGTTTTGCAATATTAATTTCATGGTTTTCCTAAGTAAAAGAACGAGGTGGCATATAAGGAACGGTTGCTGGAATTGGGTATGTCTAGTTTAATGAAGAGAAGGACTAGGGGTGAAATAATAATAATAATAATAATAATAATAATAATAATAATAATAATAATAATAATAATATATCAAACATCCACATGTCCCTATCCCAGGTCCTGGGTAAGGACTTGATAGGTAGACAAAATGCCAATTCCAATCTGAACATCTGGCTGACTGTGTCACGTGATCCATAGTAATAATAATAATAATAATAATTATAATTATTATTATTATTATTATTATTATTGGGGCAGCCCCTGAGATATTGGAAGACTGTTATCATGTCCCTCCTCATCCTTCTCTTCATTAAACTAGACATAACCAATTCCAGCAACCGTTCCTTATATGATAGCAGTCTTCCAGTATCTCAGGGGCTGCCCCAAAGAAGAGGGAGTCAAGCTCTTCTCCAAAGCGCCTGAAGGCAGGACAAGAAGCAACGGAGGGAAACTAACCAAGGAGAGAAGCAACCTGGAACTAAGGAGAAACTTCCTGACAGTTAGAACAATTAGCCGGTGGAACTACCTGCCTCCAGAAGCGGTGAATGCTCCAACACTGGAAGTTTTTAACAAGAGACTGGACAGCCATTTGTCTGAAATGGCGTAGGGTTTCCTGCTTGAGCAGGGGGTTGGACTAGATGACCTCCAAGGTCCCTTCCAACTTTTTTTATTATTATTATTATTATAGTTGGAACAATCAACCAGTGGAACAACCTGCCTCCAGAAGCTGCGAAGGCTCCAGCACTGGAGGTTTTAAAGAAGAGGCTGGACAGCCCTTTGTCTGAAATGGCGTAGTAGGGTTTCCTGGCTGAGCAGGGGGTTGGACTAGATGAC